GTTGGTGTAGTTGCCAAAGATAAATCAATTTACATGACGGAACGGAGGCTATTAGAAGGTCACCGATGTCTTAAATGGACCATCGTTTTGGATCCACTGACACCATGCACAATATCACAGGGTGTGAAAGACCATGAAACACAGCTGGGGTCAAACCACAGGCTATCGAAATGAATGTTTTCACGGTGATGAAAATTGATTTGGCAATGATAATAATACCCTTCGGAGAAATCTTTCGCTTCAAAAGTGTGCGAGATAACTGCCCGCCAATTGCTAACGTACCTCGACCCACGTATGTCTCACAAAAGTGAGTTAATCATTTTACCATGTGAAGAACAGAGGGAACAACTCCCCATCGATTTTCCCTTCTCTTGTCACATTCCCTCTTTGTGTATTTTGCAATCATGGTTCATATTTCAGCTTATGTGATATCAAGCTCGACGTCTTTCTTGGCAAGACAGTTAAGCTCTTAAATCTACGGTTCATTGCCGGTTCACAGCCATCGAGCTGCGAGTCGAGTTTTAAACTTGGGCAGCGCGCCCCCATGCATTTTTCCATTTAGCCCATCAACCCCGGGGCGGCTTGGATGCTTCTCCCAACTCATTTTCTGGTCGTTAATATTGACCCGAAGGATAGAAACCTTCATCCAAGCATGGGCGATTGGTTTAGTGGTATAATACCCCCTTAGCATTGTTAGTTGTTCTAGCATTACCCCAACCAGCGTGGGGGTGGTCCAGGGTTCGATTCCCTGATCGTCCAAGTTTTTTCATCATTTCCTGTGTCCATTTCTTTTTGGGAGATAATTGATTTACCTTTGTGTTGCCCGCTTGCTAGGAGGCCGTATAATTTATTCACTCTTGAAATGTGATTTAGAACGGCTTGTTGCTTCTATATATAGATTGGAGATACGGAGTACATTGAGCTCATTATGGAAGCGTTGGATGAAAGGTGATTGAGACAAAATATATATACAGAGGGTCCTTTTCAAAAGTTTCTTCCTACCACTAAATACACTAAAAACACCATCAAACTTAATGTAGAATATACACCCATTTTATCCCATGGCTCTCTTTATATTCATTGCCTCCTTCTAGCTCTATAATCTTTTGAATATGAATAGGGATCCACTCAATTCATGCTTGTATTATCTTCTCAGACAGATTCTTCTAGCACTGCTTCCATACCTTAATAGCTTCTACCTGGCTCTTTGATGGCCTTTTACAGGTAGTTCTTCACTTCATCCATGACCAGCAAGGTTCAATTGGGTTAAGATTAGAGGAATTACCACATCAAAGCATTCAACAAACATTGAATATATCATAAATTCAGTGTTGAGTATAATGATCATGAGAAGGAGCTTTATTCTCTTTGAATAATTGTGTCTGGATGTTCTTTTTACACTTTTTTAACAAAGAGAAAGAGGTTCAAAATAAGGATTTTGATTTGATATCAATATCAATCTATATCACTACCACTGCCACAGGAAAGTTTGCCTGTTTTCTGTTTTCATTTCCATGTAGATTTTATACCATGTAGTTGATGAAGATTAAGCTATCTCATCCCATTCTCTATTTCTCATTTTTCTTTCATAACTGGCTTCAATTCCTCATTTAAAACATCAATAATCTTTTAAAAATTCAGTCTTTTCTGAAGTTTCTGCGGAATTAAGGTTTCATGGCATTATATGGCGCCTTGGCAGGAAGAACCTTTTGAAATATAACCCTTCTTTATCCAACTAGTTATGCCATTACCTGTTTCTCTAAATACAATTCGTTTCGTTTCGCTCCGCAAATCATTGGGAAATCTGGGGAATGCCCGGTGGTCTACGGTGAAAATATCTACGCCATTAACAATATCCAAAACAACAAATATTGTAGTCATCGTTTCCCCACAGATAATTACTAGCTAACCTAACCCCGAAATTTTCATCGTTCAACGGCGCAAGCGCCATGCAGGGAACCAACACAAAAGCAATCGGATTATCTCCGGCCCGCAACACGGGGACTGTGAGAGGAGGCCGCTCGGAACAGGCGGTAGGTTCTTATTGGCTTCAATCGCCGATGTCGCTGAGGTAAGCAGTGTGGGGCAAGTGATGGGAAGCTCTTTCCCTGTTTTGCGGCTGCCGGCCCGCCGATTGAACGGAGCATGTTGGGGTAGAGAGGTTGCAGCCTGCCTGAAGAGTACCTAAGGTAACTAACTATAACTTGGTTTAGTTAACTATGAATGAATGTATTAGATAAGTTATGGGGTGAGAGGCCGTTGACTTCTTTCATCTCCCCTTCTTACACCTTCATACGGCTTGCAACCATCTCTCCCAAAGAGTTCGTAAGCTCCTTCGAACGGCTCTCTATCTATCTAGATATCGACGAGAACGGTTCCTATACTTACCTCCCCGCAACGTTGTTTGAACCAACAGTCACACCAGTGGCTTAAGAAGCCTTGATCTAAAACACATACTTTCTGTCCCTTCCATCAGTCATAATGGCTGCTGCTATTAGTCGATCAATGGCCAGCGTGAGAGCTCTACCGCGCCTCCAATCGGCCCGGTCCTTTGCAACCTCCCGACATCTCCATGCTGCTGCTGCTGCTGTGAAGCCGTTTTTCTCCAGTGAGCCAACTGGCCCGCAGGTTAAAACTGCCATTCCAGGCCTAAAGAATCAACAAGCAACTACGGACCTGGGAGAGGTCTTCGACATCAGGGGCATAAACATGATGGCAAATTATGAAAACAGCATTGGCAACTAGTAAGTTGGGAATGCCTAAACTTGGAGACGCTGGGAATGGATGATTTTTTAACCTATGCTTTCATATGTAGCATTGCGGATCTTGATGGCAATATGCTGCTGGATGTGTAAGTTCATAATCTTCCCTTTTATTGATGCGTTTGCCCGTTTACCGGAGATGCTAATGAATTTCATCCAGATATGCTCAGATTGCCTCAATTCCCGTTGGCTACAACAACCCCGCCTTGATTGCTGCAGCGAAGTCTCCAGAGATGGTGTCCTCCTTGGTCAATCGCCCCGCTCTAGGAAACTTCCCGCCCCATAACTGGGCATCTATCCTCAAATCCGGTATCCTTAAAGTCGCACCCAAAGGCCTCAATCAGGTGTTCACCGCCATGGCTGGTTCCGATGCCAATGAAACAGCTTATAAAGCTGCTTTCATCTGCTACCGCCAGCGTCAACGTGGTGGACCCAATGTCGAATTCACTGAAGAAGAGATCACCTCCAGTATGGAAAACCAAGCTCCTGGTTCCCCACCACTGTCTATTATGTCCTTCAAAGCCGCCTTCCACGGACGCCTCTTTGGATCTCTTTCCACCACAAGGAGCAAGCCCATACACAAAGTGGACATCCCTGCTTTCGACTGGCCTCAAGCCTCTTTCCCCAGACTGAAGTATCCCCTGGAACAATTTGCCGCGGAAAACGCACAGGAAGAGAAACGCTGCCTGGCTGAAGTAGAGCGTATCATCAAGGAGTTCCGCAACCCCGTTGCCGCCGTCGTTGTTGAGCCCATTCAATCAGAAGGCGGAGACAACCATGCCTCCCCAGCTTTCTTTCAGGGTCTCCGTGAAATAACCAAGCAAAACAACGTCCTCCTAATCGTCGACGAAGTCCAAACCGGCATCGGAGCCACAGGCAAATTCTGGGCCCACGACCACTGGAACCTCCAAACACCCCCCGATATCGTCACTTTTTCCAAAAAGGCCCAGGCAGCCGGCTACTTCTACGGGGACCCACAGCTGTGCCCCAATAAGGCCTACCGCCAATTCAACACATGGATGGGCGACCCAGCCCGCGCTTTGATCTTCCGTGCCATCATCAAGGAAATTGAACGGCTGGATTTGGTAAAAAATACTGCTTCCACGGGTGAATATCTGTATGCTGGTCTCGAGCGGTTGGCTCAGCAATACCCGAGTGAATTCCAGAATCTGAGAGGAAAGGGGCAGGGCACATTTATTGCCTGGGACAGCCCGCAGCGTGACGCGTTTTTGAAGAAGGGTAAGAGTGTTGGGATTAATATTGGTGGGAGTGGAGAGAGGGCTGTGCGCTTACGGCCTATGCTGATTTTCCAGAAGCATCATGGTAAGCTAGATATCATTTTGATACCCATCTATCTCTTTTAGCGTTCCCCCCCCAAACGCGGTTCCTGCCAATAAAAGCTAATGATTGATATCTTGGTGAAATAGCCGATATCCTGCTCGAGTCTTTGGAGAAGATTGTCAAATCTTAAAGTATAACAATATTTTCCTTCTCTTTCTTTTTTTCTCCATTGGATTTTGATGATCTGACATGGTATTTCTACTGTTTTACTGTTGATTTTAGCTTTTGTTATCTTCTCTAGACTGGTGCGGATCCGAGTGCTAGATGAATGTAAAATTCGTAATTACTTAAATTCATCCTATTTTGACTGCCATCTCTTACATCTTTGCTGTTGGAAATCTGTTCGAAGGTCCTAAAGAGACACCCGCTGACCCTCGGTCACCAAGGAAATTTTCACTCATCTTGATACATTCTGGTAGAAACAAACAAAACTCCTCTAAACCGACAAACACCCAGTCCAAAGCAAAAATCGAAACGAGGTGCTGCTGTTTCTAACGTTTAAAGGCCCTTCCATAGACTACTGAAAATGACCTTGTGTGTGAAGTGGAACTAAAACTGGAAAAGAAATACCCCTTCCCCTCAATGCCAAAAACTCCAGTGCCATAACAAAATTATTGTTTAATCCCGCCCAATCCCATCGAGTATTCAATAAAGACACCTCTGCAAGTGCAAGAAACGACTGTCAACCCTCCTCATCGATGGAGCTTCCATCTCTCCTATTGACGAAGGAGGTGTTAGCGAATAATATCCCCAGCCAAAAAGGGAGAACGAATGGACGGTAGTAGGTTAACACAGAAAACACAAAGAGGAAAGAAATGGCCACGTACGGAATATACCTAAAACCCGCATCCTCTAAATCACCCAGCACGCCTGGTGGTAGCTATGTAATCCCCACAAAAACAAGTTAGCCATCTATCTGTCCGCAAAGGAAAACGCTCTCATAAAAAACACTGAAGCCAAAGAGCATCTAGATGTATCAATCGCATCCTCCCTTCCTTCACGTTCCCATGACTCCCTCGCCCACCATATGGCCAACCAAACAAACACTTCCCCATTAACCACCAAAAAGAAATTCTATACACTCCACTCACCGTGCCAGTAACCTTAACCGCATACGTACCAGGCACATACCCATCCAACCGCTGCCATCGCGCCACCCACGATGCGCGCTGGTCTGCCAGCGTTATCAGTCCTTCGAACACCTGTGATGTGCATTGCTGGATCTTCTCTCCATTACCTGCTAGACCGAGGATGTGGTCGCAGTTGGGGCAGCCTTCGCGCATAAATTTCTAAATTTGAGGAGACAAACGGAAATGTTAGGACGTGTAAAGGAGGTAATGGGGAGGGAGGGGAGCGCAGGTGGAATGCGGCGACTTACGCTGTGCACTTGGACGATAGAGCAGACCATGCAGGCGCGGAGCGATCGTTGTTGGCCCGAGGGCACGTAGAAGGATGTCATCATGGTCTTCCCCTCTCGTGGGAGGGATATATATCCCTGCGCTTTCTTCCTGACGAGTTGTGTGTGATATTTCCCTCTCCGTGTGTTCTATCTGTTTGAAGCTGACCTCCCCCTGCAGTTGTGGGAGGAGAAACAGCCTCTTTAACTTCAGGACTTGGAAGGGAAAAACCGTCACTTGTTAAGTTAATTTAGTTAACTAGTTAACTAGTTAAGTTAGTTAGAGCTATTGTTAAATAACATTAACTTCACAAGTTGAGCGCAACACCAAATTTCTTCAAGTGTAGATTCAATGCAATTTACCACCATGGAAAGAAATAATATTGTTATTAAAAATTACGTTTATTCTAGGGCTGGAATCATGTTCTTCTACATTCAACATTACTGCAGTTACCGCAGTTTTGACTGCGCTTTATCATTGTGATTGCAGAGCAGAAGGATTTAAATAGTACAGATGAACTCAACATACGATTAACAGATGCTGCAACAAATGGAATAGGGTGCTAATCGTGCCCCGCGCACCCACACCTGATGTGGGTGCGCCACAGTGTAATGATAAAAACAGTGTAATGATAAAAATATCAACTTCTTCATTAATCAATCTTCAAATATTAATATATCACCACCACCATGACCAATAAGATAGATGATCTTGAAAAATGTATTCAGAGTGCCATTGAAGTCTATAATAGCAATTGAAAACAGAAAATCCTACCTCTGGCATGTAAATTCAACATTTCTTATCAACATTTTTAAGCAAGAATCAATGGAAGAAAAACACATAATGCAAAGACTGCACTGAACAAGAAGCTTAGCAAGAGTCAGAAAGACATGTTAAAAGAGTGAATAGCTCACATGGATAGAAATAATTGCTCACTGACTGCAGAGCAGATTCAAGATAATGTGAATCTCATTTTCAAACACTATCATACTGATTCTTCAACCTTCCCACCTATGATCAGCAAGATGTGGACCTATCAATATATACAAAGCTTGGATGAGTATAAAAGGGTCAAGCAGAAGACAATGAATTTAAAAAGAACTTCTGTTGAGAATATTAACTATATCAAAGTGTGATTTGATCATTTGAAAATCTTACTTCAAAAGTATGTGTTTTAAATCTATGATATCTACAACTTTGATGAGATTGACTTTCAAGAGGGTCAAGAATGTGGAGAATGGGTTATTACTGCTTTTAAAGACTTTAATTCAATTATAACTTCATCATATTCTCAAGAATTGATTATTGTGATTGAGTGTGTTTCAGCAGATGATGAGGTATTGAATTCCTTCATCATCATGAAATTCAAAACTCAACTCAAAGATTGGTATATACAAAGTAACCTACTGGGTGGATATATAATTGTAACATCAGATATTGGCTATACCAATGATGAGATTGGTTTTGTATAAATTTAGCACTTTAATGAAATCTTTAAAAAGTATTAACAAGACAGTCATCAATTGCTGCTTCTTGACAATTATGAATCTCATCTTACTGAAGAATTTCTACAATACTATGATCTTCACAAGATTATTCTATATGAATTTTCTTCACATTCAACTCATATACTGCAATCTTTAGATGATGTGTCTTTTCAGCAGTATAAGCATTATCATTTAAAGGCAGTTAATCAAGCTGTGTGATACAGATATGAGTAGTATAAAAAACATCAATTTCTACAGAATCTAGTTGATGTCTGCAAAAAGACTTTTCAACCTTCTACTATTCAAACTGACTTTGTAGATTGTGGTATTATCTCATTCAACTCACAATCTATAGTGTATAAACTAGATTCAAAGATCTCTGATTACTCTGAGTTGCAAATATATAAAGAAGACTTCTTTTTACTGCAATCAAGCTGCTCAGATACTGCTTCATCATAGCTATTCTCACTCAAGACAATTGAGAAGCTACAATATCATATTTAAGTGACAAAGAAGATAATGCAAGATATGAAGAATATACTTAATTTTAAATTACCTCATCTGAGCAATCAATTGAACAAGATTTTTCAAGGTAGTTTTGTTCAGACAGAACTCAATGCTATAAAAGAGAGTGAGATTGAGAGTTACTATCTTGCAATCAAATACTGTAGTACTAAAAATACATATCAGCAGATTTAAATAGAAGATATACTTACTGTCAAAAATGCAAATAGAAAGATCATGCAATGTAAAGAGAAGAAAGCAGAAAAAGAACATTATAAGAGAGTCAAATATGTTGAGAGAGCTTTGAAGAAAAATATCACAGATTCAACTAAACAAAAGATTAATAATATATATGAACATCTCACAAATAATACAGCTACTACAGATGATATAGATAAATTAGTTATCATAGATTAGCAGCATGATGATAAGATATTAATTTTTGAAGTTCTAATTATCTATATTTTTATCATTATACTGTTTTTATCATTATACTGTAGCACATTCACATCAGATGTGAATGTGCAGAGGTACAATTAGATTTTTATTTTTATTAAATCTTTTTTAAATTATTTTTTTTTTATATTTTAGATGATTTTTCTTTAATTTATTAACAGTGCATATATTTGAAATATTTTTTATAATAATTATATATATTATTTATAAATTTAAATAAAATAATTTAAATAAAAAATATTATTATATATTTTTAATATTTCTAAATTTAATTTTAATTATTAATTTTAATTAAATTAATTTTAATAACTATAAAACTATTTTAAATATTATATATAATAATAATAATTTTCTTTTATAAAAGAAGTATTTATAAAGTTTTATTTTTAAATAATATTAAAATAAAATTATATTTATTATTCAATTATATTATTATATATATAATTAAATATTTATATTTAAAATTAAAAAATTAAAAAATTTAATTAATTAATTAATTAAATTTTATTTATAATTTTTAAACTTTAAAACTTTATATAGTTATTATATTTAGTTACAATAAAATTTTTTTATTATTGTTAATGATGCGTACAAGCAATTGAATAGATAGGATAAATCATGTCTGATTCTCTTCTAATAAGATGAGCAGATGCTCTGCTATATATATACACACTATAATTGCTCTATATGGTAGGAGTGATCGCATAGAATAGGAAATATAGGAAAGATTGAGGTCCCTGAGTGGATTAGAGAGGGGCAGAAGAATAGAGGTGGAACACCACAGTTAGAGAGCGAATGTGAGCTGCATAAGGAGCTCTCTGCATTGCTAACCGCTATAACGAAATACTAAGCTTGATGGGATGAAAGGAGGTGCTGGGGCCTGCTTGGATTATAACAACCCATGTGGTCACATGATGAGGGTCAGGCTCAATCGGGCGCTGAGTCTATCAATTATAATATAAAATATTCTTATATTATAAATTTATTTTAAAAATTTATAAATATTTTATATTAAATTTTATATTTAGTAAAGTTAAATTTAATATATGAAATATTTAAAAATTATAATATTTATCTAATTAAATTAAATTTTAATTATTTTATAAATTTAATTTATAAATATAAATTAATATATAATAAAATTTTATTTCAAAATAAAATAATATTTAAATAAATTATTTTATTATTTTATTTTATTTTTTAATAAATTAATCTGATTAAAATTATTTTTTAAAAAATTATAATATATTTATTTAATATTGAAATTTAATTATTTTATAAATTTAATTTATATATAATTAAAAATATTATAAAAATATAATAAAAATATAATTATATATATTTAATTTAAATAAATAATATAATATATATAATAAATATATTAATAATAAAAGAAAAATATTTAAAAAAATATTTTTTAAATTTTAATATTTTTAATAATATAAATTAAATAAAAATTTTATTTAATTTTAAAATTTAATTAATTTTATATAATTTACTTTTAAAAAATAGTTATTATTTTTAATTTAATTTTTTAAAAAAATATTTAATTAATTAATTAAAATATAATTTAAATTATGAACTTAATCATATAAATTATATTTATTTAAAGTTATAAAATTTTTAAGTTTTTAAATATATTAAAAATAGTTATATTTAAGTTTTAATTATATTATAAAAGAGTTTATTTTTATTTTTATTATATTTTATAAATTTTTCAGTTTTTTAATATTAAATTAATAAATTTTAATTTATTATATTATTTTTTAAAAATTAATAATCTTTTTTACTATTAAATTTACTTTTCTAGTTGAATAAATGCTAAATCAAGCTAAATGAGAATGTCCTCTGTAGTCTGCATTTTTTGAGAATATATGGAACTCCACCATCCACCACTACCCCCCTCCGCGTTGGCAAGAACTGGGTGTCAAATCTAGTGACACACTGTGAGTGCTACAGCGGGGCAAATCTTCTACAGTCTGGAAATCAGAAATGGGTGACTGTAATTGAGTAAGTCAATGTGTCAGGATGGGCTCTATCCCCATATATTCAATGCAAATGAGATAGAGAAGCAAAAGCAGAATAAGATCTAGACATCAAATCCAACACACAGGAGGTCTAACTAAGAATGAAGCTCAGAATCTTATTATTCCATCTGCTGCACCTGTTCAACAGGCAGTTATTCAACCCTGTGAGGCTCCGCCATCTGAGCCTGCACCATGCCAATGAGCTCCACAATGCTGCAGCAATTGCAGCACTCTCAGACATACAAGAATAAGATGTCCTCAACCTACTGTAATTTAATTTAATTTAATTGAGTATTGTGGCGTTGAGATAATTTGATTTAAAATCCAGTCAGTTGATACAGTGATTTTTGATCGCTTACGTTATTCTTATTCAGCGCACAGACCAAGGGCGGTCCGCAGCCACTAGGCCCAATACCGCCTAGGCTCGCAGCTGGTGTTGAACTGCCAGTGTCAAGCATGTCAAACTTTTCCTTTTTTCTTCTTTCACTGATATGCTGCTTATAGTGGACACAGCCCGCCCTGCAGCCAAACATGCACATACAGATACATCTAATATAGTGTACATATTCTATATTCATCCACCGCAGCGAGCTTTTTCTGCGCAATAAAAATACACGAGATTAAACAGATAGAAGCGAAACCGGCGGAAAAGGAGGAATTGTCTCTTTCTGACCATTCAGTCTCCCGGCATATCCAACTCAAGATTCCCGCTGTCGCATGACAAAACCAAAGCTCTGGGAGCTTCCCCGTCAATTCCAGCAAGAGATAGGTATACGGAAGAGGGAAGAAAGAAGACAAGAGGAGGGAAACTCGGGGGTCTGGGGTCTTGGGTTTTCAGATTAGCAGTGAATAAATTTACGAAAAGCCCCCTGCGCCATCTTTCTGTCTTCCGCGATGATGACTCCGGATAAAGAGGCGGCGACGGCCCTCAAATTGCAGGGGAATAAGGCATTCGCACAGCACGATTGGGTCCAGGCGTTGGAGTTATACACCAAGGCTATTGAGAAATATGACCAGGATTCTTCGTTTTATTGCAACCGCGCTCAGGTATGAATTTACTTACTTTTCTTTTCTGTACCTCTGCGCTGGTGTTGTGACTAGCAGGAAAATTTTTCGGTTGGCTCGGGGATACTGAGAAGTACCATGACTAACTGGTGTAATCTGGGTGGATAGGTACATATCAAGCTGGAAGCGTATGGCTATGCAGTAGCAGACGCCACTAAGGCAATCGAGCTGAATCCAGATTATGTTAAGGTTCAGAATAGTTTCCCCTCACTCTCCGTCTTCTAGGGTTCAAAGATATAAACTCTCTTCGATCTTTTCACATCTCATGCATGTGTCCTTCCGACGCTAATTTCCGTGAAATGGAGAACGACAGGCATATTGGCGACGAGCTATCGCAAACACCGCCATTCTCAACCCGCGCGCAGCGCTGAAAGATTTAAAAACCGTCGTCCGCAAGGCGCCAAACGACCCCGATGCGAAGCTGAAACTGTCAGAATGCGAAAAGCTGGTGCGACGGGTCGAGTTTGAGAAGGCCATTGAGGTTGCGGACCCGCCGTCTGCGTTTGAGGGCCTGGATATTGACAACATGGTTGTGGAGGAGAGCTATGATGGCGTGCGATTAGGCAATATGATGACGCAGGAGTTCATAGATGATATGATTGAGCGATTTAAGGCTGGGAAGAAGATTCATAAGAAGTATGCGTTTCAGATTGTGCGGGCGACGAAGGATATCGTTTATGATGAGCCGACGATGGTGGAGATTGCCGTGACTGAGGGGACGAAGCTGACGGTTTGTGGGGATACGCATGGTATGTTTTGGAGAACCAAGGGCGGGATTGACTGATATTCCCTTTTCCGGGATGAAGGGAGTCTGGACTGATACTGATAAAACTCTGAAACCCTGGAACAGGCCAATTCTTCGACCTCCTCGAAATCTTTCGTCTAAACGGTTATCCCTCCGACACACACGGTTACCTCTTCAACGGCGACTTTGTTGACCGAGGCTCCTGGTCCACCGAAATCGCCCTCCTTCTCTTCTCTTACAAATGGCTACGACCAACAAAATTTTTCCTGAACCGGGGAAACCATGAGACAGATGACATGAACCGCACCTATGGCTTTGAAGGTGAATGCAAGGCTAAATACAACGAGCGGCTCTTCAAGACATTTTCCGAATCCTTCTCCGCGCTCCCTCTTGCCACGCTGATCGGCGACAAATATCTGACGCTGCATGGAGGGTTGTTTTCAGACGATAAGGTCACTCTGGACGATATTAGGAAGCTGAATAGGCATAACCAGCGGCAGCCAGGGCAGTCCGGACTTATGATGGAGATGCTCTGGACGGATCCGCAAACAGCGCCTGGGAGGGGACCGAGTAAGAGAGGGGTTGGGTTGCAGTTTGGGCCGGATGTTACCAAGAGATTTTGTGAGACGAATGGGATTGAAGCTGTTATTAGGAGCCATGAGGTTCGGATGGAAGGATATGAGGTTGAGCATGATGGGAGGTGTATTACGGGTGAGTGGTTATCTTCTTCTTCTTCTTCTCCCCCCCCCGGACCTTTTTGTAACCACTTTCCATACTGTCCTTGTGTGTCAATGGAAGTTCTACTAACATGTTTTTCCCAATTTTCTCTGTTCTAGTTTTCTCCGCGCCCAGGTACTGCGATAGCACAGAGAATAAGGGCGCGTATATCAATATCGGCCACGACTTAAAACTTGACTTCCATAAATTCGAAGCCGTTCCGCATCCTAATATCAAGCCTATGGTAGGTGTATATCATGATTGATGTATTGCATCATTTCCCACTCCAGCAGCAACTTGCTAACCGTTTAACACCCGGCGCTCTTATTCCAGGCCTATGCTGCAAACTCTATTATGTCTCTTATGTGAACAAAGATAATGAGATACCGATGACATCTAGGATTGCTTTTGTTGGATTTATCAATGACCGAGTCTAGTTGAAGTGGGAAGGAAGACGCAAGAAAAGAAGAAGGCATTATTTCACCTGTTTTCTCTTGTTTGCATGTATCTTTTTGTTCAAGCAAGCGTCCAAAATGACTTTTTTCATACGGGTTCCTTTTTAGGTAAAATATACCTGGAGTCTTATATACCAGTGAGGTAACTTCTTACCTAGGTATGAGTTGAATGTCTGGATATTTGGTCGGCATGTTTGTGTTTCAGACTCTTTTGAAGCCAGCGACATGAAGTTATTTTCCTTATTAGACATATTCTTAGGAGTTGAAGGCCAGTTTAAGACCTTTTCATATATTCACAAGAACTTACAGCGGATCGCTTGATTAAGATGACTACGGTGCAGCTTTGGTGTGGCTATAACTCAATAACTAAGGGTCACTAAGCTTTACTCAAATGAGATGAGACTTTGTTATGATAGAGGGCCCAACCTTACATATTGACATGGAACCCTTGGCTAGCAAGAAATACTCTAGAATTGGCTTGTAATTTCAACCACTACAATGGAGTTATTTCATTGCCTCGGGGGAAGAATTTACGGAGATCGGAATTAGGTTGAACTTGATAACCATTTCTAGCATGAATATATCATTTATAGAACTGGATGGCCTCATATGCAAAGCGCCGTAAGCGGGACAGATATTCATTCTTTTCAAAAGTTGCTGGTCAGCTGTATTTGAATAACTATCACGGGAAGTGCTGAGAAGCCCGTGATTGCGGTGTTAAAAAAGGGGCCGGTCAAGCCAAGTATGTTCGTTGTTGGGTTCTCCCCAACTTTTCTTCCAGCAGTAACTAAAGCTTCATTTCCACTTTGAATATTCTTCAAAGTTACACCCATATAAAAAAAGAACAGCTCTGGGCAAGATGGAACTTGTTACTAAGACTCGTAAGTTCCCACTTGGGTATTCCAAGTGAGAACGAGAATGACGACAAATCTAACATATATTTCCGCAAAGCTCCATACTACACATCTGACACCTCGTCCTTCGCATACGTGTCAGCGCGGGATCGATGGCCGGTCATCTTAGTAAGTATTGCGTTTCCATTTAAATGACTTGTAGATCACTATATTCTCAATTGTTAACCCAATGCGCTATGAATCCAGACCGGAGCAATCGATGACCTCTCCCGTACGCTCTTCGAAGTCGCCAACGATGACAAAAGAAAGGAAGGTCAAGAGATTGTGGGGAAGCTAGCTGAGCTCAAATATGAGTTGCAGCATGATCGGAAATTGACGTATGTTGTTTGCCTTGATCCCTTGTCGTCTTAGGAGATGCGTTTGGATGAATATTGTTATATCTCAATATAATGGGGAGGCTGACAGGAAGATGGATACGAAAATCAGGCCATTGGAAGATGATGGCGAGGCAGATATCGCGCTATATAACAAGGAGCTTGAGGAACACGTCCAGCTTACTTGGTTTAATGCTCCGTGGCTATTTACAGAGTGTTATCTTTGTTCGTTGATCCCGGTGCGTTGAAGACAAGGGTTTCTACTGATTTTTAACAAAAGATAGACGAATAAACCTGGCGTTCACATTATCCACTCAATGGAAGACATACGATGTCTTTTCCCGACAGAAGATATCCACTTTCAAATCATCCCGTCCTGCAGTCCTCGAATTGAGTGCCAAATACAAAGAACTCATCAAACAACTTGAATGCGGCGAGGGAGTCCGAGACAAGACACCAGAACAGATCGAGGATGCTGAAAGGCTCCTCTTTATGGAGGTGTGTGAGATCTGCCTCTGGGGTAACGCGACGGATCTTTCCCTTTTAACATCCCTTACGTACGAAGATATCCAGAAGTTGCAGTGTGCGGAAGCCCGCAAGGTCGCGGAAAGGAATATCCTCGTCAATGACCTCCCTGCCGCTTTTAAAGTTCTGAGCTCCGCTCGTAAAGCTAGACCCTCTGAAGAGCGCCGCGTCGACATTGCCCTCGACAATGCCGGCTTCGAGTTGTTTGTCGATCTAATCTTAGCTGGCTACCTCCTGTCCGCTGGCCTGGCCACCACAATCGTACTTCACCCCAAGTCAATCCCCTGGTATGTCTCCGACGTGCTACCCCAGGACTTCCTCGAGCTTATCTCCGCCCTCTCAGACCCGCAATCCTTTTACACTTCGCCAAATGAACATGGTGATAAGTCACAATCCCTTTCTGAGCAAGAAGTGAAGGATCTCCAATTTCTCTTCCAGCAATGGAGCAAATTCCACGAAGAGGGGAGACTGATCATTCGACCCAACCGTTTCTGGACCACAGCGGCCAGCTACTGGCGTCTCCCGAACGAGGCACCGGAACTTCTGGAAGATCTCAAAGAGAGCGAGTTGGTAATTTTCAAGGGCGATTTGAATTATAGGAAGTTAACTGGTGATGTGCGTTTCATCTTCCCACCACCGCATTTATCCCCTACATTTTCATACATAAAGGAGAAATACCCGATCATTGTCCTATAGCATGAGAATACAAATAGGCTAATATCGTACACCTAAAAATTACAGGTTCAATGGCCTCCAACAACCCCCTTTATCACTGCAATTGGCCCGCTAGGTCAAGGCTCGGGTATCCGAACTCTTGCCCTCCGCACCTGTAAGGCAGATGTTGTCGTTGGTCTGCCGGAGGGCGAAGACGAGCGCATTCGCCCGTTGTATGGGGGTGCCGGCGAGAAGGAGCGCAAGTGGGCGTGGAGCGGGAAGTGGGCCGTCGTCTCGTTTGCGGATGGGAAGGCGTAGGGAGTTGTTTGAGATGGTTGTGTTGGTATATCGGTAAACGAGATCTGAAATGACATATGGGTATGAATGAGGAAAAAAAAGGAGGGGGCGCAGCGGAGTGGGATCTGGAAATGACGTGGAGATATTTGCCTGTGCGTGAATATTTTGTAGATCTATGAATACGGCTAAGCTTTTATCCGCTTACGCGATTATAGATAATCCCTATGGAAGTTAGATAAATATGGACTACATAGACCTTGCAATCTGGTGGAGGAAAGAAAAATGCGTCTGTTGGTGAAGTAAATACCTTGCTGAACCTTTTCTAAGATGGAGAGAATAATTACTTACAAGAGATTCACCATGAAGGATTTAAATAAGAAATGCAAAGAAAAGTGCTTACCCCTATAGGGTATGCCTGCACAACGCTGGAAATGTGGAACGACTACCCAAAATGTTGCAAAACGATACGAAAACATTTGACTCGATTAAGCGCTTCATCACTACTAGCAGCCTCCCAGGGCTCCCGAAAAAAAGAATAGAATAACAATAATAATTTTGACGAAAAGAACTCCCCATAACGTCGCTTGAAAATAGTAGCAGTTTCACCAACACCTGCAACGCAGGTGAGTTGAGGATACATATCAACCCGCCATCACCACGCAAGGAATAACTAACACTGTGTGCTTGGCGCCTCCAAGAATAGAAGCCAAAAATGAAAAAAAAAAAAATAAAAGAGAGAAAAGTATGAAAAATTGGTGCCAAACAAAACGGTAATAGGCATGGGTTTAAACTGTATTACAACCCTTCCCAATATTCTCCATGGAGACGTGCAAAGACCAAAACCAAAACGCTCAATTCCAGATTCAATCGAGCGGCTTTTATCCTCTTTGCTATACACCCCCTTCTCCCCAACTTCATCGTCAAAGGCATCGCAAATCAACCTGACCAGACATTCTCCTTCCCGTCAGCATTCCACCTTTTCTCCTTAAGTTTGAGCCGTCTCATAGCTGCCGCCACTCTATCCGCAGGGAGCGCATCACGTTTCATACCAGCAGGACTGTTGGCCGGATCACTTCCAGGGGGTATTGACTTGTCGAGCGGGGGAATTCGACGATTCAGCCCTGAAGAGGCCGGCGCTCCAACTTTGGAAGAAGCCCTAAGGGATATTCGAGCCGCACTGGCCTTGCGTCTGAGATGGTGATGATATTGGCTTGATTGTTTTGAAAGGGCATTGGGTTTTGGTGACATGTGAACCATGGAGGGTCTGGGAGATATTGTTGTGCGGGGTTGGATGTGTAGTTTTGTTCTTGGGGTTGATATGGAAAATTCTGGGTGGTTCTCTATTGATTGATGTGCGGGTGGAGATGATGGAGGGATGGAGGGGCCGTTTCGATCAAGGAAGGGTGCGGTATCTCGACTTCTAGGTCGTGCGAGAGAGTCTTCCAGATCATATAGTGGCTCGTCTTCCTCGCTGCAATCGATCAATGAACCTTTTCTAATCGGTCTAGTGTTCTCTGCCCGCGTCGCGTCTCGCCCAAATGGACGTGATTGCAATTCCATATCGATCTGCCCATCACCATTATTTCGAGGTATGTCACAGTTGAGAATACGCTGATTTTGGGTATTACCTCTCTTAGGACTTTCTATTGTATCCCTGTGACCTTGAGTGATTCTGGTCCCCGTTGCGGTCCCCTTCCGCGGGCTAAATTTCCTATCATGCATATCCTGTAAGCCATCCCCCTGTCGCATCTCTATATGGTTCGGAAACACCCTTGTTTCGCTCTTCCGCTTGGTATGGTTGTGAGAATTTTGTCCCACCGTGGATATGTCGTGACGGAGTGAGTCAATTATATCCTGCATGTATCGTTTTTCGTCGGTGAATGACTGCTTCAAAAATCTCTCTGCATCTTGGTGCTGTTGTCTTTCCTCGTGGAGGCGATTTTTATATTCTTGAATACGATCTTGAAGCTTCTGTTCTTTCTGTTTTAGTCTTTCTTCCTTTGCTTGTCGCCGGTCCTCATAGTTAGCCATTTCCTCCTTGAACCTGGAGAGACTTTGTTTCAGTGCTTTGTTTTCTTTTTGAAGTTCGCTAGCTTTACGTTCCGAACTCTCAACTAGATCCTGAAGTTTTTTCGTATCTGGTTTGTTGTTTTCAGCATCGTTGAGCTTGGCGTTAGCCAGCTCCAGCGCCTTTTCTGTCTCAAGTAACTTCAGGCAAACATCATCAGAGCCCGAATTTTTTCCTGGGGACTCGCCATCACTGTCCAGGACTCCATGTTGCTTTAGGGCCTTCCGTAGTGAGTCTGTTTTGCGCTTATATTGTACAGCCAAGGCGGTTTGCTTGGACAACTCCTTGAACATTGCTTCATTCGAAGCCTTGTTGCTAGTTCTATCCGCCATTCCAGCTGCAAGCTTGGAAACATGGAGCTCCATTTCAGCAACTTTGGCTTCTTCTCGTTTCAACTTATCAGACAAACGCCGCATTTCCAACTCTTTTTTCTTCGCGTAGGACTTCGCGACAGATCTATATTCAATGAGTTTTGTAATCTCGCGATCAGTCCTAGCTCTATAACTGTCAAATTCAGACTTCCAGTATATTCCAGACTGTGAACGGGGTTCGTTAAGGTTTGTCGTTGAGTCATCTTCGTCTTCGTCTTCCTCGTCTTGTTCTGTTTTACCCGATTGGAAGATCTCCTTGACCCGCGTGGGATGTTTTTGAATAACAATATCGAAAAGCTCGTCATTTTCATTCAGTTTCTTTTCGTTACTTATTTTCTGTCCCCGAGCTTCTATGAGTGACTGAGTGAGTTTGCTTCGATTTCTTCCATTTCCTACATGTTGTTTACATGTCCATTGTCCGCTGATATTGCCGTTATAGGCCGTGGATTCGAAAGGGGACCTTTTTCGTTCATTATCCACCACCCCTTCACCAAATGACACTGTCTTCCGTCGCGTAGAGGCGGTCCCTGGTGTGAGTAGAATGCTCTTTGTGGGCGATGCCATAGGTTGCGTAAGTTCATCTGGCTTGGGGAGTGATGGCTGCATATCTATTGGGGAGGGCTTTTCTTGTTTTGGTGGTACATTTATATCGACGCTCTTGTGATGAATGGTAGGTTTCAATGTTTTGATGGGAACAGTAAGTTCATCGTTGGTTGCATCGGGGCCTGGGGTGCCTACAAAGGCACTTTTAAAGGCTCGAAAGGCAAAGACAGGGGCTGGGGTTTCGGGGGGATCCTGGACTTTAGAATCTTCTAATGAGAGTAGAGAAATAATTAGCAGGTAGTTATTAACAATTAGAGAGACAAACATTCCCCCCTTTAATAGGAGAGGGTACAGAAGCGGTGTGATAGCGCAGCATACCAGTAAAGCCCGTGTATTCACCGCGTCCTGAACCAGACAACCACCCCAGCATATTTGCTAAATAGTTAGCTGAATGTCGCTTGAAACAAGGTGAAATCAAGCTTAAAATCAAAATATCAGGGGCCCATTTTGGTGCGATATTCTTTTCAATGGCACGGAGATAGGCATGGCCCGCAGTGATTTGTACCATTCAACGGATGTTAAAGTGGTTTGTTTACTCCGACGTCACCTAACACTAGCTTGCGCGTCAAGCGCGGAAAATGCCACACCGTTTGCTGTTTTGGGTCTAGCGTAGAAAACTAATTCACCAGCCACAGGTATCAGCCACAGTGACTTTATCTGGACTGGACAACTATGCTGTATGTGCTGTACTATATGAGATTGCAATTAACTGAAATTGCAGGCTTAAAAGGAGGTATATGTCAGTTGTTATTCATCCTGAACACCCTGCTGATTCTTTTCACTGGGTACATGGTTACATACATTTTGGTTGCCGGTTATGAAACGGAAAAATGTTGTTCCAGCAGATCGCCTTCACATCGTTGGACCTGCGGCTCGCCTTCATATTTCTGCGACAACATCATCTTCTTCTTAATTTACAATTTATTTCTTATCTTAACCATGTCTAGGTAGAGGGCTGCAGCTTCGGCTGCATCTTAGTTGCTTACTTTTACCGGGTAGCAACAGGCATCACGATCACCTTCTAATGCACACTACGTTCATATATAAAGCCCGCCATGCCTCACAAACATAAGAAGAGCAATGTCCACAAGAACGGCGCTCTAAAAGTAGAGCAAAAGGAGATTCTTTCTGATACCCCCGGTGCTTTCCCTGCCACTAATTACAAAGAAATTCATAAGAATGAGGCAGATGCCTTGCGCTCAATCTACTCAACAGACTTTAACGATGTAGAAGTTCGAGAAGCAGCTTGGCATGTAAGTACGGTACTGTATATGTGTTTGGTTTTACGAGTATTAAAAGATATACGTGAATGATGTACTCATGTTCTGGTAACTAGCAAGCGTCTGAAGTATCTTTCAAATTATGTCTAAGGGCGTCCTCCAACCCGGATGTGCGAGTTGAGCTGTTCGTTTCGTTGCCTGCCACATATCCAAAAACAGTACCGAACTTGGCTATCCAAGGCCTCGATGACCTGCGGAAGGGAGCCAAATCTAGGATCAAGGATGTTATTGAGACGAAACCCAAGACTCTCCTTGGGTCGGAAATGATTTACGAACTTGCGTTATCAATCCAGAATATTCTTGAAGATGTCGCATTGTCCCAAGCCGAGGACAAAGATATTCCAAGTCTAGAAGAGGAGCGTATAGTCCAAGAAGCCGCAGCAATCCAACAGGCCGAGGAACGAAAGAAAGAAGAGCTGAGGAGGCAGGAACAAGCCGCTGCGGAAGAAGAAAAAGCTTTACAAATACTACTCGAGAGCAAAATCAAGCAGAGGCAAAGAGCCAAAGAACAATCTTCGCGGCGGAGAAGTAAGGGAATGCTTGAGGGAGTTGAATCACTTGGCCCATCTGAGGATAGTTCTGGTGCCGTCTCGTTCGAACCTCCGTTGGTAATGAATGACTCCAATGGACGACTCATTAACTTCCGGTCAGTGGTCGGGAAGACGCTGATTGGAAGCTCCTCACACAAGGAGACATTTACGGTGCGGCCCGTAGCTTCTGGCGATGGATTTCGTGCCCCATTGCTCGTCCTCAAGGAGTTATTTCTTCGTGAGAAGGACGCAGGCCACCGTGACCTTCGTCAAGAAATAAGGTCTAGCGAAGAGAAGCTCGAAATCCTAAAACGGCTTAGACATCCGAACCTAGTTGATTTTATTGGGTTTAAGATATATCGTTCCATCGATACAGAGGCTTCCCATGAGAGCACCTGGCATATATACACCCTTTTTGAGTATGCCAACAAAGGGTCGCTCTTAGAGCTCCTTGACATTGTCGGGAGTGTAGCTGATAACACTACCAGGGCCTGGATGATCCAGTTACTTGAGGCGGTAGAGTTCTATCATCGACATGGAATCGTCCACGGTAACGTTCACAGTGGAAGAGTGCTATTATTCAGAAACCGGACAAGCAGCACCGTAGTCAAGCTCCTGAGTGGCGTAGAGGAATCTCTGCCAGTCCCATCTGGAGCGAAACGAACCCTTGCTTCCTCGCAATCTCCGTTCTGGATACCACCAGAACTCACACAGGAAGGTTCGAGTCCGAGCACCAAAACTGATGTGTGGGATTTGGGAATAGTTTTTCTCCAGATGAGTTTTGGCAAGGACGTGATGCAGCGGTATACATCTGCAAATGCACTTATGAACGCGATAGACCTTTCCACTCCCTTAGAGGAAATTCTCAAAGAGATTTTCAAACCTGACCCCAAAAAACGCCCAACCGCGTTTCAGATCAAACCTTTCGAATTCTTTCGAAGTGATGCTCCGTTCGTGGACGTGTCTGTCGCATCTAATTCACAGCCTTTACAACGGCAGACCCGGCTTGATTCTCATGGGGTCTTGCCTTCGTTTTCTCGGTATGGACAGGATTTTGATGAAGCCGGGCGTTTGGGCAAGGGAGGCTTCGGTCAAGTAGTGAAGGCACGCAATAAGCTTGATGGAGGATTTTACGCGATCAAGAAGATATCTTCCAAATCTGGAATTGCCCTGAAGGACACGTTATCCGAAATTATGTTGCTCTCCAGGCTCAATCATCCATATGTCGTCCGTTATTTTACTGCCTGGCTCGAGCGAGACTATAATACTGCTGACGAGGAAGCGGTATCGTCTACCGAAGAAAATCCGCATCACTCTGGGAACGGCGTGGAATTTGGATATAGCACAAGCGGACTTGACTTTATAAGCTCAAAAGGATATCCTGAGATCGAGTTCGGATATGACAGCGATGAACATGCTGATGCTGAAGCGGATTCGGAGCAATTCGGGAACCAAAGGCAACAAAGCTCGTCGAAAACAGATGAGGGACCAAACCTCGAACGGCGGACGTCCGGATCATCGTTTCAACACGTTACCACTACTCTTTATATTCAGATGGAATACTGTGAGAAGCACGTAAGTCCCCCACCGCTAATTGAAGAATAATGAAAGCAACGATCTAACCCCGTTTTACTAGACACTTCGCGATTTAATCAGGAACGGATTACATGACGATATTGAGTCCTCTTGGAGATTATTTCGGCAGATCTTGGATGGGCTAAGCCATATCCATAGTCATGGTATAATTCATAGGGATCTAAAGCCAGATAATATATTTATTGATATTGCGAATAATCCCCGCATCGGCGACTTCGGTCTGGCTACAACCGGTCAATTCACAACAGCATTTCGGTCATCCAACACCACAGATATCGGCGGCGAGTATACCCGTAGTATTGGAACCACGTATTACGTCGCTCCAGAAATGAAATCTGTGTCAGTTGACCATTACAATGAGAAAGTTGACGTAAGTGGTTTTTTTGAGTCGATGTTGTACTATTCAATTATACCTAAATGGAGTCATTCGATACTGATATGAGTAGATGTACTCTCTTGGCATAATATTCTTCGAAATGTGCCATCCTCTCAAGACGGCCATGGAGCGTGATCACACCTTAAAAGCAGTTAGGGAAAAGGTCCACACTCTTCCAGCAACTTTTGAGTTACCTGAGAAGGCTGTACAAGGTGAAATAATTGAATCACTGTTGAGCCATCGTCCAAGTGAACGACCGACAGCAGCGGAGCTTCTCCAGAGTGGGAAAATTCCGCTGCAAGTTGAAGATGAAATGTTTCGAAAAGCCATTATGGGAATTTTGTCAGACCCTAACTCTCCGGACTACAAGAAAATCCTATCAGCCATTTTCTCCCAACGCCCCAGAAAATTTGAAGATATCGCATGGGATATGGATTCTCGTAGGACACCACCAGTTTCTGAGGTATTGCTTCATAGCTTGGTTAAGGAAAAATTGACATCGATATTTCGTAAGCACGGGGCGGTGGAGACGACGAGGAGTTCGTTATTTCCACGCTCTGAGCACTACCCTTCTGGTGTTGTTCGCCTTTTGGATCCTGCAGGGAACCTAGTTCAACTGCCATACGATCTTACTCTTCCAAACGCACGTTCCATTTCTAGATTAGACTCGTCCATTGAGAAGACTTTCACTTTTGGAACGGTCTACCGCGAGTCCATACACGGAGGGGCGCCTCGTTGCCACCAAGAAGTTGACTTTGACATGATATCTCACAACACGCTAGATTTGACGTTAAAGGAGGCAGAGGTCATGAAAGTCATGGACGAAATTCTGAATGAGTTTCCGTCACTGCGGTCTGTGCCAATGTGTTTTCACATTAATCATTCGGATCTCTTGGACGCGATTATGGTATTCTGTCGAATCAGTCCTCAGCAAAAACCAGTCGTGAAGGAAATCCTCAGCAAGTTGAACGTTGGACCATATACAATGCAGAAAATTCGAAGTGAACTTCGCTCTCCAGCTGTCGGAATCGCCTCTACGTCTATTGATGATCTTACCCGGTTCGACTTTCGAGGTTTGTGGCCATATGCCAACCATTAATTAGATGAATGACGTTTTTGCTGATGCCATTGAAACAGATAGTCCAGATAAAGCCTTAAAACGACTTCTTGCGATTATGGAGGGAACGGAGTATGCAGACCGTCTCGCTCCAATATTCGCTCGCTTAAACGCGGTGGTATCGTATTTAAAAGGGTTTCACGTTAAGAGAAAGATCTACGTGAACCCCTTGAGTAGCCTTAACGACAAATTTTTCCGGGGGAGTATTCTCTTCCAATGTGTTTCCGACACAAAGAGGCGAGATGTATTTGCAGCCGGAGGAAGATATGACAGTCTCATTCAAGAATTCCACCCTAAAGTTCTGTATGGTACCCAGCGTCATGCCGTGGGATTCAACCTTGGATGGGAAAAGTTATGTCTGTCAATGTCAAACCATTTGAAAGGGTCAAATAAAGCTTTCCTCAAACACGCAGAGGCAGAGATTAGTGGAATTTGGCGGTCGAGACGGGTAAGTTGGTCTATATAGTTTTAAAAATTTGTTGTGGTCTTTCTCGGATTCTTGACTTTGTTATTTCTGACTGGAATAATGACTAGTGTGATGTCCTTGTTGCTAGCTTCGACGCAACGGTCCTTCGCACCGTTGGTGTTGGAGTCATTCAAGAACTTTGGGCACATGGGATTAGTGCTGAACTTTCCGTTGACACCTCCTCTCTGGAAGAAATCCTCTCACGGTACAAAAATGACAGTCACAGCTGGGTCGTGATCGTCAAGCAGGACAGCATGGAGAGAGGTTTGAAGGTTAAACATATTAGCACTAAAGAAGAGTTTGAGGTGAGAAGCTCTGAGTTGGCGGGATGGCTTCGAGGCGAAATCGGTGCACGTAATCAGCGTGAGCATCAAACGGGCACTGGAAAACCGCTAAAGCATTTGAACCACCAAGAGTGCGGCTTTTCGACCAGAGAAAAAGATCCAGATGTAAGGATTTTGACAGCGTTGCACCGGAATAAGAAAACAAATAGGCGAAACATCATTGAAACTGGTAAGCGTCTTCTATCCCCTTCCGTTGCTTGATTTACGTCTAACGGTATTTCTAGCCATTCGTGAATCTCGTAACGTAATGGACAGAGCGCTCGAGGGGCCTATTGCGGCAATTGATACCCGAGACGAAGTTTTGGAGGTCCTACGGCATACGCGCCTTTCAGACGCTGATAGCTGGCGTACGGTTATACAGAACGGGCCGTTGACGGAGAGGAAATATATGGCCCAGCTCCATGAATTGCTTAACGACCTCGCTAACGAACGGCGGGATCCTCAAGATGGGAAAGAGAATTATCGGAATGCGTTCATTTACAACTATCGTACTGGTAGTTGTATCTACTATGATCTCTCACGCAGTAATGAGAAATGAGCCAGATGAAAGATAAATATGTGAATATGAACTTGCATGTATGGGTTTCATGATAAATATTTTTTGAATTTTTTTTGAACCATAAGAAATACTATTGTACAAGTACGGATTTGCAAAAGTCTAACCTGTTAAATTAATATATCAGTCGCTATCGTCATCACTATCATAAGCTACCAATGGACCACTGGAAGCTGGAGCAGATGGTTTGGTCGTAAACCCCCCGCCCGTAAACCCATTTAATGCACTTAGAGTTGACCCAGACAATATACCACCTCCTCCTCCACTTCCCTCGGACTGCTGCGGTTCCGCTGCTGGGGCATTTCCGATCAAACGAGTCTCCGCTGAAGCTTCAAGTTGCGGCATCTCGCCCGCTTGCTCCAGCTGTCTCGTATGCGCATACCAAACCTCATCGGGCGGCTCATAGCCACTAAGTCCAAAGCTCCCCTGAATCTTCTTCCGCTTCTTAGCCTCAGGATCCCTCCCTTCCAACTCCGCTACAAATTCCGCAGGTAAGGCCTTCCTCACCGCCTCCGCAGCCTGCTCCTCAATGCGCTGCGCATCCCTCTTCTGCGCCAACGGATTGGGATCAACCGTCGCCCACCGCACATTCAGTACCTCATTATGATCCAGACTCTGGTGCGCCATCGCCTCCTTAGCAAATTGAGAATTCGCCTCGTTTGTATACGTCACAAACGCCACCCCTCGAGAGTTCAGCACCCGAATCCGCTCCATCTGGCCCCACTCCGCAAAGTGCCTCGCAACAACTTCCTCAATGTCATCCGTAACGTGTATGCGGCCGACATACAGCGTTCTGTTCTGCCGCATGAAGCTGCCAATGCCGCCCATGTCATCTCTGTAATCGCTGTGTTTGTCGCGTCCAAAGCAGTCGACGTTGGGGTTAAACAGGTCATGCAGGCCTGGTAGACGATGTAGAAATTCACACTCGTGACCCTTGGGACATAGCCCCCGCGCGAAGAAGAGACAAAAGTATGAGCCGGCGACTTTATCGGCGCGTGTATATCCGCTGTCACGGGCGATGTTGCAGCGCGAGGGCGCATGGTGTTTTGCGAGGTATTTGTCCTCGCGATCGCCACCGGACCATTTGTTATACCAGATGTTGAAGATTGTGCCTGTTTGGGGAGGAGGTTCGGATTTTACTGTGGCTGGATCGACTTGTGGACGAGCTGGCCTTCGTTTTCGGCGAATTATCTTTTTTGTCTTCTTTTCGGGGTCTGCTTGATCTGTGGTGGTAGCAGAAAGAGAGGTGTCTGCGGCATTGGAGAGGGTGAGTTCAGTGGAGGGAGCAGAAACTTCTCCTCCTTGTGTCGCTGTGTCCGGTGAGGGGGAGGCGGAGGGAGCTGTAGGTCTTTGTATGGAAACTACTTCTGCCATGGCTGGAGGGGAGCTGGTGTGTTCCTTGATGAAGTTGTTGACGATGCATGCTCTTTGTTCGTAATGAGCTTGGGAGAGATAAAATGTAGATTACGTAATCACAGTTCGACCTCCCTTGTCCGGCGCAAGTCAAAACTAGGGAGAAGCGAGAGTTATCTATATACTTGCTTACATCTTAGCTGTGCTGGAGAACTTCCTTTTCTCAAGATCCATTTTCTTCTAAAAATATATCATTATTTTTCGTTTCTTTGGGAGTTCTTTTACACCCAAGAGGGGGTGACCAGCAGCCAAAATGGTGAACATCACGGAGAAAATTAAAGAGTGAGAGACATTGAAATTTCCCCTCAATCTCTGAGCTCTATGGTCATATCTAAGTGGTGTTTGTGTTGTATAGGATCGAGGAGGAAATGCGCAGGACGCAGAGTGAGTACTGTTCTCTATCTAGACAAACTCAGAAGATTCTACGATGCTAACTCTTTTTGAACAGAGAATAAGGCGACGGGTTCGTGAAAGATTTCCACTTAATTAATTATCTCTCAGTTTGAACAGTGTTAATACCAAAGTTGCTTTCTAGAGTATCATCTAGGTCTACTCAAAGGGTATGTTTCGTATACAGGAGGCTATATCTCATCCTCAGTTCATTTTGCTGGGGGGCGCTGTTCAGTTTGATACTGTGAAGACCTCCATAGGGATAAAATTCCCTATTTACACTTTTTGCCCCAGACAAGAGGGATCAAATCTATTATGTCGAGGCAGCCTGAAATGAGATGTGTCTTATCATGGAAGCCTATAGAGGCGGCTTATCTGCGTTCTATACATACGACAAGCCACAAAAACCACCAGGGCATATCGTCCATAACGTGTAGACTAACCCTCACAAAAACGCTAGAAAACTCGCGCGATTGCGAGCACAACTTCTCGAGCCCACAGCCGGAGCTGGATCTGGTGGTGGCTCCGGATTTGATGTGAGCAAAAGTGGCGATGCACGAATATCACTCGTGGGATTCCCATCAGTGGGCAAGTCAACCCTTTTATCAAAGATTACAAAGACAAAAAGCGAGGTTGCAGCGTACTCTTTCACCACGCTCACAGCGATCCCTGGCGTTTTGGAGTATGGGGGTGCTGAAATCCAAATTCTCGATTTGCCGGGTATTATTGAGGGTGCTGCGGAGGGGAAGGGGAGGGGGAGGCAGGTTATATCTGCGGCTAAGGTCTGAGTGTATCCGGCTTCTTTTCTTCTAGTTCCTTGTTATTCCTATGTGGGTGTTCTAACAAATCTCAACTTTTAGACTAGCGATCTAATCATGATGATACTTGATGCTACAAAACGCGCTGAGCAACGGGCTCTCCTGGAAGCTGAATTAGAGGCTGTTGGAATTCGGTTGAATAGAGACCCTCCGTAAGCTGTTCATTAAACTGGTGCTCCTAGTTTACATTTTTCAAAGATATGCTGATGTGTGGGATACGTATATTTTTGACAGCAATATCTACTTAAAAGTGAAAAAGGCAGGTGGAATGAAAATCACATTCCAGTCGCCGCCTAAAAAGCTTGATGAGAAGATGCTCTACAACATTTTACGAGACTACAAGATTTTGAACTGTGAAGTTTTAGTACGAGATGAGAATGGTTCGTTCGTCCTGAAATGCAGGTTTCTCTTCTCCTAATTCTTGAGACTTGGGAGAACTGACCATATGACATTTTTTACATCTCTTAGCCACGGTTGATGATTTTATCGATGTGATTATGAGAGACCATAGGAAATATATTAAATGGTAAGTATTCATTTGTATCCTTTTTCACTGCGGCCTATACATGTCGTTCTTCTAACCCACCTGCCCTCCCCCAAAAGTCTCTACGTCTACAACAAAATAGACAGCATCAGTTTAGATTTCCTAGACAAGCTCGCACGGGAGCCTAATACGTGCGTCATGAGCTGCGAACTAGACCTGGGCATTCGAGATGTCATTGATCGGTGCTGGAAGGAACTGCAGCTGATGCGGGTATACACCAAACGGTAAGTTACCCCCTATACATACACGTTGCTTGCCTCGTCACTTTTAGCGATGAAATAAGATGGACATTGTTAATGAACATGAACAGGAAGGGAGTCGACCCTGATTTTTCCGAGGCGCTAATTGTCCGAAACAACGCTACGATTGAGGATGTATGTGACCGGATCCATCGGACGCTGAAGGATAATTTTAAGTATGCGTTGGTTTGGGGCGCCAGTGCGCGACATGTGCCGCAGCGGGTGGGGTTGGGGCATGTAGTTGCGGATGAGGATGTGGTGTCGATAGCGACGAAGTGAGGATCAGTCAAAATTATAGTTACCTACCCTATGTCTGCGGTTTCGGGTTCATAGATGCTGCAGCCACAAATAACTACTAACCATTGGATGAATTGGCTGGTTAACTTTGACCGCCGCCAAGGCAAAATAAATATTGACATCCATATTGTGTTCATGTACGGTACTTCGTAGCTCTTCTCCATATCACCATTGGGCAACAATTCCTCAATTCGCTTGAGGTTGAGGTAATCCTCCGCATCGGGCCGATTAGGGCTTCTGATTAGGGCTGGGGCGAGAACAGAGACATTCGCCGTCTATTATTAACATCATCATCAACATCGGCCAGACAGAGAGCATACGTAAAAGATCAGCAGCATGTTAAGAGGGAAGATCAGTTGGAGATTGCTTCTTCTAGATGCAAGTGGAAAGATAATATCTTAACTACCCCTGAATCCAACGGGCAGATAGCCCCCCGCTTACATCGAAGCTTCTCGAAGCTTCCGCTGAATTGGGTTGTTCAGCCCATGTCAATGATGCAACCAAAATCCTGGCCCGGCTGAAGAACAAGAAAAGAACCAGATCACTAGTTTTCCTCAGTGGAGACAATCCCTTGGAAGAAAACAACAGGATTCGCCAGTATATTCGACAGCAAAGCCCCAAGGAACCCAGAGACATGCTTGGACAGTTCCCTTTGGGGTATTGTGTCTTTCCTGAATAACGTTAATCCACGCAGAAACCCACCCGCATCCAACCATCCACTTCTGACTAACATCCAAGGCATCATATCACCTATTTTACACCCACAACCTTCACAGCGCAACGGTAGCGTATAGGTACAGTGCACACAACACCCATTTGTTGATACATTGTCTACGCACGGTCGTAGCTGTGTCAGTCCTGTCCCCTCTATGCTTTCCATCTTTCTTCCTTCTAACTTCGTATAGACTCAGCGCTGGACGGCCCATATATAGGCCTATGACACTCCTCTTGCTCTCAACTTCCCGCCACTCAGGAGACAACCAATCGTATATACGAATATAAGCAACCTGCCAGCCTGCGCACACCGTCAATCAGTCTTTCAGTCCTCCCTTTCGACCCAGTCATCTTGCATTCTCCCGTCTCTCGTTCCGGCTCTTCCACTCTGTCGATACCCCCCCCGCCTCCTGTATAAAATACGATATACACCCCCCTCCTACAACCTCACTCGTCATCAGTTATTATAGCTCAACATGGTTGTAGAGACGAGACTATACGACTCGTTGAGCATTTCGCCAACAGCTACTCAGGATGAGATTAAGAGGGCCTACAAGTATGCGTTTCTTTTCTTACAAGCATTTTAATGCCTCCGTCCGATTTAGCTGTTCGTTCTATACATCATACTTGATAATTCGGTGATCATTGCTGCTGACTCTCAAGCACAATAACTACAGGAAAGCGGCACTGAAATTCCACCCAGATAAAAATAAGAATAACCCAGCAGCCGGGGAGAAGTTTAAAGGTAATAAATTCAGCACCCAAGCTCCAGCGAGAAGAGGCTTTCTAAGAAAACCACCAGAAATGTAAAAAGAAAGAAGGACAACATAAAGATGGCTGACAATTATAAAATCAAAGAGGTATCTCAAGCATACGAAGTCCTTTCGGACCCCGAAAAACGAAAAGTCTACGACCAATATGGCCTTGAATTCCTATTGCGCGGGGGCACAGCAGAGCCCCATCCCGGAGCCAGCGGTGGCGGACCAGGCGGCATGCCTTTCGGTGGGATGCCCGGCGGCTTCCAGGCCTTTGGAGGTATGCCGGGTGGCGCACAAACATTCCACTTCTCCACCAGCGGCGGACCAGGTGGTTTTAGATTTAGCAACCCAAACGACATCTTTTCGAACTTTGCCAGATCTGGCGGGGCGGGGATGGAGGACGACGACCTGTTTTCGTTCCTGGGTGGTCTAGGTGGTGCTGCGAGGGGTGGTGGTTCTGGTGGAGGAGCGAGACGGAACGCGGCTCCGAATGGGGCGCATCGCAGGCCGCCGACGCCGGAGGTTACGACTGTGGAGAAGCCGTTGCCACTTACATTGGAGGAGTTGTTTACGGGTGTGCATAAGCGGATGAAGATTAAGAGGAAGACGTTTGATGAGGTGACGGGGAAGAGATACGTTGAGGATAAAATTTTGGAGTTTGATGTTAAGCCTGGGTTGAAAGCGGGGAGTAAGATCAAGTACACGGGTGTCGGGGATCAGGAGGAGGGGGGCACTCAGGATCTACATTTCATCATTACTGAGGTGAGTTTCCCCATACAATACAACCATACCCATACCCATACCCCCCACACAACTAGTCTTGTCAATTATGATCCTTCCTATCTGCCGCGCCTCACGACTATTCTATTCTATTTATTTACTAACTCCTCAATCCACCCCATCAGAAAGAACACCCAACCTTCAATCGTGACGGAGACGATCTCACAACAGTCATCGAAATCCCTCTAAAAGAAGCTCTGACTGGTTGGAGCCGCACCGTCACCACTATCGACGGCAAGCAACTCCGTGTATCAGGATCGGGGCCCACATCGCCAGGTTTCGAAGAACGGTTCCCATCGCTAGGCATGCCCAAGTCGAAATTTGCCGGGCAACGCGGGGATATGATCGTCAAAGTTAAGGTTAAGTTCCCAACGACGTTGACGGCGGCGCAGAAGTCGAAATTGAAGGAGATCTTGTAATAAGGTTTTGAACTGGGAGGAGAGGCCGATTGAATTGGATCCGGACTTAGTCATTGTCACGTTTTCCGTTTTTGTGCCTTCTATTTTTATTTTGAGGACTCCTCGTCCTCGAGTGTGAATCATGAAATTGGGGATATCTGTTTATGTTTTGGTGATAAGGTTGGTGATAAGGCATTGACGTACGCATACGATGGGACACGCTTTGACGCTTTCCTTCCGCTCTCCATTCTTATTGATCTTTTCATCTGCTTTCTTGGTTTACCTTTTTTTTTTTTTTTTTTTTTTTAATTTAATTTAATATTTTCCTTTGTCAACTGCTATGGGCATAGAGTTCCGCATTAACTACCGGTGTGGGATATTGTTATTTATCTTCGCATGCGAATAAGCATGTTAACGTACGCTTCTCCCCTCACGCCTCTTTTACTACCTGTTCCCATCTTCTCTCAATTGTTACTTTTAAAACAAAAACTTATACGGAGTATAAGTGACTTCATATGCCTCTTATGGTTCGATTCGTTGTACCCTTTTTTTCCTTTTTTTTCCTTTTTTTTTCCTCCGCCCCCTTCACTCCCCTCTGCTTTTCTTTCCCCGTGGATGGGCACGAAAGATCGTTTTCATGTTGGAACAAATTATTTATTTATTTATTTTTTTAAAAAAGCAAAAAAGAAAAAGAAAAAGCTTTTAGCTTAGTTACCACTTGAATTAAATATTATATACATTTAAAAAGATTATAGGGAGGGGATGCTGAACCAATAACTATTCTGCTTACAACTGTACTTCCTGCAACATCGCCTGGCGTAGTTATTAATAGATGCTGACTGGCGCCATTCCTGATCGGGCGCGCAGCTTCAACCTCAAACTTCTTCCAAGCTCCAAACCTGAACATTGAACAAGAAACGGACAACGTTTTAACAAACCCCCTCCAAGTCCTCAAAAATGAAAGAAAGAATAACATTCTTATATGAAGCTGAAGGGCAATTTAACCCGGAGCAAATAACCGTGAACAATGACTCGATATCTGTCCGGTCACTTCACGGTCCCCGGGAGGACAGAACTACATTCAGCTTCAATGATCTCCCACAGGAAGTAAGTTAAGCATTCTTCATTACCAATTGCAGATGTCTATAAGTAAAAGAATTGTTGACACATTTTTGTGTCCCATCTCGTTACTAACGAATTGAGTAAATTCGTTTTCTACTACAGCTTTGGCAAGTCTTGAAACGATGCCACGAGCTACATATTCGTTGGGCATCGGACCATGTTTACGACGCCCTACCACCATTTACAAGCAGAGTATCACCAGGGCTGCACGTCTTCTACTCGCCAATCTCCCAGGAACTCCCTTCGTATGTGTTGATTTCTTGATCATACTTGAACCATTGCTGTATCCAGTTCTATGAAGCCGTGCTTATTCTCTGAAATGAAGCCCAACCAGTTCACTCCTCTGTCCATTACTACGCAAGATGTTTGACGATGGCCTGGAATGCGAACTCCCAGAGGTAAAACGGACATTACTCCTCAATTACACCAACCCAGAAGGAAAGCCAACGGCAGTTTCCTGATTAACTGTGGAAAAACAGACGTCATTCATACCGCCGCCAGTCCTAGCTGTAAGATCCTCCTCAACTCCCTCTCTCCAGTTCCACCAACTGCTCCCGTCCCTTAGCGAGCTTGTTACGTTCATCCAGCAGAAGCTCTGCCCGGCGTATGGGGATCGCAACACAGATGCATATGCCAACTGCCAATCGCATGCAAGCTCCCTGCTTTCCGTGGATTCCTTGGATATCGACTATCAAAGTTCCACGCATAGCTTTTCAGTGGCGGCGTACTGGTCCAAACCTTCCCAGAAAGGTGGATGGTCGGAGACAATACATAAACTCAAGAAAAGCACGGACAGAGTAGAGATAGGGATATTAGCGATGGAAAATCCAAGAGAGCCACATGAGCTCTCCATGGGAGGCTTCCTGGCTGTCGTTGGCGAGGATACGAAATTAAGTACGCATTTTACCGTCTCAGCCACCACTCCACCCGCGTCCCCCTTTTCTACCCCCCTCTTACTGACTTATATTATGATACACATAAATAGGTCCCACCCTCTTCTCCTACCCATCGCGCCACCACCCCCTCCCCCTCTCCTCAAAATACACAATCACCTTCCCAAAGCCAACAGGCCTCCACCCAACCCTCCACCTCTCCCTCCCCCGGTCATCCCTAACATCCCTACCCGAGCGCCTCCCCCCCTCGGTTGAATGCTCGCTATATACCTACTTAACCCTCCCCTCCCCCCTCTTCGCCGATAAATACCAACTGTCCACCAAAGACCCGCTCTTCCTACACTCACACAACCTCCTCTCCCTCCACGCCATCGCCGGTGAAACAGACCTCGAAGCCCCAGACTGGTTAACGAAGCGTTGGGGATCTAGTGTACTGCTCGAACTCGCCACGCCGAAAGGTAACGACAAGGCAAACACAAACGACAAGGATACCTGGCAAATCTCCATCCCCTTACACCTCCGCTACCTCCCCACCTCTCCCGGCGGGTACCGAAACATCAGCATGCCCTGGCCCGTCGTCTTCTGGGCATGTGCGAACGAAGGTATGAAAATGGGCCGTAACCCCTTTGACAGAGTGAGGTTGGGCTGGGATGACCTCTTCGCGCCCAACACGCTGTATTACCATTTCCACCCTGACCCGTCTGCGCAGGGGAGCGGTGCGGGTGGAGGTGCGGGTTCGATGGTTGAGAAGATTACGGTGCCAGTGTTGAAGATTCGAGGTGCTTGGGATGTGTGGGGGATTGAGATAGGGACTATGGTTGTGGTGTTTCTTGGGTTTTTGTGGGTGGTGGGGAAGTTGAGGGCTGTTGCGTGGGGGAGGGGGAGGGAACGTGGTTTGAGGGGAGGGAGGGAGAAGAGGGAGTGAGTCTCATTGGGAAAGAATAGGATGAGATGTTATCTTGGTGGATTCGAGGGCAGAGCTAGTCGTGTATCGGTTGAAGAGAGGTAAGTGAAAAAAGGATGTGTATATATGTATATACATTTTCTTCGAGAGATTTATCCTTCTTATTCCCCCCCCTTAAATTGTCTCCTGCTCGACCAAGCAGACGTCATCTATAGATGTATATTATGAAGAAACACTCACTCTCCCCTCGACACACAAATTTTTAAAGAGAAATTTGTTGAAAAACTAAATGGGCTGCAATCTCCTATCTTTACACGTACAGATAATAAATACATGGACCTTGATTACTCCATCTCAACCCATACAGAACAAAAGTTGCACCAAAAACCTCAGCCCATACGAACCTGAGGGTGCAAAAGTTTGTCTCAGTTAGACATCTCATTGTACACATACATATCAAGTGCGTACCCGCCAACTCATATCATCGCTGGCTGAAAAGGCATCAGTACCTGCTCGTTAGAAAGTAGAGGACAGAATGAACTTGTAGTAAGATACATCTGTTTGAAAACAACCCTGCCAACACCAGTCATCCCTCAATTTTTGTTTCATCCATCATACCCAAAGGCAATAAATGTTTGAAACAAAAAATGAGGGATAAAAGAATCAAAAGCCAACAAACACCACCAGCCATTATCCTTCTTTTTTTACTCCTTTGTGCGTAAAATTAAAAATGAAAGCCGTGCTTTGCCAACCCGCATATTCTTGGAATCCCAAGCAAAAAAAAGACAAAAAAGGAAAATCACACTGCAAACCCACCAACAGGGCAACACATCGGCCACAATGCCAGAGAACAAATGGCATGTACATGAAATTAGGAAAGTCATGTATAGCAAGGACAGACAAGAAAGGTACAAAGAACCCCCTGGAGCTAAGGAGGATGCTCCAAATGGGAAGATTGTGGACATGAGAAGACATGATGTATTTCTGTTCACCGGGCAAGCATGGATATATAGATGCAAAGAAGAAAGTAAAAGAAAACAAATACCAAACATAAAAACATGCAAGGGCACTAGGGGGGCTTAGAAAAAAAACTCTTCAAGTGATGGGCAGATTCGAGCAGATTCGAGCAGCAAACACTTAAAAGTGAAAAGGGAAGCAGGACAAATTAGACAGGAAAAAGTGACAGATGGCATTATTTCATCAGCATGAGGCAAAAATGGGACACACATAGAAGGGGCATTCATATTAAACAAGACAGGGACATTAAAGGGATAAGTTTGGTGGTAAGGTAACAGGGAAAGGAGGAAGAACGTGTATAAAGGTACGGCACGACAACAAAAATTAACATAACCCAGAATCATGGATATCAAGCGTGTCATAATTCAGAAAGAAATTATGCAAGAAAAGGCAGCTCCGCTGAACGTGAAAAGAAAGTAAACCAACCAAGAGTATCAAAACCAGACGCTTGCAAATTATGAATTACCGTTGGTGTAAGAATCCAGCATCCTGAAGCAAGGAGTATCGAAAGTAAAGGGGGGCACGAAATAACAGAAGACCAGCGATAGATTTGACGGGAAATGAAAGCTTTGGACAAAATCATCCTGACACGGTGCCGATGGAAGGGTGGTTTTGAATCATCTGGTAATCGAGTCCCAACATCTCCGGGTCCCCCACGTCGGGATATCTCGTTTGTTGAATTTTCCAAAGACCTTTCCTTCGAATCAACCCAAAGCGAGAATGAAGACAGTACAACATTCGAAGCAAGCCAAGAAAATACAGGAATGCAAAACAAGCAAAGAGGTAGGGGGAAATCTTACAGAAATTGTGCATGTTCACAGGGCTATATGTACCATCGAGAGCGGGGGAAACAAGTTGGTGTTGTCAAACCGGGCATAAAAACGGATATCGTAAATCACGTAAACAAAACAAACAAAAAAGAAAATATGTCCAGAAAGGATAAGCTAAGTTGTTGTACCTATACAACAACAACCTGTCCCTCCTCATCAGCCGGATCAGACGCTGTGATATCTCCATATTTGCTTTCAGTAACCGACGCAGGATCATCATCCAAATCAATCGCACTATCGTCATGGTTGCTGTTCAAGTTAGCACCACCAGAAGGAGAAATACTAGGATTCACATTCGCATTCCCATTCGCATTCTCAACCGTAATCGAACTCTCTTCATTCCCAGAACTAGCGGCTGGAGACATCGACGATGGAGTCTCATTGGCCTGAGCTATCGGGGATATGTTCGTAAGTTGTGCTGACCCTTCTCCCCCTCCCTGCGCTGATGAATTTGAAGCAGAATTAGCTGACCCCGTCCCCGGTTGTGCCGTATGCGACCGCTGGGCTGAAGGTGCTGGTGCTGGCGCTGGTGCTGTAGCATAGCTAACTCCCTGTACGAATGACAACTCCAGCAACGCCTGTGAGGTGGAACTCATGAATCCAGCCCTCTCAGCCTGCCACCACATCATCTCCAGAAAGAACACCTTGGTCATCCACCACGCGCTGAAGCTCTGTGCGCCACCAAGAGTAAGTCCATGAAGCAAGAGCGTCCACACGGCATCTGCCTTGTCGATGATGCACTGCGGTCGATGATTGGGGAAGAGGAGTGGCAGGTTTAAAATGAACGCGATCCATCGATCGGGGAATTGCGAATATTTACCTTCATCCGAGGATGAATAGGAAAATTTCTGAAACCCAAGTTGCTCATCGTACAGTTGCACATCGTCGGGGGATTCGTCGTTATCCTCGACAGGAGCAACCAATGCCTTTATCTGATGTTTCATGAGACTCACTACCCCTGCTAGGGAACAAGACGGGATTTTTGCTTTGGCAGCAATCTCGACCGGGTCAATATACGACACGAAATCCTGCCACATTCTCGTTCTATTGTCGGCATGTGAAAGCCATGCAGAGGCTGCAATCGCGGACTGGTTGACGTCTAACATCCGTTTCAGGAGATGGCAGAATACGCGTGCCGGACTAAGTCTAGCCTCTGCCACATGGTCTGGATGAGATTTCATAGACTTTTGAACATATGTAACTAGTCCTTTGGAAATGGACTTGAAAGCATTCAGCACCGGCTCCGGGACGACCTGAGTGGTTAAGGGTGCTACAAACGCAATCATCTTCTTGTACATCAGCCAATCACACTCTCTAATCCAAGGAGCAACCTCTGGGAGAGTTAGGACCTTGTGAACGGGAACGGTGAGTGTGCCTTGGAAGGAAGAAAAGTGGCGTAAGAAATTTTTCTCTTTACAAAAGCGAAAGCTGTCGATGACTGATATGCAGTGGGAGCGATATAGAGCCTCAAGAGCTTCAGCATTTGCACTATCGGCATGTGAGGGTAGGTATCCATGTATACTGGGAAGCTTAAAGAGCGCGCTCTCCACCGGTACAGGCTCATTTGGATGATTGAAGTGAAGCAGGTTATCTATCACTTGATGAGTCTCAACAAGCGAATTATCTTCTGATGACATGGTCACAAGATTTGAGGACGTGTTTGTAGTGATGTTACCCTGAATATTAGGTTCAGAGGAAGTAGTGCTGTTTGAGTGTGGTGGATTTGTCGCTGTAGCCTGGGGCTGTGAGGAACCACAGGGTTTTGTTAGTCTGCTGATTCAAAGAGAAAATAAATAAAGAAGCTATTCACACCTGTCTTGGGCTCCATTGATGTTGCCGTTGGAAACGTTTTGCTGGGCAACACTAGTAGCTCCAGCATTGTTGCCTAGAATATCTACAGCAGGTCTGCGATCCTGCTCTCGAAGAGACATATCAACATAATGGTATTTAGATTCCCCACGGACTCCCAGTCGCCGAGTTTGGACATTTGGAAAGATGATGCGAACAAGTTTGCCAAAGGAAGCTGGGTTCAGGACCGAAACTCTCTCAGTGCCGCACTGTTCTGCGTAAGAACAGTATACGCGGTCCCGACGAACAGATTTTGTGCTTTTCTGGCAGTTCTCTCTTAACCTAAGTGAGTTTGGTCAGCATTAGATGAAATGTCCGTTTTTCTTTTCCGATGTTTACCATATCATAGCAAAGACCTGTTTAACTTTCTCGGCCTTTCCTCCCGCGCCGTCATGCTTTTGCACTTCAGCAGCCATCTGGCGCAGCGAATATCCATCATATTGACGCAGCAAGCGACGCAGCTCATTATCGTTCGCGAGCGTTGTTGTGGAGCTTCTCCGCTTCCGGGGGCCAGATTCTGAGACATCGTTATCGGGCATCAGATGGTCTGGGATCTGATTCTCAACGCCATCATACAGGGGAGGGTAGTGGCTGTGATCGGGATGAACATCGCCCGTGACACCGTTCGGGGGTAGCTCTGCTGATGGGCCATGAATAGGGAGACCATGGAGTTGAAGGTCGGGGCCTTGATACGCGAAGTTAGTTTCGAACACGAGGGCTTCAGCAGCAGCAGCGTATGCTTGCAAATTTGGGTCAATAACAATTGGGTCAAGAGCAGTACCATGATGAGAAGAAGAAGTATTGGCCAGCTGGGCTCCAAAGCGGATAATCATCTCCTCTGGGTTCGAAGGATACATTTGCTGATTTGTGCCATTATCTGGTTGCATATAGGATGGGTATGTCGTGGGGACATAATGGTCAGGGTGATATTGGGATTGGGTGGTGTTGGAGTGGATGCTCGCAGTCGAACCTCGCGATCTCGAGGGCCTTCTGCTTCTGGGCACAGTGATGTTCGAGCTTGATCGCAATGGCTCTGCTGCTTTCGGGCGGATGCGTGACTGGTGCTGTGGGTTCTGCGGCAAGATATTGGAGGTTTGCAAAGGATGGCGTCCTGGGGCAAGAATATCAAAGCAATATATTTAGCCGAGAATTGCGACGAAAAATACTCCGCAAACACTGGGCAGCCGGTCAGGAGCAAGCAGCCCGACATCGGGAGATACATACCAATATCGGGAGCCACGTCTGGATGGTCCATATTCAAAACGTATTGACTGACTACTAACAAAGAGCCAGTTTGCTGTGGGGTCTTGGTTTGGAATTATGGATATTCTTTGCGGACACTAGTTACGATAATAGAGGCTGGAACAGACAAACGAGGTGCTGTGAAGGCCAATTCCGGGAGCAGGTAACTGTGGCGGAATGAACTTCAGGAGAGCAATCAGCGGGAATGTGTAGACGAAGCTAATCAGGCTAGAGGATTCTTGTTGTCTGGAGGCGGTGTTATCATGGTGGTGGTCATCTTTGTCGGGTGGTTGGATGGAGGTTGTGCGGTGCAGGAGGATGAGGGCTGGTTGTTGTAAACAAATGTTGTTGTTGATGGGGAAACGCAGAGGCTTCCAGGCTTGTGTGTTGTGGCTGCTTTGAGCATAGTGTGCTTATATCATCGCATCTGTAGTTGGACTAGTCAAAGTCAGTCAACTGGCAGTTGAATGCAGGATAACAAATAAACTAAGAATAGTTAACATTAAACTATTAGTTAGTTAGTTAACTAGTTATAACTAACTAACTACTTAAACGTAGTTAACCAGTTGGGTTACTAATTATATGCAGAGTTCATTACTAACTAGTAGCCTTGTGGAGCAAACAAGTCAAAAACGCAACCCCAGTAAACAGAAGCTCCTCAACAAAATGGCCAAAGTCTCGCAGGTAAATGACTCCATCACGTGAAACTGCCACAAGATTGGGAAAAGAGCAACACACACACATAACTACTAACTAATTATTAGTGAGTGAGTTAAAACCTGCAACAACCAACTGTCTGAGTCAGCAGCACACGCTGGATTAAGTGAGCCAAACTAGTTAGTTACGTCGGTCGGTCAAATCTTGCAGCCGAAGCTGGGACAATATATTATTACCTTGCCCTGCTATTAGGTTCCGCCCGCTTCCTCTTTGCATAAAAACGGTCCCGAACCTCCAACCTTCCAACAACCATTCAAACCTCCTCCACCTTTCCACCATTCCAACCAACTCCCCCCAATACCAAGCAACCAAAACTAACCCCCCCCCCCCCCCCCTCCCCTCCCTTTTCCTGTTGTTGATTTTTTTTTTTCTTTTTTTTGGCATTCCTTCTTCGCTCCGTCTGTGAGTTTCATTGACCGCTGCCAACCACTCTACTCTACTGCCATTTACGAATTGACGTCTCTAACAACCGCTGCATCTGGCATTCTCTGTTTCTCTCAGCTTATCCCTCATTCTAGAAGTCAATCACAAGCTTTTTGCAATCCTTCACTACCAGTCCGCACACCCATCATGTCTTTCCAAGATCGTGCTCAGCACCAGATCGCTCAGATCGATAAAGAGGTATGTATCTCGTGTGTCTTCTCCACTAGTTTTGGGGCATTTTTATTTTCCCCTTCTTCTTCTTCTTCTTCTTTTTTTTTTTATTTTTTTTTTTTTTTTTTTGCTATTTCTAGGTTGTGGGTGGGCTATAGATATCGTGTGCGGTGCAATACCTGGGATCCACACTGCCTCTACTTCCAGCCTATTCCTTCCGGTTCTTGGGAACTTTCCATACGTTGCGTTGGATATTGACTTGAGATATTGACAGCTGTCCAAATACCCCGCCCTGAACAATTTCGAGAGGCAGACTTCAGTCCCCAAGGTCTATGCTTTCCTTGGCCTTGTTGGCATCTACTTCTTCCTCGTTTTCTTCAACATTGGTGGAGCGTTCCTCGTGAACTTCGCGGGTTTCTTGATTCCTGGATACTACTCTCTACAGGCTTTGTTCACGGTCGCAAAGGCTGATGATACTCAGGTATGGTTCTTCCTTCTTGGAATTGAAGTTGACAGAAACTCTGTTTTGAATATCCATCCCCCTGATCGTGATTGCTGACAAGCTGTATTTGATATAGTGGTTGACGGTTCGTGCAAAAAATGACTTCCCTCACGTTATCTACTCACCCCAACCCACATGATCCTTTACTAATCACATGCGAAATAGTACTGGGTCGTCTTCGCCTTCTTGACTGTTATCGAGAGCGCCATCAGCGCGGCCTATTGGTTCCGTATGTCTACAACGCTATTCCTAGACCGTGCGATTTTCTTTTACTACGGAACATACACTGACAAAATGAGAGCAGCATTCTACTATCTCTTCAAGTTTGTTCTTATTCTGTGGATGGCCCTTCCCCAAACTAGGTAAGGATCCACTTATCCACAGGACACTCCCATAGCCACAAACTCCTTTTATTTCCACAGTTTCTAAATGCCTACGATAACAGCGGCGCACAACTCGTCTTCCACTCCTTTATCCAGCCAGTTTTCTCCCGGTACTTCCTGAGTGGATCTACTGCCTCCAACCTCCGGTCCCAGGTAGACCAGGCCACCAAAACCCACTCGTCATAGAGATGTCATGTTGCAAAACGCTGGTTCGATATTGAAAGGCGACACGTGTCGGCCTTGGCCTGACAGTGACCTGTTATGACAATCATGCCTTCAATTCCCTTTGTTTCATGAGACATGATAGCTGTTTTTGTTAAAGAATTTCCGTTGGCAGCTGTACACACACACACAGCTCTATATAGTAGCAACTCAGATACGACGATTGCAAATTATTATTTCTTGATTTTCAGCTCAGAGTGCCGATTCTAATCGCAACGGAATTTTCGAATGGGAGGAATCCTGGAGGCTCGGGGCTTTTTTCAATTTTCTTCCTCTCCTTTCTTACTTGTTTTGCTATTCCTCTAGGCATTGCTATTACTATTACTACTACTACTACTATTATTATTATTGCTGTCCACCTCTGAATTGTGTCTGTCTTGCAGTTCGGTTTACCGATTGAGTATATTTTTGCTATTCGATTTTGAAATGCATGATATATTTTTGACTCTTTCGCTTTCGCAGAGAGTTGCCCCGGAACACACAATACCAGCAAGGGATTTTGGGTCCCTTCCCCATGCCTCTTTCGCGATATTCAGCTCGAGGACCCACCTTACCCCATTGCGTGTGAATATTTGTCCGCCCTTGATTGCTTCAATAAATCGCTTATATAAGGTGGGGTGGGATGGGCGCATCGCCGTGAACAAATCGCAGATGGAGCATGGCGGATCTGGGATTCGTTGGGATTTCAGGTGAAGTTTATCATTTAGCTCAGTAAAGCCCAAATTTGTTCCCCCAGCTATCCAACTTAGGATTCAGGACAATCTGGTACGGGAACGGATTCGCATCGCTCGTGGTAATTGGCGGAATATGGTCTTTTTCCTTATTGACGACCGCGAGGATCTTAAACACGGCCTTTTGTAGCATTTTCTCCATAGCTTTTCGTACCTTTGTGCGGTCTATTTCCATTTCAAGATTGTGCACGTTAGCCTCAATCCAAACAAATTCACGGGGGTGGGGAAACAGAGTTAACAACAAAAACATAAAAATGGACCGGGTGATGGGAGAAAACTGGAAATAAAACCACCTACCCGACTCCGTCCGCGGCGTCGCAATCGTAACATTAACCGTCCACACCTCCCAACAAACCTCCTCCTCATTCATCCCCGCACTCACACCACCACTTCCACCATCCCCATCACCACCACTCGCCCCCCTCCCCGCCAACCCGCTAACAAGCCACATCGCCCCGGCCGCAACCCCCATCCCCCCAACCTTCCGCCTCCTCTTCTCAAAAAACTGCACCGCGATCCGCCCCCTGACACCACCATTCGGCCCATTCGCGGACGATGACAGATGCTGCCGTATCAGCGCATTGACTCGCGCGTCTATGAGTGTCTCGAGCTCGACATCGTTGATGGCGGGGAGGGTTAGGTTGAGGACGTCGAGGGAGGTGGGGCGGATGCAGGGGAAGTAGCGGTGGAAGAAGATTGTATGGAGGATTCCTGGGTTGTGTGAGGATTAGGGACGGTTTTGTGGTTGGGTTGGGTTTGGTTTCTTCGGGGGCGAGCGATTGGCATGAGAGGGATGGGAGGAACTGTCTAGAACTCACCTTTTACAATTTCCTTGACAGAAGTGGGGTCCGCGAAGACTTCGAGGATATGTTCTGGCGGCTTGCGAGGGTCTAGCTTTGGCGATTGCATCATTTCTTTTCCCTTTCCCTTTCCCTTTCCCTTTTCTTTTTCCTTTTTCTTTTTTCTTCTCCCTTGTTGGTACTCTCGTTTTCTCTACTGGTTCGGTATATATTCTCAAGCAAACCCGTTCACATGCGCTCGAAGCGCTCTCGGCGGAGTCCGGCTTTGCAATGCAATTGGGGAGGTTATCAACGTGAGTCAATCGGAAATTCAACTCTGATCGTCAGACCAGACACGAATACCCGGAATTGCGATTGTATTTCCTTTCAACGGCCTTTCAGGTTGAATTTGCTTTTAGCATGTAAGGAAGTGAAAAATAGTTGTCGATAAATTTGTTCAGGTAAGAAAAGTGCGGGTCGAAAAGATGAGACTTCATAAATATAAAGCGGGGTTAGTTATAGTCTGTTTTTCCCAATTTATTTCGGGTTTGGTGGGGAGGGGTTGGGTTGCGTTGCGTTGCGTTGTTTGTGTGCTCTTCGTCTGTCCGACTCAAGTTTGTTGGTTTCGTTCGCTCGTACGATTCACTTCATATGCATTTTAGCTGGCTCGAGCTGACCACGCAGGGTATATTAAAGGAAGAGGAGCACGAAGAAGAAACAGCTGGTAGAGGGCTGGTTGATGGTTTATCAGACACGCTTGCGCATTGCCAACGTTTGTTAGCCAAGTTAGGCCGACAGAGAGGAGTGGGCGGGGGGGCGGGAGTGGAGTGAAAACCAAGGGGGAGAGAGGTCGGTTCCCTTACTACTTCTGGCAAAGGTTATTTAATATTAACTATTCTTGTAAACCAGCTTAAGAGGGTTGTTATGAGCAGAGAGATTTTGCCCTCCACGCAGCACTTCGCAGGGCATGATTATGATTCTCTGGTACTTGGGGCTGAAAAAGAAGTTTGGTCTACTACGTAGTTAACTAGTTATCGAATCAGCTCGGCATTGAGCGGTGTCAAGTTTACTGATGTGAACCGTGTCGGTCGGCTTCCGCCGGGCCTGGGTTCTGTTCTCGCCTTGAATAGGAGGAGCTTCGATGGGAATTCTTGCTTGAGGGGGAGACTTCAACTCTTCCGTTGATTTTAATAAGGTGTTCGAAAAAGTGGTGGGCAACTGTTGCTCATCTCGTTGTTTGATGCTGCTTGATATCGTCATCTGCATGGAGCACACACCCCGCGTCATGATGTAACTGGACGATTTTAAAGAGACAGGGATTTTCCATGTGCCTGTTTTACGGCTTCTTTCATGGACTTTTGTATCACATGCTTTTTAAGATGTCGTCGTTAAGAGCTAACTATATATTTATTTGACATGTGTGAACGGACCTCAGAGACGAAAGTTTGTACATAAAACCTGTGTGATACCCCCAGTCTGAACAGAAGCATAGAGAAACTATAATGCACCTTGCGTCCTATATAGAAAACCGATAATCTGCCCTTTTGATGAAATTGGATCCAACTTGCTCCTTATTTCTAGAATGTGTGCAAGCAAGTCCATACAAATAAAAATTGTGGTTCCATCAAGATATGTTCCAACCGGAGGATGTTTCTTTTAAACTCGCCCCTAAATCCCATCACGAGAATAACAATCAAACAACACGCCCTTCTATTTAAAGAAAGGTTGAGAAGCTTCCGATCGGGCCCTAGCATAATGGATGGCATCGACCCTCGTGGGCCGAACTGTAACTCGCGACCATATGATAAGTTTACTTTGAAAAGCTGCGAGACGAAGCAAGAACTACAACACCATTCACCGCTTTATGATCTTTCATTTTTCTAACGTGTATCATCCAAATCAGGTGTTGCATCACGGCGGAAGCCATCGGAGCGCTTGATACAGTCATCTGTCATCTGTCCATTTGTCCACAGACTGGGTGCATCCCTCGTATTCGGAGAGCTGAGGAATACCTTTCACTTGGGCAATCTGGAAAACATACTCACAACTAGTCGGTCCTTGGATCGAAAATAAAAGTTATCAGATAGAAGTATACTTTTTTGTTCCTAGAAGAAGTACTTTTCAGTAAAGCTTCCTGGCCATAACCCAAACCTGGGTTAACTTGTTCACCTTCAAGCCAATTACGTCATTGCTGATATGCCATTCCCCAGCACGAACCAGCATTCTCACAAGGTCAAGGCCGACCTTGCAATGAAGGTCCTTCTTCCAGCACGAAGAATAATAGCCCGTTCCGGGACAGGCTTAGAGGATCTTCATCATCCAGTAACCTGCCAATACTACATCTAACCACCTATTTTGGCTGCGAAATCTTGTTTAAGAAGAATTTCGGCAGCTTCCCACCGCTAAATTGTTTATCCGACCCAACCGAGACCGTAATTTACGCCGTATTGGATTCGTCGCTGCTGCTAAATTATGGTGCGGCAATGTAAAAACGGTATTGTAACGAGCCACATGACTTGCGGCCGGCTGAGTAATTTAGCCTTGCAATTTAGCCGAGGATCTTAGTTGGATCTCGGACTAACAACTTCCAACGTCCCCAATTCCAGAGTAATATGGAGAACAGCTTATTCTTAATGCATCCAGGGCTTGTCTCTCATTATCTTACGCGGAAGAGGTGCTCCTATTACATGTGCTTTGTTGTTTGGTAATCTGCATTTACTCTCCTGGAGCGGGTACCCACAAACCATGAGATAGACCACATTTTCAGTTGCAGAATTGAAACCGCGACCCGTGACCTCGTCCCATTAAAAAAAAAAAAAAAAAATGATAAGCGCGACGAGACGCTGGTTTCAGCGCCATCGCAATGGTATAGCTATTGGTGTTGGTGTGATTGGGGTGGGATACCTGGCTGGTCAATTTGTCTTATCGAAGATCACGGAGGCTAGGGAGCGCATGAGTAGTGAGAGGATAGCCCGAGAGAAGTAGGTGACACAGCTGCGTTAAAATACCCCGGTCAGGAATACATATATACATATTTCACCGTGCTGACAAGTTGTGCCCCCTTTTCTGTCTTTCTAGCCTTCGAAGGAGATTCGAACAAAACCAGACTGACTGCACCTTTACCATTCTTGCCTTGCTTCCGACGGCTACGGAGAATATCCTTGAAGCTCTACCCGTCGAAGAACTGACGAATGAACTGCAGCAGAAGAAAGCGGAACGTCTTGCAAAACTCAAACCTGGGGAGGCGACAGGGTCTGAGATCAGTTCGAATTCACCGAGCACAGCGGAGGATGATGGGCGGAGTCTTTCAAGTTTCCCAAGTGAAGGGTATGTGCATGCAAGCCAGGTCGGGGAGAGCGCTTCAGGAACAAATTCCCCGAAGCCAAAAGGTAGAACTCAATTATGGAATGACCTGAAGATTAATTGTGAGTGTGGTGGATGATACCAGATCTTAAGATAAATCGGCTTTGCTAACACACCAGGATAGCATTGACGAGATCGCTTACCCTTATCTACACCCTCTCCCTCCTGACCCTCCTCACACGCATCCAGCTCAATCTCCTCGGTAGACGAAATTATCTTTCTAGCGTGGTATCGCTGGCCTCCTCTCCTCAGGGCCAATCAACTATCAATCTTGAAGACCATGATGACGACGGCATTGGACATGCCTTTGGCAATGACTTTGAAACCAATCGACGCTATCTAACTTTCAGCTGGTGGCTCCTACACCGTGGCTGGCAACAGCTAATGGACAAGGTCAAGGAATCTGTAGAAGAAGTGTTTGGGCCTGTGAATCCGCGAGAGGACATGACGCAAGAGAAGCTGTCGGAATTGACCCTCGCTGTGCGGAAGAAGGTTGAAGGGGCTACGGAAGAAGAGCGAAGGTAGGTCCTTTTTTCCCGTTCCTTCCATTGAAAAGTAAAATTTCATATATACTCCTCAGTTAGCATGGTTTAACTCCCCAACCCACGTGGAAAGATCAACATCATGGCTCCCATACCTCCTCCCCTCCCGGGACCAGGAAGACTATGTCCTCAAAGAATCCGGAGTTCTCTCCGCCTCCGAAACCTCCCCCCCCCAAAGCCCCTCAAGCCTCCGTCACCTCCTCGACGAAACCTCCGACCTAATCGAGTCTCCCCAATTCTCCCAAATCCTCACCCTCCTCAACAACGAAGCCTTTTCCACCCTCATCGATACCAAATGTGCAGTCGAGGCCTTCAAAAGCAACCCCCCGCAGGACCCACGGTCAGACGAACAACTACAACAAGCCTTCTCATCCTCCTCAACTCTCCACCCATCCCCCTCCCCTCCCCCACCCTCTAAAACCAAACTCGCCACCATCCTCGCCGTAATCGCCCGCCAAGCCCACGTCATTGGCAACGGCAATGATCCGCCAAACGAATACCTGGCCGCCATGGAGCAAGGGGTTCGTGAACTCGAGGCCTTTGCTGCTGTCGTCTACAGCAGCAACTTCGATGTCAAGCTGCCCATCATCCCAGATCGAAAATCCGGTGAAGCGGTGGCGGCGTCGGGGTCGAAGAGAGATAATATATTGCAGGGTTTGGGGGACTTTTCCAGCGAGACGCTGATGGGGGGTGGAGGGAGTGTTGTTTGTGTGGATGGCGGATCGGCTGCGATTGATGAGGGCGATGCTACGTCCGGCTTTGAGAAGGTGTGGGGTAAAGCGGTTCAGCACTAGAATTCGTCGTCGTGATATTCCCCCCCGTCTTTTCCTTATTTTCTTTTATTTGCTTTGGATTTTGGACAAATCGGGTGATCTGCTAACAATACCTTTACCTAACTCCCCTCCCCTTACCACCACTTACCCCTACCTATTTTATTTTATTTTATTTTATGCTTTTTTGGCCTACTGGAACCTGGAATCATTCATCTCTTCTATGGTAGGTAGAAGCACAGAATCTAAACGGAAGATTCTGTGCTCTTTAGAACAAGTCTCTAGCAGATAGATATAACACTGGTTTATTATTGTTGTCCGTTTCAATTTACTTTCTTCTTTGAAAAGCTGTGCCTTGTGTCGGTTATACATATAAAAGAAGAAAAAAAATAGAGCGAAAGAAGAGATTTTGAGATGCTCTAGCGGGTCACATATTTTCTACGGGCATTCGTGAATACGTTTAATTATCTATGACACTGTTTCGAATTGCTTCCTACACCATGCAAAGTGAACATCCAGCCAACCCCACAACAAGCTTAAAGTCGGGTCCGTGTAATTGCTTCGACCGCATCCGGCATCCTACGATCAATGTACTGTCAAGTGCTCCGTTCTCAATCACTTATTCAGTCCCGACCTAGACACGTTTCGGGAATCTACTTCTCTACCTAGTTCTACTAAAATCCATTGCCGTTTAACGCCGTCCGATCTTCCAGGTGTTGATAATTTAGCAAGACTGGCGGATGCTATTCATGGTCGATTAACTGTGTGTGTTGTTTAAAATGTATTCCCCCAACATCCTTGACTCGAAGCTGGCAAGCTCCGTAGCCCGTAATTTGGATATTTAAGCACCAACTCAACTCCCTCCAATGCCAAGGGGAGTTACCGCAGCATCCCCAGTCGCGAGTTAGGTTCAATCTCAATGATGGACAAACAAGGTCTTTACTGGGTCATACTCGAGCTGGAGCAATTATAATATGGATTACTTTTGGAGATATCTCTGGCATGTGCAGCTCTTGGACAGGCGAACAACCCCCATCATCTGATACTTCTAGGGGGGATTAGCTTGGATGTTTGAGTAAACTAATGCTACGCGGGCCACTTTCTCCCTTCCAGCCACCCTCTGCATGGAGAGGAGTCAGCTCTTCAATCCTGCTAGTTAACCTATGAACTATGCAGGATGCAGGTAGCATGCTCTGCATGGAAACCTTGGGCTGGGAAAACCGTGCGGTACCAGTACATCCAATCGTGCTCTTTATCTCCACAAAATAGCCTCTTCGCAGAGTTGTTTCACCTTTCGGAACTCAACCATGGTTCCAGCGCAGGCCATGCTTTGGGCCATGTGCCCAATCATTTAGCCCGTCTAATGATGGCATCATAGGTCAACTGCAGAGTTTAACTACTAGAATTAACCTTTTGGGCCTATGGTGAGCTGATCTGCTAGTGGTAAACCAACCAGCCCTGGATGACAGCAAGTCAGCATGGGTCTGCGAACGGTCCCTATGATGAGCGAACGGTCTGCGAAGCGATGTTGGGCGGGAAATGTCAGAACTGAGAAGCTGATGCCTCCAGGTTTTAGCTATTTAGTAACTACGCTGGTCAGCGTAGCTCCGCTCCGTTCCATGTCAAAGGAGGTTGGAAAGAGGTCCTTATTTATTATTTCTACATCCATTTCTCCCTCCTTTTCTTCTTTTATTTCCCTTCCCTTTCCCCGCATCCTTGTCTTGTCCACTCCAATTCACCTGTGGAGCGACATCTCAGTTTGCCTGGGTTCGTTCGCGCTGGAACGTTGTGGACCAGCATGGCTTCAGTCGCCAGCTCCGCGGCCACGGCCTCCCCTTCACCCGCGGTCAGAGCAACCCCTCAAGGAGGTGTTTTTGACCATTTAAACCCCACTCACTATGACCCCAAAAACCCTATCACGCTCTTCATAATCCAGGTAAGTCTAAACAATATGTTATCCCTTAAATGATTGGTCGCTGGGCTGACGGTATCTTCATTCAACCAGGCAGGTATCATTATCATCGTATGCCGCGTCCTGCACTATCCTCTTTCCAAGATCCGTCAGCCTCGTGTGATATCCGAGGTGATAGGTGGTATTCTTCTGGGGCCTTCAGTCATGGGGAGAATACCTGGATTTCAGCAGGCCATTTTCCCCAAGGAATCTATACCCAACCTTAACCTGGTAGCCAACCTTGGTCTGGTTCTCTATCTGTTCATGATTGGAGTGGAAACCAATTTACGCTCCATGTTGAGTAATTGGAGGGTTGCTGTAAGCGTGTCTGCAGCCGGTATGATTCTGCCCTTCGGGTTCGGTTGTGCAGTTGCCTATGGCTTGTACTATGAATTCAAAGACGAGTCGGGTCTGGCCCCTATTAGTTTTGGAACATTTATGCTGTTCATTGGTATCGCGATGGCAATTACTGTAAGTTCGTTTTCTTAATACTACTACGCTATGAGCAATTTGTAACATGGGTTTTCGCAGGCTTTCCCTGTCCTTTGCCGTATCCTGACGGAACTTGAGCTTCTTAACACGACTGTAGGCGAGATTGTCTTATCAGCTGGTGTTGGTAACGACGTTGTTGGCTGGATCCTCCTTGCTCTCTGCGTTGCTCTCGTCAATGCAAGTACCGGATTGACTGCGCTATGGGTTCTGTTAACCTGTGTCGGTTTTGTGCTATTTTTGACGTACGCCGTGCGCCCAGTGTTCATCTGGTATTTGAAACGCACAGGCAGTTTACATAATGGCCCCGATCAGTCTGTCGTCGCGTTGACTTTGCTTCTCGCATTTGCTGCCGCTTTCTTTACCCAGGTAATTGGCGTGCACGCGATTTTCGGTGGATTTCTCGTTGGTCTCATCTGCCCCCACGAAGGCGGGTTTGCCATCAAAACCACGGAGAAGATCGAAGATCTCATCGGGGCTGTTTTCCTACCACTATATTTTGCTCTTTCGGGACTTAATACTAATATTGGCCTCCTGGACACTGGAATAACCTGGGGCTACGTGGTTGCTGTCGTTGTGATTGCGTTTATTGCGAAGGTTTCGGGTGGGATGCTGGCATCTAGACTGAACGGTCTCGTTTGGAGAGAAAGTGCTGCCATTGGTGTACTAATGAGCTGTAAGGGTTTGGTTGAGCTTATTGTCCTGGTAAGCATAATTTACCCTTTCTTCAACCGTTTCTACATTCACTTCTATATAGTTGGGAGATTCACTAAACACAATAATGAAGAATATTGGTCTCCAAGCGAGAATTCTCAGCACCCGAACCTTTACGATATTTGTTGTCATGGCTCTTCTTACTACATTTGCTACGACACCGCTCACCATTTGGATTTACCCGGAGTGGTATCGGAATCAAATGGAGAGATGGAGACGCGGTGAGGTTGACTGGGACGGAAATGAAATCTCATCTGACGGGGATCGTATGAGCAGCTCAGAAATCTCCCGGCAAAAAGCACAACGCTCAGCGGCGCAGAAGTTCCTGATCTATCTCCGGCTTGACAATTTGGCCGGACTATTTACTTTCGTCTCACTGCTGGGTCCTGGGGACGCTTCGAAAGCTGTCACTAGCAAGGTGCATCACCTCAACAAAGGCGATAGGGCTGAGACGGTGCCAGACCGGAAAGAACGCCCAGTGGAGGTTCATGGTCTCCGTTTGACTGAACTTACCGACCGTGATTCCAGTGTAATGAAAGTATCAGAGGTCCATGACTATAGTTTCAGCGACCCAATTCTGAACACATTCAGAATTTTTGGTCAGCTGAATACCCTGACTGTCTCTGGAGCCGTCGTCATTTCTCCTGAACACGCCTATGCTGAAACAATCGTTAGCAAAGCTCGTGATATATTGTCCGATTTCATCCTTCTTCCCTGGAGTGAAACGGGGAGCATGAGCGAGCACCAGAATCTTCTTCTCGATGACAAAAAGGAAAAATTCTCAACGGGTCCCCATACCGCATTTATCAACACAATCCTAAAGAATGCCAAATGCCCAGTTGGAGTCTTTGTCAACAAAGGCTTTGGAGGACCGCAATTAACAAGACCGCAACCAGGACATTTGAGTCGCTCCGTCAGCGGCACCAGCATCTACAAGTCAGCAGACATCACGCTGTCTCCGGCACTGAACCAAGGACATCACGTTTTCTTCCCTTACTTCGGCGGAGCCGATGACAAAGTAGCACTTCGCCTTGTCCTCCAACTCGCAAGAAATTCAACTGTATCTGCCACGATTCTTCATGTCGATACAACCGAGGCGCCACCGGACCTCGTCTCCTCAAACAAAGAAAAAGCACCTACTGCTACTACCACTACTGCACCTACAGCCCTAGCTGCCGATGCCTTCTTCAACTCCATCCGTGACTCCGTGCCTGAAGCACTCAGTGACCGCGTCGTGTTCCAGAATCTGAAAACGACATCAGCGGATGTAATCACCGCTGTCTTGGATGCTGCGAGAGCGGATGTGGGGAAGTCGAAAGACAATACCGGCGATCTTGTTATAACTGGACGCAACAACGTAGCCGCTAGGTCGCTGACACCTGCAGGGTTGTCTTCCTCCGGAGAGATTGGGTTGGAGGCTAAAAGGGCACTTGGTGCTCTGGGTGAAGCGATGGCGGCGACGTCGAATTCGATTCAAGCTAGTTTGCTTGTTGTACATGCCACCGCTCCGAATGTATAGGATTGCTTGGAGTTGGGTTTTGTTAATTCAACCTCGGTGGTTCTTTTTTTTTTTTTTTTTTTTTTTGAATATATGTCCGTGACGAGTAGTGTATGCAATTTCCTCCTCTGCATTTAGAGATTGACTCCACTGCTTTTGATTAGTAGGGATCTCTCCTCATTCTACATTTATTCCCTTCGGTATTTCCGTCTCAGGAGGAGGATTTCGGTGAACTCTTATCTATAACGCGATCAATGATTACAAGAATTTAACTTCTAGAGCGGTGTGCTACTCTATCTCAGGGTTTTCAATTCAGCCAACCATCTAAACCGTTCCTTTTCAACAATCTCACTCCTCAAATCTCCTGCCGTAGCTTCTCCACAACCTCCTCCCAACCCCCAACTTCACCAACAAGATTCCTCACAGCAGTAAATTCTCGTCCTCCCAAGCTCTCACAAGAACGAAATGCTTCTGCCAAATCTCGACAATGTTGTCCATTAACGCACAGTCAGGAGGGTCATAGCCAAAAAGGACGGTTGTTACATTTGAACCGCTGGCAGTCCGATATATGCCAAAGGCTTCTCAGAGGTATAGAAAAAAGGGTCACTTGAGCAGGTTCAAAAGGTTTCCCGGCAACGGTCAACTGTGTTGGTTATTTTGACGATATGGGGTTCAGCCGTACGTAGGTTAGGGAGAAGACAAACAGAGCTGGTATACCTTATCCTCTTCGCAGATAAAATCGGTTGATGGTCCGTTTTGTCCTCAGTATTCTTCTGTGTTTTACTTGATCAGGGGCATTTCAAGAGTGATAACTACAAGATTGTTTTCGACGGGCGGGGAAATTTAAAGTTAGTCACGTCAGGAAAACCTTAATTTGTCCTAACCAAATCTGGCAACCAACCGGCTCCACATGGCTGACCGCGCTTATATCATCTCGTGGGGGGAATCCATAACTATCTTAAAAGTATAAGGTATTTCTGGTTGCGCGCATAATTACACTGCTTTATGCATGATAAATAAACGTTTGAAAATATCGGTTTTCAATACCAACTCGATTATGAGCTGAATCTGCCTCGAGGAATCTTTAAAAGACGAACATATATTCAGCAACATAAAATTAAAAGAGTTGAACAGTCAAACTACGAAAAAAAAAAAAAAAATTAAATACAAAAACGCAACAAAAATTGAAAAAAACCAAAAGAATGCATATCCCAGTTACAGCTGGTATCTGTATGACGGATTCAAATCTCCCAAATGAGGTTTAGACGCTTCCTGATCTGGACCACCTGAAGCATCAACCACGGCCTGCTTATTGCGACTGCGATTACGGTTAAGAATGATAAAGAAGTAGAAAATGCACATCACAGCGGAAAGAGAGATGAAGGCTATGCTTAAGATGTATCCGCGTCGGTATCGAGGAGCATCCTTTTGGAGGAATGAGAAGGTTGCGATGATTCCGCCAACTACCGTTGAATATGTGGTTAATGTATTGTTGTCCCGAGACGCAAAATTGGCACACAGCGTATATAAAAACACGCATAGTGGTGGGCCTATATTTATTTTATGGGTGGACAAGAAGAACAAGATTTTTGCTTCAACTCACTATTTCCAAAACCAATTTGCCATGCTGTACCGACGGACCTACGCTTATGACCGCCCAGATTCATGGAGAACCAGCAGATGACGATTGGCATGGCACTGAATGTACCTGAGGTAACCAGAAAAAGGGCGCCATACTGAACTGCGCGGTGATCATGAACGTTGAGGAGAATGACGAAGCCTGCAATCGCAACGCAAATGGGGATGACGGTGAAAGCGAAACGGTTACGTATGCGGTCGGATAGGTATGCGACGATAAGGGCTATAACGAACGTGACTGCCCAAGGGATGATGGAGTGGAGTTGCGTTTGGATGGCTGTGGAAGCGTTGGGTTAGATAGTATGTCTTCGAGAATAATCCCAGCTGATCTTTTGTATGAGGGAAGGGGGAACAATGTGGCTCCACTTACGTCCGAATCCGTAGGTCCTGATGATGGTAGGGGCGAAGTAGGCGTATCCTATTATTGAAAGATGTCAGTTGGTATATGCACAGGGCTCACTGGCTGTGGAAAAGTTGAGATGGCACGTACCGTACGCGGGAACAATAAGGCCAAAATACATAAATCCACCAACAAAGATTTTGTCTGTACAATGGTTAGCACCATGTCAGTCGGCACGTATAATTTCTCCGTTGCAGATAACGTACAATCCTTGAAAACTTCAAGAACGTCTCTCCAGCCCACAGAGACTTCATGGCCCGCACTACCAACATCCTTGGCAAGCTTTGTCTGAACAAAAATCCGTTCCTCTTCGCTCAGCCATTTTGCATCCTCTGGGAAGCCAGGGATGAGAAAGAAGAAGCCAAAGGAGACAATGCATGATAGCAACCCTTCCAAGATGAAAATCCATCGCCATCCAAGAAAGCCTCGAACACCGTCCAGCTTGCCTATTGCACTTGCAAGAAGACCCCCGAAGGCTCCCGCAAGAGACGTGGAGCTGAAAAAGAAAGTGAATCGTTTCTGGGCTTCGTTGCGTTTGTACCACATTCCAAGGAGATAAAAAGCTATTTGAGAATTAGTATAGCTAGCCTCTGGGGGTGTATATCCGTCTAAAAAAAGGACCTAGAACGCACATCCTGGAAACATGCCAGTTTCAAACAAGCCAAGAAGAAATCGTGTTGCAAGGAGGCCTGAAAAGTTCCGTACAAGTCCCTGGAAGAGAGTGGCGAGTCCGAAGCAGAACATACATCCTGATACTGTATCGCAGTCGGTTAGTCGGGATATGAGGTTTGATATGAATGGTGACGCGTACACCACACGTGAGGTTTCAGCTTCTTCAGCATAATATTTGATGGGATCTATAATCGTAAGTCGATTAGCAAATTTTCTGAAAATGATAAAACTGCGATCCCCGGAGCGTCGCAGAAAGATACTATACATACCTCAAACAGAATGTATGGCACGAAGAAAATAACGAGTGCAGCGTTATATTGGGTGCCGGTTTCAATACGAAAATCTTCCTTCAAACCGAAGATGACCGCATTGCTGATATTGACTCTGTGCACGAACTAGCTGTTAGCCACACCTTGGTCCACGATTTTCACATTTTTCGCAACCCCGTCCGCCTCCGTGCTTGAGAGATATATGCATACCGGTCCAGGAAAGCAAGCAGATATAGTACACAGAGCACCGGGAGGAGATGGAGATCAATCTTCCTCATTAACTTCTTCTCCGTGGTGGATACGAGAAAGTTTTCAAGGGCAACATCGTCCACTATCTTAGTGGAGCCTCGAGATGCTGCATCTTCTATAAAGCAAACAGGTTAACATCGCAGAAGCGGAAAGCGCAAAAGCAACATTCCCCGCCAGTAAAACTTTGCGTACAATAACATGGGAGCAAGGAACACACCTTTCCTTTCCCCTACCGGACCTAAGCTGACTTCGTGCATGTAGGTAGTTGTCTTTCTATATGAAGTTTTCCAGCTGTGCGCGCCCGACGCCGAAGTCTGAAGTAAAAGTGCTGAAGAGACGAAGGAAGGCTTGCAAAAGAAAGAAATAAAAGCGAGGAACTTTAGGCCCTGTTGGCTTAGCGATTGTTAGCTTTCTTCATTAACCACAGCAAATACTTCGGGGATTTTTAAATGACGAGCGCTACACAACACCGTTTTGGAAGCCTGTGCAACTCTCCATGCGGCTGAGAAGCAAGTCTGAGTGAAGGGGAGTTGATCAACGTACCTGAGAAGGTGACGCTTCTGGTATGGCAGTCCCGTGTGAGTCGATAAAGAGGACGAAGAAGGGCTGGCTTCGAAGTCTGTCCGCTGTGGAGACTAAATGCGGGATCGATTCATGCCGTGCTTCTGCGGGGAATAGGACAAAAACATGGTTCGGTGAACTCAAAATCAGACAAAGTAGTAAATCCCTAACTTACAAATTAGTCACAGTTTCTGCCACTCACTACCTGTTCAATCTTCCGTTTCATCTACTTGCCTATTAATTTCATATGGCAGGTAGAATTGGTGGATGGGCAGATTGTGGATAGATGAGGTGAGGTAGTGAATATAGAATGAATTTCAGAGAAAGAGAACATGCACTGTGCTGCTGCTGAATGAACAAGAACAATTTTAGAAAAATAATGACGAAGACTATATTGAAAGATTCTTAGCCTTTTTTGTGAGCAGGATTTCACATGCAAAAGCAGCGGTAAATTCCCAAAAAAAATAAATAAAAAAAGGGAATAGTGAGACTATTTAAGGTTTTTAAGACTGAATTAAGATGACTCCAAGTGGTTGAACCTGATATCGAACGCCGAGTCACCGGTTCGTGGCAAAGTTTCTCCCCACTCTTTAACTGTGTTCCCCGTGTCAATGTTATTGGAGTTGGGAAATGCCTCCTCAACAACGGATTCAAAGCCATCTCCACCCCTACTGAATGAAGCATCCGTGGCCTTTGTCTAGGTGGAACTTCCGGTTTGACACAACCTCACTCAGAGGCTAAGAGAATATAAGACGATCCAATCTCCGTCTAATCGTTGACAGGGCTTCAGCATGCAGGAATGGAATAAGAAATAAACATGTCTATAAAAACCACTCGATAGGCTATAAATAGGAATAAGTGGAAAGCATCATATGCCTGGTATCCCTTATAAGTCACAGGTCGTGTGCAAGAGTATGCGGAGTAACATAGCATGAGGTCTTCTTTCAACTCCGCAAAACTTGGAGCTATTGTCGTTCCTGGTGCCTCCGTCCCCGCAAAACTGGATGAACCAATTTCCCGGGCCGAAAATAATAAGATAGGATAATGCATACCCCTTAGTCATGTGGCCCCTCACAGCCCTGACAGGCAAAGCTCCCCAACGCGCAGCAGAATTGTTGTGTGGAGCAGTGATGCGGCACTGTCTGTGATGCAGCCTCACTGAGGGAAATTCGTCAATTGATGCTTCAAAGGACCATTTTAGCAAAAAATATCCTGGATTGTGCGTAGTTTGGGCATTGAAATTTCGTTGAACTATCCGGTATCTTGTATTCTCATCGTCCTCGTTCAGTTATGATCATCACCCGGGAGAGGTTGTAACTGAGGATTAAATAAGGTTTTATGCTTAAAAGCTCCCTGGTCGCCAAGCTCAATGCCAAGATTTATTGCGCGTAACTTGTCTTCCACAAGCTGTCTTGGCGACCATTTACTGAAACCAAGTTGCAAGCTCTCATCACGCTGATTCTAGAAATTATGACAAAAGAAAGCAGTAGTAAGTCCAACAAATGCCAGGATTACGATACTTATGTATCTGCCTTTGCAGTGCAAGAAGGTGTATGTCTGACCGCCAAAAAGGAAAAGAAAATAGCTTGTAAACAAAATTGAATACCAGGAGCCAACTGACAAAGTGCCAGACTACTAAACAACCAAAAACAATCTATCTATCGGAATTGCATAGCCGGGAAGAACCTAGGCCCAGCGAAGCCATGAGCAACCACGCTCTGGATATCAATATTCCCTCCACTAAAAGGGCTCCATAGCTTGATAAGAATGAATCTTCCAGATCTGGAAATTGGAATAAATTAGCCCAGAAAAGCGCAAAGATGGGATGGAGAATACCACATACACAGGTGGATCAAACTTAATGCTAACCATACTCTTCTCCTTTTCAATAAAGAAACGAGCATGTGGTTTCATCACTTCTGTATCGGAAGAAGATGTTGCATTGCTATGATTCAAGGCATCTCTGCTCCGCAGCGAAGATGAGGGTTCGATTAAACTGGGCGCTAACCGTCGTCTGCCCCTGCTAGTAAGATTACCAACCGCTTCTACAGCATTGACAACTTGCCTCATGCGACGTCGCAGCCGACGCTGATCACGAAGAAGGGAGTCAGCGGCCAATTCATAACTACCATCGCTATCGGTGTCGAAATCCGGACAAATCACCTCCGATTCCAACTGCTCTAAGCGCATTCTGTCAATATCGGCTAACGAAGATGGATCCTCATTATTGATATCATCGTCTGACTTATCGTTAAACTGGGTTGTGATGCGCAAGTCAGACGAGGAACTTCGATGGAGGGAAAACCTGGTGTTTGAAGACAGTGTTGTGGGCTCATTATCAGAGTCGGACCAGCTTCCCGGGCCTGTTAGCGCTGCCCTTTCTAAAGACTGAAGAGGTGATCTCGTTGAGGAGAGATATCGCTGAGAAAAATGCCCTCGAGCATGTCGGCGTCGGCGAGACCTGAGTCTAGATGGGGAATACACAATTTGGTATTGAGCGGTGCGCGCCAAGAGTTCATCTGAGGTCATTGAGACAAAGATCATCCCTTCTTGAATGCTAAATGGACGAGGATTCCAGTTAATATTTGAATCTCGACTTGTTATGTGATAGGATCAAGATCACTTACGGAGCGTCGAAGCCCGATTTGGGTGCTTTAATGACAATCTTTTTCAGGCAGAAGGGCGTCTCCCCTTGGTGACGAAGAATCAAATTACATCGGTCACTTTTGGTACAGTAAACTGATGAGTCGTTGAGAAGAACATTTTCCGGATAAGAGTTTTCTCCGTTTGTTTCATACGTTCCTCCGTCACAGCTGACAATCTCCATCTCCAAAGCGCCCGGCACAACTTGGCCGAAGTGACCATAGCTAAAGCCTTGGATCCCCTCCCTCTTATCATCAGAGTCCAGTTTGCGCCTTTTCGGTCTCCATCGACTGCCACGACTTTCGGCGGCTCTGTCCTGAGAAGCGGGAAGAGAAAGTCCTGCCAGGGGAACAGGCTCATCAAGAGCAGAGTTAAAGGATGTCCCTGAAGTCCGCACCGCAGCTCGCCGAAGATTATCCCATTCGCCGAAAGATGTAGTTCTCCGGGTGTCAGCATCGGTAGCGTCCATGGCTATGTTTAGCCGATCCGCCGCACCCATCCGGGGACGTCTTTGCCCAGTTGTAGGTTCATTCGATCTTCTGCCTTGTTCTGACCTAGGCTGGATTGTTACAGGGACAGAAGTATCTGCCTGTTGGCCCCTTTCAAAACCGATTCGCTCCCCAATATTTCCAGTGTCATTCTCGACATGGGAATCGATGATGCCCTCTAAGGCCTGTAACTCTTCATGAAAAACGTTGTAAGTGCTTTCGCGGGCGGTTTCTCGCCAGCGGGACATTCGAGAATCAAGTAAGCCCTGTAGGTGTTGTAGTCTGGTGTTCAAACGCGTACGGTACTGTGCCCGATCCGCGGGGCTCCCCGGTCGATTGTTGCGATCAGAGGAACCTGGGAAATCGAAGTTGCCAGACTATACGGTAACATTAACAAATGGGGTTGAAAATATATGAATGGAATGGACAAGTATTTTTTGATAATTTCGATAGAAATCGTCATGTCATGTATGTGTAGTGTAATACCCAGGCTAACGTACCATTGTGTGGGGATGAAATCGATGAGCAAGAACTTGGGGGGAAGATGGTTGCTATGTGGTGGCTAGCACAGAGTATCAATTTTTGGAGGTGAATAACGTCGGCAAAGAGAGCTAAACCCCCAATATTTATAAGGTGTAGCTTGTAGTTGGATAAGCCCAGGCACCAATGTGGTAAAGGAGGGCGGTATGACTGAATCCTCATCAGATACGAAGAGGAAGTAAAGATGCCGTGTTTAGCATGAGAGACTGCCTAAGCTGACCTACCTCAGGTATGAATATTGCTGTGTATGTGCGAGGCGGATGGAGGAATCGTAGCAGTGCCTAGGGAGGGTTGATGCGGAGGATGAAGGAGACGAATGTCGTCACTTGCAGTTAAATGCTTTGTTGATGGTTGGAAACAAGGGAGGCTGAAACTCGAGCCCCTTCAGCAGTTGAACCAAAGGTGGCAGCCCAGTTCTCCACGTGACGGCAGGTGATCAACACCTGGGCGGCCACTCATTTGGAACATCTACAAAACCTCAACACTGCAGTGCATCAATCTGGTGTACACTCGTATTAGTTTGTCTGCTGTGCTTTTCCATTGTTGAGACATCAGCCATTGACTTCCTCAGAAGAACAAAGCTCCAATTCCATAAGCCCAGTTAAATATTTCCCCCTTAGAAACTCTCTGTTCTACATACCTATATCAGGCGACATCTCATACTGCGGTTAAGTGTATTTCCGGCGTCTTAAACCTCCCTAATCTCAATCATGACAACAGATAATACTGGTAGCCAAATAACAGCAGGTGTGCTTCCCTTTTCCTTTTCCTTTCCCTTTTTCCTTTTTATCTCTTTCTTTCATTTCTCATTTTTTTCAATTTTCATTTTTTCTCTTTCTGAAGAACCAGAGGTTTTGCTAACGGAAAATCAAGATGAAATTGCTCTCTATGACCGTCAAATTCGGCTATGGGGTGTAAAAGCACAAGAAAAGTGTGCAGCAACCCCAGAATCCCGTTAACAGCCTTCAACTAATTTGGGATTTTGGAATGAAATAGACTTCGGACTGCCAAAATTCTGCTCATCACTCTCAGGTCCCTTGGCGCAGAAGTGGCCAAAAATCTTGTGCTAGTTGGAATTGGATCCCTTACGATCATAGATAATGCTACTGTTAGAGAGGAGGACGTTGGTGCTCAATTTTTCCTCTCGGAAGAGCATATCAGCCAAAACGTTAGTCCTAATTACTTCGTACAACTCCCATAGTCGATCGTAGAGCTGACGAATATCACAGAGAGCAGAGGCTGCAGCCCCTCAAATTCGTCAAATGAACCCAAGGGTACAGGTGACAGTTGAAGCTGTCAATATCAGATCAAAACCACCAGCATTCTTTGCTTCATATGACGTAACCATCGCAACAGATCTGGACTATGACACCCTCTGCTGGATAAACAATTCCTGTCGAGTGGCCAATCGTCGTTTCTACGCCGCAGGAATTCATGGGTTTTACGGCTACATCTTCTCCGACCAACTTAGCCATGACTTTGTAATCGAACGAGAAAAATCAAACGTCGCCTCTTCGACCATCGAAACACCCACCAGAACAATTCTGGACGTGAAAACCAAAAAGGAAAACGACAAGGTTATAGAAATGATCACAAAACGCGAAGTCTACTGTCCGCTCATGCTTTCCAACACCTCTTCCCTGCCTCAGGAATTCACTAAAGTGCGCCGTAAGCGCCTGCAGGTAACACCCCTTCTCACCTGTCTACGTGCCCTTTGGGAATTCCAACGCGAAATGAATGGAAGTTTGCCCACAAGGGATGACCTGGAAACATTCCTTCGCCTCGCCAATGACCGCCATTTAGAACTTCGTCTAGATATTTCCACTCTCACCGCGGAGTTCATACGAAGTTTCCTTGACAATCTTGGCAGTGAATTGAGTCCCGTTGCCGCATTTTTGGGAGGTGCTGCTGCTCAAGATGTCATTAACGTTTTAGGCGCAAGGGAGCAGCCGCTGCAGAATCTCCTATTGTTCGATGGCGAGCGGAGTGTTGCACCTATCTATTCGCTGCATCCGATTTTCCCGGAAGAGTGAATTGGCTGTTTTTTTAAGAGTGGACTAGGATTGAGATACCCTTGCCGTCGGAATGGGATTTTGCAAAGAACTTGTTATTTTTGCTTCCTTTCTGCTTCTGGGTTGATGTTGGGTGGTTTGGCTTTTCTGAGCAGCATCTTAGTTATACCCACTGCGTCAGGTCTTTTGCTCACACACATCTCCGGGAATTAATCAATTTCACGCGGAAAATCTGCCTAATGTCGTATTCGATCTATGGACGATATCGACATTACGAAGAAGCCTCTTGTTAGTGTAGGGATTATAAGATGGATGTTACTTTATAATTTACTCTGCCATTCACCAGACCTACAATTTCAGGTTTTTGTTTTTCTCCACTACAAACAGGATGCAGGGGTGTTTTGGATTTTGGGGAGAGCAATCATCCCGATTGTTCCGTTTATGTTTCGGATGGCTATCTGTTTGTAAATTCTCTTGAGTTAAAGCGAAAGATTTTCAAGTTAAAGAGAAAATGGGTAGCATACTGAGGGGAGAAGTCAAACTAGAGGGCATTGTCAGAAGTTGGAAAAAATATTATGTCGACGTCAGCACAATACGTCCCCCATTACGCAGTCTCCACGCCGAAACTATGATTAATTACATATAATTAAATAAACAGGCAAGTGGAAGGGAGAAGGGAAACGCAGAAACATGAAATAGATAAAAAAAAAATTTTAGTTGAGCTGAAAAGTAGAAAAGGCGAAGCTCATTTTATAAATGGAAGCGCCAGAGTGTGTTATGGCGCACGTAGAAAAATAAAATATATAATCGGTAATTACACAACCGGGACACCTAACTATAAGAACACTCCAACTGACAATAATGCCCATTGCTCCCATCTCGACTCTACAGATGGTGCAATAAAAATGCATAGTTGCTGCAAGTAAAATATACCAATCCATTTTGAAGGGAAATATATATAAAGAAAACATACAAAATACATATGTATCTGCACAAAAATTCCCTCAGGAAACAAAATAATGCTATGAAATTCCATGTATATATACCAAATGAAAAATACAGACCAAGATAGCCAGCACCAACTCCTCAAATGATATCTGGATGGACCCCATCAAAACCTCTTGGCGGTTGTTAAATTATAGTTCATATACTATCGTCCTCCTCCGAGGGTTTCCATTCTATAATCGGCGCCCCCACCGATGGGCCCATCATCATCTCGATCTTTGTGCGCAGCACCTATCAGGCCTTCCAGCTCATATTCTTCTGCATCGTGAATATGTTGAGCTTGAGTCTGGCTGAGAATATGGCCGTTAGAACCTGCATGAAGGCCGCTAATTGGGAAAGAGGTGGAGGTACGGCCATTTGGCACACTGTGATCTGAGGCGGGTCTTGTATCGTTATATTTCGCAGTTTGGGGCCAGGCATGAATCGCATAGATGTGGATGAGTACATTGACAACTAACAAGTTAGGTGAGTAAAGTATACGAATCCTGAAAGGGGATGTGTTATTGGTTAACTCCTGACTTACATAGGAATAGGATAAATGCTATGCTGTAGATGATGAGAATGTAGGATACGTGGGAGATGCCCACATTTGAGAGGAACTCCATTTGTTCCTCCGTCGCTCCCATGAAGAGAAATCCGGATGCATATAGCAGCTGCAAATCGTTAGGTTCTAGCGGCTTTAAGCACAGTGGGACAGGAAGAACTTACGAAAGGAGAAAGATATTGGAAGCTGTTAGGATCAGTTCCGTCAGGGCTGAGAGAGTCGCGGTCTTTCAGCACAAATGTGATTTCCACTATTCTCGTCGCGCCCGCAGCCATCAACGTGTATCCGAAAACGGTGTGAACCATGGTACTTAGGGGCAGGTGTTGCGGGTGTGAAGACATGGCATATCCTGTGAGTATGATCACAATTCCTGGGATCAAATTTCTTTTAGGTCGGCCATCTCTCTTCCTGCTTAACCAAATTCCCACCAGGCCAGCACACCACCAGATAATACCCATACTCGTGTGTTGTAGATCGTTATGTCCCCAGGGTTGCCCCCATCGGTGCTCCGTAAAGGTGTTTATGCACCCCCAAACAGCAATGACTACGGAATCGAAGAACTCTTGACTCTTACCAGTCCGGTAAAGCCAGTATTGTCCGACCAAAAGGACTATGGTCATGAGTATTCCATACGCAATAAACGCGCTGCCCATGATGAAATGGGCAAGACACTGACCGAGGTGGTCATCGTGACAAAATCCGAGCGCCGTTATTCCGCCGAACAGCATTTGGACCCAACTCACAACGGGCATCAGCTTGCCGAAAACGCCGTGTACCACGACCACATACAGACGGATTTTGCCATTGATTCCCCGCGATAGGTGAAGCTTGAGATATACGCCCAGGATAATTTGAACAATGAGCATGAGCACTAACGGATTCGCAAAGGTTGCATGGATGTTCTTGGAAAATGTTCGCCCCTTATGTAAATGGCCCATAAAGTAGGCCAAAACTGCAATAATGGTGCTCGCTACCTGCACTGGAACGTGCCAGCGGGATCGGATAATCTAGATACAATGGCAATTGTCAGGTCGCATCCTGCAGTCGGTAGAAGAAAGAAATCACTCACCCCAAGGACCATCCCAGTTGGAAATACAAGCCCAAATGCAACAGTCATTAGTATCATATGCAACCACAATACCGCATCCTGAGAAAAGAACACGATTTGTTAGCAAAAAAGGTACTCCAGATACAGGATATGGAGTGTAGAGAACGCACAATTGGATCCCCTGAAATCACCTCCCCTTCCGGGAGCTCAGAATGATCGCCATGGGCAAGCGCATGTCCCTTAAAGCACCAGAGCAGAACCTGCACTAGAGCAATCGATCTCAACATTCTCGATTTGGGAAACAGTTCAACAAGGTATACGTAAACAGGAGAGGACCTCCAAACAAGCCGATTTCTGCAATTAACGGCTTCGGTATCTTGTCGCAAAGCGGTTCGTCGGGTTGACTGCGTCTATATTCCGTAAAGTTTACCCGTAAAGTTTAGGCCGGTAACGTCTCTCCAGATATAGCCATAGAAATAGAACAAAAGGGAGTAACACGGACTCCTCCTTGCTATAATCCGCAGAATTAACGCGGAAGAAAAATGAGGAAAGCCATCATGGAGACGTAGAGATTGTGTGCAAGATGTAAGAATTTGTCGAATTATTGGTTGAAACTGGCTTCTGGACGAGCTAGTGTTTATTTACTAGCACCGAACAAGTTTAGGTAAACTGTGGGGCTGCAACCTTAGATCCACGTGAGATAAACCCCTTTTCCAAGATTATTAACTACCGGCTAACGTCTATTCGCCAATTCTCTTCTCGTCCTCTTCGACCTACCTAGGTATAATTATACTGTCCTTTGGAGGAACTCTCAGCTCAGAACAGTTTAACTCCAGATTCGCTGCCTCCGGATCTGCCAATACCCGTCGTTGAGGTAGCTATGGATTACGGCAAATAAGAGCAGTTGTGTGTTTTCCACTGCTACGGATGTTACATTGTTCCCTTGGCTCTTTCTATGACATTTCTACAGTTCACCCTTGAAGGTTGTGAAGAAATTTTGATATCTGATATTCTCACTGTATGTATGTTGAATATAACAGCGTGTAAGGTACACCTGCTTTCGCTCAATACCCAGTGATTGCAAAGCTTCTCTCCATCTAAACTCTCCCCATTAATGCAACTATCTGAGATCTGCAACATTGAATTCTGCAACTGCATTGCATTTATTCTCATTTTAAAGGAAAGAAATATCTGATTGTTATGGTTCATTGTTTCAAAAACTTCCCAGAGTGCTCTTGTTCAGACTGCGCAGACTAAGTGCTTTGTGCTCCATTAACTGGCACTCTATCTCCAGTACACATATTCTCAGGGATAATGGAGAATTCAATCTAACTTTTCAATTGACAGGTGCAAAACCAATGGCCCAAGGGGAATGCAATTGCGAAGATAAGGGCACAGCGCGGGCGGCTTCGAATCAGCAAACGACAGCAGTATCCATGACGGACCCTGTGTCAAAATCAGACCCTGATCGGGCTGTACCCGCAACTCCCTTCCAGTACAGCCAAAAGCACGAAAAGATGATCGTCAGTCTGCCATCTGCGTTACTCCCCAGTGCTATCAAGAGTAAATTACACACATGCTGAATTCTAACACTGCCAAAACCAACGCCATTGGAAACCCTCCCCTTTAGAAATCCCTCACCACCAAAATATCCATTCTCAACTCCGAAATCTCAAAGACAGAAACTCTTCTCTCCGAAGCTAGGGGCAAACTGAAGTAATACCTTCCTCCGTACCTATATCCAAAACATACATTTTTCAATCCCGTTCCCATCTTTTTTTTTAGCTTGCCCTCCAACTTCACGTGCATCTTAGAACAGTTGGTGGTGAGAACTGCTAACCCAGCTTAGCCTCCCAGCTTCCAACAGAGCTGGAACGGCAGGTAAAGATAAAACGCCAATCCCCAAGGACCCTGCCGCGATTGTTCAACGCCATATCCGTCTCCTACATGAGTACAATGAGATCAAAGATATTGGGCTGGGTTTAATTGGGTTGGTTGCGGAGGCAAGAGGGGTTCGACATGTGGATGCGCTGCAAAGCTTTGGCGTTGGGGAGAAGGACTGAGAAGGGAGACAGTTGGATGCGTCTTAGGAGGGGTGGAGAGCGGGGGCGGCTCCAGAGTTTGTTTCCTGCTCGTTTTTTATTAATTATGACGTTGAAGGGATACTGTGCATTAAAATGGATTGGTAGGGAATGGGTGTAGTTAGACCTGGAGTTAATTTCAATTATTTTGTTAAAGTCTCATGTGAGTTAGAGATTTGAGGAATGGAGTAACTAGTTGTTTTATGTTAGCCAGATATATATGGGCACAAGGAGGGTGCTCAAGTGGTATCATGAAAGATAAAATAGATAGTTTATTATATGTAGTGACTGGTTATGAGGAGGTTCGTCATTTCTTCTCAATTGATTAAAGAAATGGTTCAAATTCATTCTCAAGAACAGTAGCAATAATTATAAAAGATAAGTTGTCTGGACAGCAATCTTTCTCTACTAACATACTGGAGCTCTCCTGATGATTGAATTTTATGGCTGAGCAAGATTGCTGCCTTGTAGTATATAGAATTGTAATACAGAGAACTAGAAAGATCTTTAAGAGATGAAAGAATATATGAAATGAAACGAGATAGACCATAGTATGTAAACAAACTAACAGAGGAACTAAACACAAATTCTAACAAATGTTCAGTCTTTCGCTCGTTTAGAAATTACTAAACCCACATAGCTCCTCTTCGATTGTCATCAGCTCTATCACCTCAGAATCTCTTATGAAATATCCACCGAATCGATGACTACGATTACGTTATCCTCCAACCAAAGTAATACACTCATCAATAACAGCTTCCATCTCCCCAATTCGATTTTTCAGCCCGCCGTTTTCCTCCTTCAGAATGCTAGCAATAGCCCAAGCATCTGATGCGTTGGCTCCATAGCAGTTGGAGCATCTGGACACGGAAAACGGAATGGAACTCATCAATGAACCACCAAAGCCTGCAGACGAAATACCCTTAAGGACTTTGTCATAAGCGGAAGACTTTGGAGCGGGCGCGGGAGTTGGAAGTTTTGACGGCGACACCAGTTGGGGCGAAGCCAATTGAGCACTTGAAGGGAAGTGGAGAGGGGTATGTGGACAGATATCAGGAGATGAGGATCTAGATGTCTTCGTTGCCACGGTCATGGGTGACCCCAGGCCGTCGTTTCTACTCGAAAATATGCTTTCAGTAGTACTCTCATATCCGGATTCGAAGCCGGAGTCGCTGTAAAACGCCCCCCCACTGGAGCGTTTGCTAAGGCATCTTATAGACATGGTATCTTGCCCGTCTTTGACAGTACTGGGGATGTGGTGGTTGACAGGTTCTGATTCCTGGACCAGGACAACGCTTCGCTTTCGCGTCTCTTCTTCTTGCTTTTGCTTTTGTCTCTCGAGGTTAAACTCATCTGCCATCGCTTTTATGGCTTTGTCCTGTTCAAGAACCTTTTCCGCCATTTTATTTAGTTGATTTCTGATATTCTGTAGGCGTGATTGTGTCTCTTCTAGCTCTTCTCCTAAAGATGACTTCTCTGCGAGTGCTTCGTGAAGTGCAAAAGTCCGCTGTTTGTATGCTGCATGGAGCTCCCTAATAACTTGTTCTGCATTCTGTGGGAGGGTTTTAAGTACTTCCGCAGTGGGAAGATCCGTAGAGTTTGCAGGGCAAAGTACTGAGCTGATGTCGAGGTTCAGAAATTCATCCTCAGCGGGTTCTGGCAATTGACCTTGTTTTGAGTCATTGGCTTTGGTGCCAAAGAGGGAGAACCGAGCAGTAGAGCTGACTTGTTTCAAAGGGGATGGCATGCTCATTCTGTTTTGTACCCTGCCTGGAGGCCGTGAAGAATATAATTCTGCCATGGTTTCTTTGGGGCGCTGCGAGTTTTCGATGTCGTCTTCCTTCGGGCAAAAGTACGGGACGAGCCCGAACCTAATTGGGGAGGATACTCCCTGGAAAAGACCGGTAAATAGCCTTCCTGGAATATCTGATTTAAAAGCTCTAGAAATTTTTTCACTTGGGTCCAGCTCAACCTCTTCTAAACAATCTTCAGATAAATGATGTAGTTGACTGAGGGTTTCGTTACCGTTTCGAATAGTTCTAGGGTATGGGAGCGAAGGAACTTCAGTTTTCGCTCGACGGTGGGTTGGGCTGCGTAGAGGAGAATTTTCTTCTGATCTCAAGTGAGGTTTGGGCTTGACAGATGATCTGAGTGTAGGAGGAGTTGTAGGGGGGGCAGTTATTGGAGGGCCAGTTCCTCCATCAGTCGTTTCAATGCATGGTTCAACACGAGGACGTCGATTCGTTGAGCCGCGGTGGGGAGACGTTAAATTGCGGAATGTTGAAGAGGCACACGGTGATTTCGATTCAGAGTTGAGCATTGGATGCAGGGTGAAGCCGCAGAATGTTCGTACAGTTTGTACAAAAGTTAAGGACAGAGATAAACTAGTGCGTGTTGATTTGCCAACCTGCTATCACCACGTATTGGGATAAACACTCTTGAAGTTGATTGGACGGTTTCGCACAGAACGAATAAAATAACTAATTATGCCTAAAGCCTGCTCTTGAAGTACATCGACACCTCCCAATGTACAAGAAACTGGAGGCTGACGTTTCTATCGCAAAGATAGAAAAATGCCGAATGCCCCCGGTCACGCAGAGGCAGAGAAAGTTGTCGATATGTTGGTGGCTTGAATGTTGAGGAAGCCGAAAGCGGAGGCTTGAGGCTGCCAAGAGGTTTAACTAACTCCGATAAGGATGGTCAGGACGTATGTTTGTCGATCGGGTTCAACAGTGTGGTTCAACAATGTGTTTGACTCTCACAAAACCAACATTCATTGTTTGTGTCGTTGAAATAAGACGAAAGCTGCAATTGTTCTTTTATCCCTTCCATGATCCCATTGCCCCCAGACGCAGAGTTGGCAATTAATTGAGAGGCTGGGGACATTTATTTGAGTGGCTAGCAAGCATTCGTGCCCACCGCATCCAGCCCAGTCCACAGGAACGGGCTCCACCAGGGTTGGCAGAGGGAGGAAGTTTTCAAATCGTCATACTTGACACACAGTTTCCCCCTTCAGGGTCGATACTGATCCCTCCCACTTCGAATGGATTTAGTAGCCTTGAAAAGCTATTGCAGGTGTACTGCCCTCCCTCGCTGTTTCACGTTTGACGCTCTTCGAATATCGCTGGAAACATAAACCATCTTGCCCGGTGAAATCAGGAAGGCTCTGCGTAAACTTGAGTGACATTAGCCTTGCCATCTTTGCTTTTAGATATTTCCGAGATGGATGAGGTCTCTGAAGAATTGCTCTCTTGATTTTTGGATTCATAGGTGTGATAGGGTTAGGTAATCATTTTGGGCTTAGGCCGGGGTTGTCTTAGGCGCTGCTTTAATTGAAAGTTTGGCGGCTGCAGCCCTAAACCCTAAACCGTGCTTTGTGCGTAAAGCTTGGCTCCATGCTTGAGACTTAAGAAAACATCTGCGACGGCAGATTAAACAATAGATACAGCAGCCGTTGTGACTGCGGAGAAAAGCTCACAATGTCACCAATGGCTTCTCTGGATAAACTCTCAAACCCACTTGCAACCCCTGCCCAGCTTTTAATGTCGTCCTCATCCCTCGACAGGATTCCCGCCGACTTAGAGACGTCCATTCGCTATGCTACAGTTCAACTTATGCAGGCTGCTGGTATCCTTCTTAGACTTCCGCAGGATGTGATTGCACAAGCCATTGTGACTTTTTCGAGATTCTGGGTTGGTTCTGAAGGCGGCAGCCTTGCTATTCATTCGTCAAAGGTTCGAAGCACCCCGAATATCCCAGGAGAAGGCGCCCATGGAGGAGTAGGAGACAAGCTAACAAATCTGTCAGGATATCTCTGCAGCATCACTCTATCTGATGGCGAAGCAATCTTTCGTGCCCGTTTCCCTACGTTCAATCATCAATGTTTATACTTTTCTTCTCTCCCCCGAAGCCTCCCCACTCGATTTCGTCAACCCGCAGCCTCCCGTAGAAAGGCCAAGCCCGGAGACCTACTATGTATCAGAAGGCGCCTACCACGCAGAGCGACTAATTTTGATGAAAATGGAGAGCGCGGTTCTCAGGACCCTTGCGTTTAATACTCATGTCACCCTCCCTCATACCATTGCCCTTACATATCTGCAAACCCTAGGAACATCCTCCAGCGCAGTGTCAAAAAGAGTCTTCGAGCATCTAAATGCAGCATTATTCTCTCCACAACTCTTATACTTGACTCACCAACCAAATGCATTGGCTGCTTCAGCGATATACCTTGCAGCAAGGGAGGAGAGTGTCAAACTGGTAGATGGTGAATGGTGGGAGGTCTTCGACGTGGATAGAGAAGAGTTGGGCTTCGTGGTCGTTGGGATGAGAAGTATGGAAGGTTTCGCGAAATCGGAAAAAGAAAAATGGAAGGGCCGTCCTGTTCCTTTGACTGTTGATCAGGTGGAGGCGGAGCTGGAAACTCGGAGAATGCTGGAAGAAGGGGAATGAAAGGGGACTCTATTGCAACATGAATCATATTTTGGCTTCTGCTCCTGCACCTGCTTGGAAATTTAACCGGCATGGACCGAAAAAACGCTACTACGTTTGGAGGTTTATGATAATGGCCTCCCCTGTGAAGTTGTTTACTGCGCAGATGGTCCTATGACAATGCACATCGTCGACGCACGATTGACAAGGGTTATAGTGACGAGAGTTGAAGTGTTCTTCCAAAGGCGAGCCGCACTTTGGAAACACCAAACCCAGCAAGCACGGAGGCTTATGGATGTAACTCTTTTATAAAGGTCATATCCTTAAGGTTTAAAGACTTTCAGTGATGGCTATTGCAAGCATGTGGTTTGAGAGCCTTTTTATCAATGGTCTTAAAAGCAAAAAAAAAAAAAAAAAAAAAAAAAAAAAAAAAAAAAAAACTCAAGAGGAAAAGCCGCCCCTGACGACTTCGAGTTAACCTCCCACTCCTGTTGATGGCATGTGGATGGCTCACCAATTACTGCCGTTTTACAAGCTCAAGACTTCAAGGTGCCTGCAGGAATAGGTGGTCTACATGGGCTCCGGCAATGGAAGTATAACATACAGTTACTATTTCATTTATGACGAATGAGTAGACTACTTTCAGGTAAATACAACTTGGGGATTAGAGGTTAATAAAGTAACTTTCGAAAATTTACTGCATGCGTGATGTCTGACGCTCTATTTTTGTCATACATGACGAAGATGCCCAACTCTGGTGACCTTGCTCCCTTCAAGTCCACGTGATTCTCCTCCCTCAAAGCGTCATATTCAGTTGGAGTTGCTCCTTAGCGATAGTTAAACAAAACTGGATCCACCTCTAACCACCTATTTATTGATCAAATGTCAACTCAACATCTTGAACTTAATCTGCATTTCTCTCATTTTTTCTCCACCCAATACTGCAGCCATAATCAAGCTTCTCAAAACCAAAACTGACGAATCTCACAACAATGAACGTTGTCCGCTCCACCCTGAGCACATGGAGGGAACGTCTCGCCCCGGTATCCCACACCTCAACCTTCCGCTCCACAGGCCAAATTACACCCGAAGAGTTCGTCCTCGCAGGCGACTATCTAGTATACAAGTTTCCCACATGGTCCTGGGAAGATGCGAGTTCACTAGCAAAGCGTGCCCCGCATCTACCACCCGGGAAACAGTTCCTAGTGACACGCGGGGTACCGTGCCATCGGCGACTTGATGATAACTTTGCGGGCGATGCTGGTCAGGAAGATGTCATGGTTACTGATGGGCTGAGTGGTGCTGGCGGCGGTGGCGGTGGGGACGTGGGTAGTGGTGATGATGAGGGCTGGCTCCGAACTGCAGGGGGTATGTCGGATAGTCATGCGGCGAGGATAAAGGATGTGCGGACGGTTGATGAAGCAGGGAATATTGGGGAGAAAGAGGAGGATGAGGAGGAGATTCCGGATATGGAGGAAGAGGACGATGATGCAGAGGCTATTATAAGAGAACCGGCTGGGAAAGCGGGGACTGATTCGTAAGTGTTTGGTGCATTTTTATTCTGTTTTGGTGTCTGGCTTGGATCTCTTGCTTTTTCGGTCCTTCTCTGTTGTTATGTTGTGGAGTTCTCAATAGCAGAGTGTGAACACTCTAACACTTATTCCTTTAGGCCCCTCCGAACCTACACACTCTACATAACATACAGCACCTACTACCGAACCCCGCGCCTGTATCTTTCCGGATATCTCTCCCCTTCCGAACCCCTTGCCCCGCACCTAATGATGGAAGACATCGTCGGTGATTACAAAGACAAAACAGTCACCCTAGAAGATTTCCCCTTTTTCGATGGCGGTGTGAAAATGGCCAGTGTGCACCCCTGCCGCCACGCAAGTGTGATGAAAGTCCTTCTCGACCGTGCGGAAGCTGCCCTGAAACTTCGCCGCCAAAAGTTTAAAGATGCTACATCGACTGAGGACGTGAGACGTAATATGCCCTCGAAGGTTGAGAGTGGACTGGTGGGGCTGGTAGATGATACGTCCCGTCTGACAATTTCCAGGGGACACCAGCAACAGCAGCAGCAGCAGCAGCCGATCGCAGCGGTGCCTCCGAGCGGTAATGCGGGGGATGAGTGGGAGGTGCTGCAGCATGAAGGCGCGGAGGAAGAAGAAGATGATGATGATGATGAGCAGCGCGTGGCGATCCGGGTGGATCAGTATCTGGTTGTTTTCTTGAAGTTTATTGCGAGTGTAACGCCTGGTATTGAGCATGATTTTACGATGGGGGTTTAGGAATGCAGTTGTCTACTATTTCACAAGTGATCAAGGAAATTGGCATGAGACTCTGAACATGATGGACTCGCCATTTTCGACATTTTTGTGCCATTTGATATCACTATTTGGTTTGCTTCTTTGTTGCCTGGAGCACGGGGTGAGAGTTAGGTGGACTTGATATTCCCTGACTTTTATTTCTCACGTTATATTAATCTATCTCATCCTTTTCCCGCACATTTCTTCCATATTTTGCTAGTCTTCTCATATGCCCATGACGTTACATATTATATCCATCTGACCTTTATTCACAGGAGTTGGGAGAACTGCTGACGCCTGAAAATAAAAAATTTTCATAATAAATATCACAAGATACGTTGATAACCAAAAGGAAGATTCTCCCAATCTGTTGCGTTTAACTGTATCTTTCTCTCATCACCGTGCAAAGTGGTTATGGGTTTCCACCCATGCTTGTATTCATAGAGCTCAAGTGTTGACCGGAAAGGGCTAATTTGAACGCCTGCGGTAACATTCGAAAGTCGACACGGGCTTGGAGAGCATAGCACATCGGAAAATTCCTTGTGTGTTGTTGATAGCCAGCTGAGGAAGCTAATGTTGAAAAGAGAGGGTAATCTGGCTTGCATTAATAAGCGGACTGACCTATATCCCTTTTTATAAATGAATCAATTCAGTGTACCACATATGTGCCCGTGCCTTGCATACATAGCCAGAGGCAGAGAGATTGACAAAACGATCTGGACAGCAGCTCTGACCTAAGTCTTGATATTACTGTGCCTTTATTACCAGCGTTTCTTCCGTTGATATACTCCGGAGGCTGTAGATAGAGTGATAAAACGCCGAAAAAAATATCCAAAAAGAGTTAACCCCGATTCCAAATGCAAAAATGGCAGTGATGGTGGGGGCCAAAAGGTAGAAACTGGGGCGACAGGTTAATAAATGAAATTATAGTTGGTTGTCAAGACACCTCATCCCAGAGGTTAGGTAGCCAAAGAGAGAAATACTGTACATTGTGTGTATAAATAAATAAAATAGATGGGATACATACGAAGATGGCTTTCGTTCCCCGCAAAACTAAGAGGAGATATTAATAAATAACATAAATAGATTATAAAGATCCAAAAGCCGAACCAAAATTCGTGCTATGTTTAAACTTGATCCCAGGCTCCGGCTCGGTTTCTGCATGCTCCGATTCTTGACTGGGGCCTATACAGTCTTGCTCGCTAGAATCGGATCCGGGCCCATGTTGCGTGATCTTTCTCGCTTCATTCAATAGCTTCTGGTCAAGGGACTTCAGAAACTCAAGGTCCTGCTTCTCGTCATTCTTCAGGCCAAGGGGGCCTTCGAGGGCCCGGTCATCATCGACGTCAGGAATGTACGAGTCCGCCGTCGCCTCTGCCTCGAGCGTTTGCTGTGGAGCAATGGGCGATTCCACTGTCAATGTATTATCCTCTGTTGATACATTGCTTATATCTGCCCCCAGTTCAACGATTGGCTTCGGGGTGTGTCCCGCGTCTCTGACAAGGTTTTCCTCCGGGGGTCCCAATTCGGAAAGTGAAATCCGTAAGGGGTGTTTGGCGTCTGGTGCTTCGTTTGAAGGTGGTGATGCGAGGGGCATAGGGGATAGCGAGGAGGCTCTTGCGAGGACATCGGGTGGGAGAGCCGTAGATTTAAGGGTGATTCCATCTAGACTGCTGTCGACTAGCTCGATAGGTACTCCAACCGCAACGGAACGATCGACGGGTCGCATTCGAGGGGAGAGTGCTTCGTCAAGGGAAGGGGGTACTCCAATATCATGGTGATTACGGTGAAGGGCCGGGGCCTTGGGACTCTCTTCTTTCACCTCGTCCAAAAATATTCTCGTAGGATGTGTAGTTGGGCCTGATCCTTCCCATATATGATGGATGCCTTGCGGTTTACGGGCCTGCATTCCAATGGGATTCGATGGCATCGGGGTCTTTTCCATTCTGCCTAATTTAATCTGCCCTTTCTCCAGTTCCGCAATCGTAAGTTTCATAATAGTTCTTTCTTTCTCCCACAGCTTTCGCTCTTCCGCGAATGCTGCTCGCTCACGCTCGAAGCTCGTTCGCAAGCTTTGAATGGCTAACTGCGACTGCTCGATGTACCCAAAAAAATAACGGAAGCTTGGGTCGTGTGCCGATGTCCCACTTAGCGTCGTAGAGGGGTCATCGGGCCTTTTCAAAGGCAAATTACCGACCGTTAGCGATTGCGCGCGACGCACTGGAGGTGACGTGGGAGAAAACAAGGTCCCTGTGTAAGAACATTTAGGGCTTTCGCCACCAGATTTTGCAGCAGCCTGGGCCATAACTACTCCGGATGGAAATTCGATGAAAGTAGGTTGTTGCTTTTCAACCATACGTCGTCGTCACCTCTTACAAGATATGATGTAAGAAGGAGACGGCGATCGGCAGGAATGTATGATCTCCAGGAATATCCTAGTCGTTTTGGACGAAGTGATTAATATAGTTAACTATGTGTCAAGGTCGGTCGAGAATCGCCCGCCGAGATTCCACCGGGAGGCACATCAGCTACAAGCGGGATCGCGAAGGTATCCTAGAGAAGTAGAGCGGCAAGATTCCTTGATTTTTCCGGTTTCCTTTCCCCAGAAATGGGAGGTGATGCGATAGCAGAGCAACAAGCACGTTGCGCGGCTACCGAGGAGGTCAGGGGGGTTGGGTGGGACCTTGGTTCTAGGAAACTAAATAATTAGGCGCATTCTGCTTTAACCTTGGAGTCATCTGAAGGTTCCCAACGTCTTTTTTTTTTTATTATTTTCTTTCCTGTTTTAACAGAAAAGCAGGTAACGAATGAGACGATGCGTGCATTCGACACATGTAGTTACTGCTTGCTGCCTTGAAGTGGCTTTTCGTAACGAGACCATCCTTTTTCTTTTAATATAGTTTACTGCAGCTTTCTGCCTCCACGGAGTTTACAAGAGGCATATTCCAAGGTCCTGTTGATGGGACCGTTTCTCTCTTCTAGCCAATTTCATGTCCCGTTTCTACTGACTGAACAGCAACCTTTGGACCCAACCTCAGGTTCCACTCTCTTTTACCCGTGTTTCGGGAGACCGTAGCGGTATACAGAGAAACTTCTCTCAAGGAATTATTCCATCTTCATCTGGATAATCCTACGCACTTATTAGCTATTGCTGATCAAAGTTATTCTGGTCATTACCTCATGGCATGCATCGATGATGCTTAACAGTTATCGTTTCTGCTCGCATGAATTCATTAGACTCTTTATATCTAACAAAAGTTGTCAAATTTATTGATGATAACTATCAATCTGACACACAGGAATCTTGGAACCATAGCTTAACATTTTAGGATATTTTTTCCCTGGGCATTCACACCAGATCCGTTGAATGTAGATAATATATACGTTTGAAAATAGACCCACATTTGATTCTCTGAGAGATGAGTTGTCCAATTTCAGAACTCTACAAGCAGTTCGCCAGGACTCATCGGACATCTCTTTCAATATCCATGCAATCATCTTTGTACCTGTGCAAGAGGGGCATGATAACGATATGGAAACATATTTTAATGATGCTAGATCGAATCCCATCATCTCCCCACATTGAGCAAAAAGCCTCAAACGGAACACACGGAAATCTCCCAATATTTTCTACCTGGAATGGCCAAGGTGGAAACGGCTGTGCATCTGTGCGTCCTTATGAACAACTGCATCAAGAACAATCGAGAGCGATCGTGAATGCCGGGGCAAATCATGGTCGATTGTGGTATATCAAGATCGTCGATGTGTGGACAGAGGGAGCTAGAAGCTCTTTGCAGTGGACCGAAAGAAAGGATACGGGGGGGAGTTGACCACCGTGAATTCAGAGAGCAAATTTGCGTTCAACTATTTGTTGATTGAGTTCGAATGCATTATAGGACCTTCTGTTCCAATTCAGTCTTAAAGTGTCAGGGGTTGAGAAATACCATCATGCTCCACCCATCTTATATCTTATGATGATTTGGGGTATGCTTGAAATAAGACAGAGAGACCTTTAGAACCAGCTTCTTAGTACATGTCGCGCAAATTGAAACGCAGTTTTCGAGCTCGCGGGAAATATACCCTACTTTCAATTATATTCCTCAATCCACTGGTGTACATATCCTGGGATGGGATCGCACCTAACACATTATGTACTGTACAAATGGAGCTGCAGAGTGACCGAATTACGGTGAAGAAGCGATACAGGTAACTATGCGCAACCAATCCTCATGACCCGGTGACCATAACACCAAAAAATTAGAAAGCTAAAGTTGGCAGACAGAAAATTTAAAAGAAGATGACCTTGCAAGACAGAGAGAATCTATCAATCAATTCATTCTATAAACGCCAAATCCCCAAGCTGCCCGCAATACAGCCAAACCCCACGCCATCCCAAAACTATCCCATATAACATTCAATTTGCTCCCTTTCACCTCCCGCCAGCCCACAGGCACCTCGACCACGGGGATCCCTGAGAATTCAGCAAGCATGAGCATTTCAACGTCGAAGATCCAGCCTTCGGAGTGCATGTGGGGTATAATATAGGGTAGTGAGGCGCGCGAGAAGAGCTTGAAGCCGCACTGAGTATCCTTAATGGCAGCGGTTGCGGGCGGTGTGAGGATGCGTAAGATCAGGTGAAAGGAGTGCATGAGGAAGTTGCGGAGTTTGGATCGCTGGGGAACGCGTGTTTTGTTAGCTGTTGTTGCCATTTACAGGAACGGAAAGGAGGGTAGGCAGCGGAAGGTATCTGGAATATAATATTTGGAATAGATGGCGGTACCTTGACAACAGCTTCACTGCCAACTAGATGTGCTCTAGATCCAACTGCAATACCGCGAGAAGAGGCATCTTCAACCCGCTGGCAGGCTGCTACTAGTTTCCCGAGATCATCGAAACGACTGGCACCATCTGCATCTGCAAAGATCACATACTGGCCCCGTACATGCCTCATGCCATGAGTGACAGCGCCACCCTTGCCTCTGTTCTGCGCAAGGGTGATGACTCGAATTGACCCTGGTGGGATGCGTACAACTTTTGCGTTGGACGCCGTTGTCCAGGGCCCGATGTGGCTCTTCGAGTGCGGGGAGAGTTGGTGGTCTCTAGCAAAAGCCAGTGCGGTTGCTACGGTTGAATCGGTTGAACCGTCTGATACGATCAGGATTTCCCAACCTTTGGATGGCGGGGCCGCACGTATGCTTTCATTCTCGTTGAGTTTACGGAAACGGGTCTCTCCTGATTCTTCCTCATCTCTACTCAGTGGCTTGCTTTGCTGCTGCTCTGACAATATTCCGTATGTTTTCTCAAGATAATTCACCGCCTCTACAAGCATCCCGCCCAGTCGATCTTCTTCGTTGTAGGCGGGGACAACAACTGACATGAACAACTCCGCCTTCTCTATGGCTTTCGCATCATTTGCTGGGGAGGCTCCCTGGCTATCTTGCCAGCAAGGTAGCAATAGTGGTTCCGTAATTGATCCATCTTCAGAAATCGTTTTGTAGTTTTTCTCTTGGGGAAGTGGAGGGCGGGGGGATGGTGCTACGATAAAAAGCAGAGTATATCCCTGGACGAAATTTAGTTTTGAAGCGTTGTAGATTGGGCGGGGCAGAGCAGATTAACGGTTAATTGCTGTTAAACCTACGGTAAGAATGGCACCAGTAATTGTGGATAGCAAGAATATGAACCATAGCGAAAGGGAAGCATTGCTGGCGAGCTGTATGCCTCGGTCGCAGATCGCGCGCACAGCTGCGCTGTCCATGGCTTGCTTCGTTCTTGGTCAAAATAGACCAAGATAAGAATGTAGAAAACACAACTGCTCAGTCATTCCATGTGGACTACATACGCAGGGTGTAGCGGGCAGCTGGTGATTGAACTTCGAACTCGGGTTTGCGAGGGATTGCAATCCGCATACCCGTTGGAGATGGTAGTTAGTTTATTTTCATCTTTCAGTATGTCAGCCAAGCAGCCACAGTGTCCTTAAATCAGATAAGCTTCCCGCTTGGCGTCACAGCGCTTGCGCTTCCTTTCACCCCGTCCAACTTCAACCCCACGCAACATTCTCTTTACCACCGACCAACAGCAATCGTCAAATGCCTTCCACAATTCTCGCTGCAACAATCAGACTGTTACTGTGCTATCAGACAGAGCTATCAGACAGTGCTGAACTGAGGTGAGGCCTACTGCGAAGCCTGATGGATGATGAGATTCGCAGTTGTTTTTAGCCAGCACTCGACGGCATCTCCAAGAGGCAGACCCAACAAGGTTGGGTTTGACGGACTCATCTCTACGATGAGCGATTGCCCAGCACAGAATAGAAATGTGCTCTTTTTTTTTTTTTTTTTTTTTTTTTTTTGGGCTTTTGCAAGACATGATACAGTGCTCCAACAGCTTTAATGTTACTATGACATTCTAATACAACTTCCACCTTCTGCGACGTGTCGGCGTAGTTAAGTATTTCTGTTGCGACTGACTTTCATGCCTGAGGCTACGAAACAGGTTAATCACTTGTTCCCAAAATTCAAGCTGTCTAGAGAAAGACAATTGGCTATTCCAGAAACTCCCTGAAGGAACGGTGTTCTGCAAATGACCTTCGTCGGATCTGCTTTGTTCTAGCGCCCTCATGGCGTGTGGTGCCCGATGACTTAACCGGATGATGATTCGATCACAGGCCGTTTCACAATTTGCAATATCTTGGATGTCATTTTCACCCGTTAGAGGAAGCTCGCTTACAAGGATCAAATTGTTTCTTTCCTCTCGACGTGTCGCCTTGACCAAATTCCCAATTTGGACAGATGTCATAACTTTTAGTGTTGTGCTTCGTTAGAAGTTTCGATTTTTCCGCTATTGCCCATAGATCATATTGCCTTTATGTTGGCCATTGGTTTTAGACTTGCTGACCGCGTCTCAGAACGCCTAGGAGTGAATGTAACCCATGAACTAATGTTGAACGCACGAGCCATTTAAATTACAGAAATATAACCAGCAAGGGCATAGATCACGGCCCAGAATAGGCTTCCACGTTTCCAATATCGACTTGGTTTTGAGAAACGCTTGTTTCGTCAGTGTTGAAGGCAACCTGGCCCTTGCGTGAATACAACTTTCGAATCTACCCGCCACCGTCACACCCGTACACCCTACTGGTCAGGTCATCACACCGCGGCGGGTTGTCTAGTTCTGTGGAATAAAGGGTTAAGCAGTGGTTGTCGCCAATCAGACGAGATGCATCGAATCCCTGGCATTAGCTCAGAAAGCTGGTGGTTTTGACACCCTAGCTTCCAATTAGAGGGCGTATGGGCCTAACGACCACCCTATCAGCTCTACCTCGATCCTGGAGAGTTTTGACCTGTCAACTTAACGCCTGCAGAACCTCGAAAATGAGGACATGAGACCTCTCTTCCAATGCGAATGGGCGTCGGAGGGCGCGAAGCCTATGCTCCCGCCTCTGTGGCGAGACATAGGGACACGGATAGGTATGGGCTCTGTGGAAGGTGTTTGGTGAATAGAATCGACATGTGGCCATGTACCCCATCAGATGTGCTCCGGACCTTCACTAGGTGCCCACTGCCCGCCTTTTCAGCTTGACAAATGCGTCACACCTGTATCTGAGAAATTCCGCCTCCTGGCTTTGGCATAAGGCAACCGGGGGCATATGGTGAATACGCGTACCTCGGGCAAAATTTGTTGGTAAGATCAGTTCTTATATGTGGAGCTGACTCGAGCTCTCCATCCTTCTTATGCGAAGTGAAGACTGTATCCCGACCATTTCCACTAATTGGGACTAGGTAGAGCTCCGACTATCACATTTTGACCTTCTAGTTTAACCACCCAAGCGGTGAAATTTCAGCTCTTGATCAGGCAAATTCGGACTTGCGTTCAAATCTTCCGAGGATGTTTTCACAAGCCGTGCAGGGGGCCCATCCCTCCTGTAGGATGGTTAATCTTCTTGTTGTTGAGGTTGAAGCTAGCTAACTATATAGGGTTCGTCACGTGCGGTGGAGTGGTCGCTGCTAGGGCCCAACAACCCAACTAGACAGCCCAACACCTCCAGCCATGTCATAACACGTGATTGATATGACACAAAACTGGTATTGCCACGCATAAGTTCAGCCGCCGAGAAGTTTCAGATCGCCATGGATGGCAATAATATGCATCCCTTTGCCATCAATGTAAGTCATATTCACAAAAAGTTTTTCGCTGAGGTTGTCGCGCAGAACAATGGCATTGTTTAGGCTTCAGCTAGTGTAGGCGATTCTCGTAATGGTTCTTTTGGCAAGGTTTAGGAATCGGTGGGTCTGCAATCGAGCGACGTACTCGATTCCTCGGAACCGAGATCGTAACGCATGGAAGACTAACAAATATTGTTTTCTTAGCAGGCCTGCACCTTGTTTAACCGGCAGTGTTTTCGTATTTTATGCACTGTTTCGATGCCCTGTTACGTGACTCATTCCGTTAAGGGAAACGGAACAACTTTGTTATGCTGTCCTCCGTGTGCTTTACCCTTAAAAGGCATGGAAAGCTTCAGACAAAACTGTGGAACCTACATTACAGTGTCGTATATTAAATATTTACCTGGTTGAGGCGAACATTCTGTGGATCACTAGGTATCTTAGTTTTGACTCCATGTGTCATGCATACTCACATCGAAGAGAATAATAAATACGGAAACTGGAACAATGTCCATACCTTCCCTAGTTTCCGCAGAATCCCGCTCGCTGGAATGCTGTCCCATCTACATAATCGAAGTAACCCATCCGTCAATATCACCCCAGCCTCATCCTAGCCGAACTTTATATGAAGCAAACAATTCCCTATGTTGACCTCGCCCCGTTTTATTCCACACGACCAGCGGGATTCTGCCATTCCACCTAGATTTTGCACCGGACCAATCTCATGCACTCACACAACATAATAATACAAAAGAACAAACCATGAAAAATGCTACCTGATCCCCACTAGCATATCCTATTAGAGATATCCCGGCCCGCTCCGCACAAGTTCGTCACAAACTGCAGGGGCGGGAATCTGCATCTCAAAATATACAACAGGTTCTATCATCTTCCGCGTTGAGCGCAAATCTTTGTGCTTCACGTACATGCAATTCGAACCTCCTTATGTAATATCCCAATGAGAGATATCAAATGTATTATGCAAGAAACCATTGCATATGTACGCAGGCAAGGTGGGTGGTCAATCCACTTCCTGCACTGTTTCGCACTACGTAGGAGTTTGTTTTGGTCCGATTTGATATCCGGCTGTGTAATTTTTATAAATAGCTATTGAGAATATGCTCAAATTATGATTTACCCTCAGATTTTAGTTATGCTATGCACCTGCAGACAATTACTGTACGATATTAGCCGGAGGAACAAGGCAATCCAGGGGACCGTCGGGAATTGACTGGCCTTTTTACTAGATCTAGACTTATGGAGGCGGTCATTGTTAGATGGTGGGAATTGAATCGTTTGATGATGGTAAGGGGTTATATTTTTCTGCATCCCGAATTTCTCCTGGGGAAGAGGTTGCATGATGGGATGATTGATTGAGGAAGCCTTACAACAAACAAAACGACGTTAGGGAAGTAAGGGGGCGGATTGTACGATTTGTGATACTGATATGGGGGTATTTGTTAAAAGCGTTTTTATCAGGGTTGAACGCTGGAAGGTAGATGCTGGATGGGTAAGATCCATGTGTGTTCGTGAACTGTCTGTTGTTTTACCTCTGGGGATGCGTATAAATTGAATCGGGTAGGGGAAAAAGGAAAAAAAAAAAAACAAGAATATTTATTTAACAGCTCATAACTAGGCCCATATGTCCTCATGAAGCAAAAGAAATCACCACCTCAAAGAAAGGAAGTGTGATTCAACTACCTCATCAGCATTTTCAAGGAACCTTATCACCTATCTAGGCTGTCCATGAGACCAGATATCGTCCCATATGAAGCGACGTAGACACAACCTTGAGAAAACACATTTGTGCTATTCCCAATGACTGACGTCGTCTCCTCCCGCGAGTGGCGTCTCTCACTTTCGTTTCCCCTGCGCGCCTAGGCATATACAAATAGGTATATATATATATATATATATATGCGCCGCATATTTCTGCGCTCCAGGTTCCAAAGTTCCATCTCACCAAGGACACGATCTGTGCACCGAAAGATATTCGTACCAAGGAGGCCGAGATCTATCGAGTTTGCCTCGATATGTTAAAATGGTTTTGGCTGGTTGGTCAGGTCAATGGAATCTGCGTATACAGCGCCAGAGAATCATCGGTTGAGGTACGTGTCAGTTGACTGTACGGATTCCGCCCGAGAGGGTGATGGTGGTGGTGGTGGTGGGCAATACACGGAACTCATACGGGGGCTCTTCTTCCACGCCCGAGAGCCTGTCAGGCAAGCGGGATTTCGAGGAGGTAAGCCCACCGGATGATGAATCGCTTCCTTGTCCTCAGGTGGACTGGAAACTTTCATGTTACGAAGAGATAACCGGGGATAAGGAATGGTAAGTGAATGTTTCATGTTATGCAATTATTGGTATGATCGGCTGAAACGAAATATTGCGTCCCTGCAACAACAGATGCACAATTCATACCAATAAATAGGGAAATGTAGTAAAGAAAGGAAGGAATGGAGGTTAACTCGGGGAGTGTAAGGGAGAGGAACCGAGATTGGTGTAGATATATCTCTGTGCAGAGTTGGTGAATGCCTAGATCATGTTGGAAACGCTACAGAGCCGGCTGTTTAAAGATTCTTCTTCTGATCTTCCCTTATTTTTCTTGGTTCTTTTATTTCGGACGACACCTTTCTGTTTCTGACTCCAAAGTTCCACTGGTATTCGACGTGGCATGTAAACCCCGTCACAGAACAGAAATGTGTATAACATTCTATTCAAGCCAGAACGCGCAGGAGAATTCAAGTGAAGCCAATTTGGTTCCGTCACAAGGTACCACAACATAGACTATACCATTGGGTAATTTTCTCAAGTCTTGAGGATGTGGCACACACCCAGGAACATCTTGTGCTGTTGCACCTTGATTGGCATTAACCCGACTTCAGAATCTTTGCCGAGAACCCAGGGTTTAATCTGGGAGACTGTTCGGAGATATTTCTTACTGCGAAGCAGCAAATGGAATAGTGAAGCGACTTGATATACCTGGCAGCAGTGTAATGATGTTTCCGGAGATTATTGAGGAGATTAGAATTGTAGGAGGGGAAGAGTGGAGAGCATCAGGCATCAGACACGGTTGTGTCTGCTCCACTCTCTTTCCTTTTCCTAGATCGCGTGACTCGCATATCGGCCAGGGCTTCCATTTGGCTCAGCCCAAAGATTTTGGGATACTGAGCGGACTTCTCCAGCTCCCTCGCCAAAGGTGTAACCCGGAATTTCTTTTCATTTTCATCGAAAATGATCCACCGTTCAAGCTAAAGGAGAAAGTTAATGATGAAAAAGGGTAACTAAACGGGGTGGAAGTAGATGACATCAAAGAACGTTGGAGAAAAAAAAGAAAGAGAATAAAAATCTTACCGATGCTAGACGATATGCATACCAGAGGCAACGCTCTGTACGGGGACCTGCAATGCTTGGCAATTCCAATCCCCGTTCGTCATAATCGATGGCAGGATTGCTGAAGAAGTCATCCGGATAGCATGGTCGTGCCCAGATCTGACCTCGCATGAGAATATCTTCCGGCAAAATCACGCTCGTGCCATTGGCAGGAGTGGGGAAGTCGTCCCTTGCAGCGATAAATTCATCCACACCTCGCCGGCTCAACGTATTTAAAAAGAAAACAAGCTTCTCCCAAGGGATTTCGCGCTGAAAGTACGCCATGGACTCCGGAACCAATGCTAAACTCCAAATAAAAATGAGGATAATGTGAACATGTGGAATAACGGCCTTCTCGTTTATATGTGTAAGAAGAAGAGAGAAAATATGAAAAGTCATGAAGGAGGCGTAAGAAATAACTTCCAAAGAAGTCAGGAACTTTGTGTCATCAAATGGAACATCGATGGGCGGAAGCATTTCCTCAACTTCAGTTGAAGCTTTGGCCCAGAATTCTTTCGCAGCCTGAATCCTAGCAGCCCAAGACAGGGTCGCAGATTTTTTAAAGGCTTTAACGAGGATGACATTATCATTTCCGTATTCCAGCATGGCGGCAATGTTGGAGGATGCAATGTGCACTCCTTGATCCCGGAATTTGGTCCCCATCCGACGAACATGCTTCGTCAAGAGGGACGCATGCTCGGCCACAAATTCAATGAATTGGCTAATCTTTCCCTGATTGAAAAGTATCGCATGCGCTTTCACAAATGAAATCGCTATTGGTAAGGCAGGGCCGTAGGGTCCATTGTAGCCGGGATTCGGCCCAAAGAGAGGATCAAAAAGGTAGTGGATGCTCCCCCGGGTATTGACAAAGGGTTCAGCGGTAAGGAGGGACTTGGTGTAATAGAAGAGCTGTTCAATAATGTTTGGCCGGGTAAGCACCGCAAGGTGATGCTGGAGCCTCCCCAAGTGGGGGTTTTCTTCCAGAGCCAGGAGATACCATTGTCGCGCCACCCCAGCCCAAACTTCTCGTTCAACAATATTGCGCTGCTCAACAGCCATCCGATACCTTGAGAGGTCACCAAGGCATTCAATCCATATTAGTCGAAAACAGGGTACAGCCTCCATAAGAAGCGTTATCGTGTTATATGCGGCGTATATAAATACCAACATGTGATCGAGTGATTGCGGGAGTCGTTCCCTCAATAGCTCCAGGAACGAGTGGATGCCATGTTGCCATAACCGAGCGGGCATGCAGTATTTACTGGCAAGTTGTTTAAGTGGCTCACCGGAACCGGGATGATGTGAAGCCATGAAGAAATCGTGGTGCTCGTTGAGAAGAGTCCTATGAAGTCCAATTAACGCATGCCACTGTCTATGAGACAAAGCGGTCTCAGATTTGAATTGCGCTTGATTCATCTCAATGCATTTGTTCTCAACCATGACAAGTCCCGCGTATATTCCACGAATTTCAGTGATCAACTCCTCTTGCGATATCGGCCGCGTCGGAAGCTGGTGAAATAAGCGATTTACTGGCGGGGGTGACTGTTCATCTTCCGTATACGCACCCTTTCCATACCCGCGCAGCTGTCCTAGGTCAAGATCCCAGCTCGGAATCCCGGTGTAACATTGCTGTGGTGTTGGAGTATCACCGAATCCCAAATCAATATGGTGGGGATCACTCTGATTTTCCTGTTGATTCAGGATTCGTGTTGAGCTTATTGGGGGGTTGCAATCACCGTTAAAGTAACTTGAGGAGTTGATGGGCGGTCGATTCCCCTCAGCCGTTGGGTGCGTATGGAATAAATTCGGCTCCGACTCATCTCTAAACTTGCCTTTATCCAAGGTACTGTCAAAAGGACAGAGCTCTGGAGCTGGAATCCTCATGGATTGTGTTCCCCTCATTCCCCCCCCTTGACATCGAAGCAATCGCAATCTCTCCGGTTCAGACACGGCGGGTGGGACCTTCGGAGAAGCAAGAGAATTCGACGGGTAAGAATGAACTTGAGGATTTGCCCTGTCACCACCACCAATCTTAAGGTTTGCCAATCTGCGTTGGTTGACTGTGTCCTCCTGGCTCGAACTGGTGTCGTAATGTTGGGGCACTGGCTGTCCATTGCTGTTCATATAAAAGGCGCATAAGCTTGGATACAATCTGCACCGAATAACATTATTTTGCCACCCTCCACTTACCGTGTCGTTGCATTTAAAGAGTTCTTATGGACTGCATGAGAGTTCCTGGAGGGTGTGGTATCCGGCCTTCTCTGGCGTCCCCATTTCCGTAAGGAACGGGGTTGGGAATCACTGATGGGGTGATGTTTTCCCATCGAAAAGCTTTGCGGAATGGGTTTAACTTGAATGTTGTTGGGGGTATCGTTGGGATCAAAATGCGGGAGCATCCATAGAGGTCAATTCAGACTTGAATTGAAAAGTTTTGGGGAGTGCATTTGAATCAGGGCAGGACGCTCGACGGCTGTTAAAATCTGTCCTGGTGATATTGACAAAACCTGAGTGATTATACGAGGCCTTTAATACACTTTTATATCGACAGAGAGAAAGGGAAGCCTGAATATCAATGCCGAAGAGACCTAGGGATCTAGACTGGATTTATGTGCGTCTTTATCTCAACCGGGATGTGGCTGGTGAGATGCGGTACCTGGACATGGGAGCACCGTATGAAATGGAATTACCGGCTAGGCGAGATTAAGGTTCCGTCGCAGCCTGGAATGATTATCAAGCGCCAAAATTATAGTTGGATGGTTGCCTAATAACAGAGGGGCGAACCATTTGCGGACTAAACGTTGCCATTCCCCCCAAATCCTTAGGCAGCCTCGTCGCAAAACTCACACACTCTCTCTCCCTGGAGCCTTTTCTATGCGCGACACACACACCCTCTCTTCTCCCTTTTGAACTACGACTAATTAGACCCTCAAAAGGCTGCGTTGCAACATTCCGCCAACGCCCAACACCCTCTTCCTCTTCCCCCAGCTGCTCGACTCTTGGACAACACCTTCAGCGTCTTCAGCGCCTTCAGCGCCTGTTGTTCCTCCTGAACCAACTCGCGCATCATAACATATTCGATTTGCCCTCGGAATTCCGGCGTGACGATATCAAAACTTATGTCTGAATAGATGGGGGTATCCGACGAGGGTGTTTGCGGGGGAAGACTTCCGGTCCTTTTGCCTCCTCTATAAAGGGGTTTTATTTACCGTGAGAGCCTTATGAAGGGACAAGAGAGAAGATACACCCAAACAGCTTCTTTGTTTTTTGGGTGACCTCTGCCTGGTTGGTGAAACCGACTCTCATGAGAATCTTTTCTCTATATCTGTTATGGTTCTTGCAAGTAAACGCGACCTCGCTTAAATGAACTAGGCCCATTCCTCCAAAAGTATGTACACTTGGCTGGCCCGTCTGATCCAAAGCGATGCAGATCTTTTTTAACTTTTCCAGTTGGGCGGAGTTGCCCGAATCACGATCCAAAAATTTCCCTTTTCAGTGCCTATTTTTTTTTTTCAGTTTTGCTATTGCAAGGCCAACAGAGTAGTAGTTTAGGCTGCTGTGTATTCAGAAATGCGCCCAGCAATCAGCATTGATCATTTTGCCAGCAACCTATAGGAAACGCACTTCCATCAAGTCTATCCGTGGACTGTGCATGTATATGCAGTTTCAAGTTGTGTGGAAAACTCCACTTCGATCAGTGCACCCCCATTCCCGAAGCCGTTCTACTAGGTTTGGGTAACTATGTTGAACGTGGGAATCATCTCTACATCCATTCCTCTATTATCTAGTTACACTTCTGCCACAGGGTGCTGCTCGGCGGATTTGAAGCAGCCTCGTCAACAAGAACCATCCACAACCCAACTACCGTTTTACTGGCGATTACACATGTCTCGGATGCCCATCACCGCTTTTTTGAACATGTAATCTACTTTTTTTTTTTAAAGTTAGGTTGGATGGTCTAGCGTAAAATCAAAGGCTGGAAATTGATGGGAAAATGCACGTTCTAACCTTCATCATGGCGTTTAAGCGTGGTTAGCCGTGTATGTGTCCTGGGCGTTGCGCCTCAATTTTAGGCTTCGGGCAGCCTTATTGAAGAAGATTTTTAAACGTGATGATTTTCCGTTTGAATAATGATGATATCAATGGCCTGACAAGCACTGAATGGGAAGGTGTTTGTATTTTCATGCACTGACCAGGCAACCCCAACTTCAAACCCGGCATTTCATTGTATTTCGCACAGGACATGCCTTGTAGGAACAGTCCGTGCCAACCGGAGGAAGATGAACGATTGGACAATATCGTATCATCTTATCTCGGCCCCCACTTAGCTCGTTTCAAAAACTACTCTTGTTCGGAGTGTGCATGAACCGCAGCTACATCTATGTATATATGTAGATACCCTTGGTTCATCTCTGGCCCGCATCCGCCAGCAACACGTGGTTTGCCCTTCAAGTTCCCTCTGTGCCTTAGGCTCTAACATCAATCAAACGGCAGGCCTGCTAAAAGCCCTTGTTTGCAGATAGACAAACATATATTATTACGTCGGAAAAACCACTGGGATTGAGCGATCGAAGGAAAAGAAAACACAAAACAAGGACGGGGATGCAGAAAACAAGGCTGAATGGTTCAATGTTATGTCATCTGACCCCGTTCCCTCCGAACCCTTCTCTTATTCCATGGAATAAACTATTCCATTAATACTCCTGAATGATGGTGTCCTTCAGCTTTGCCTGCTTCTTCCAACTACAAACCGGATAAGGGTCTCAAAGGATTGTCTTTCTCATGTTGATCTGATGATCTGATGACTCAGGCTGGGGGTGGAGATCAACAGCCTTCCGACATGAAGGTATGGGAGTTCAAGTTCTTGTAGGCAGAACACATATTCCCGTCGTGTGCCGGCGATCTTTTTTTTTTTTTTTTTTAGTTTGTTTGCTTTGCCAGTCGCTAATTGGCCATTTGAATATCTTAACTCCTTTTTTTCTCTCTTTTTTCAATGGTTGTCATGAACCAACCCTAGACGTAATATTTGGCTGTCTCATTTCTTCGTCTGCGATGACATTATTTATCGTTCTCCTCATTGGACAGGGGCAGACGCGGTGAACCACTCCTCCCTCTGAAATATATACCTTCGCTATATCCTTTTCTGCCTAGAAATCGAGTTTACCGAGCCTGGCAACCCTCTGGAATACGGGAACGAGCTAAATGACCCATCATCTCATGTGAAGAATGTCTATCTTCCAGCAGACACCCCCAAAACCCCTCAATTACGGAGACTGCTGTTGACTAACCTTTGGTCGTTCCACCCGGAACAGCTCATATTCGATAGGAAAGACATCCATTTAACTTAACTAGTAAGGTACCAGGCAAACTAAGCTGACTAAACTTAATAATAAGCTCTCGAACACTTAAGTTGGGGAGGGGTGTAAACTGGGTTAATTATCATGGTCTCCTCCTTGCCTTGGCGTCGCCCTGTATGTTGGGCCTCTTTACAGCAGCCTCTGCTTCATGGAGTAAATCTTTCCATTGCTGCTGGGAATTTTCTCCAACCAGACGCCCCCTCGATTTAACCGAATTCGAATGCCCTTAATTCCTTTAAAACTCGAGGCGCAATCCAAAATACGTTGATGGTTGGAGGGGAGTTAGGTCTTCCACCCATCTGCTCATTCTCTAGTTCCCCCGACTATGTCGCGGGTGGGGCTGGATGGTCATATTTCACAACACACATCCCATAAAGTCCTGTTAGAATGTCTAACGCACCTCTCGAGAATTTCATCTCAACCTGCTTGGCCTGGCCTAGAACCCACCACCTTGTCGAGTTCTGAAGAGTGGAAGCTGCCTCCCGTCATTCTTACCACCCCGTTGCAACACTGCATGACCTAGCAGTTTTGCGACCATGGCTTTGGTAGCATTGCTGACAGCTGACTTGTGGCGAAAGCATGAGCATGCATACAGAGTATCCGGGCCTCCTCCATACCTCGCTGTGGAGTAAGAGAGCGGTGGAAAAGACCGTAAAAGTCGAGCAATTTACTTATTATTCTGCATAACAAGTAAAGAACATGTTAGCCAAACGAGGAAACACTACACACTGAGCTAGGCTCCTTTTTCATTGTTAAACATATGCGGCAGAAGCTGACCAGCCAGGTCGCCATCGTCGAATCCCAGACCCAAAACACCCGTGCTGACGTATCTGCCTGGTTTGCCCTTTGTCTTTTTTGAATTCTGTCGATTGTTCACCAGCCAATTCTCGGCTTTGCTCTCTGTAGTTCTTTCTTGTTCAGCGGCTGCTAATTTCCAGACACCAGTCGATGGAAACATCAAACCGGAAACATACCGTGACGTCCATACTTTCCTTTCCCTTGGTCTTCTTTAGCAGGCGATGTGGCACAGTTCAGCAGTTCAACAAGCAGCATATATCTCTGGATACAGTCTCTCCGCAAAAGTATTCTCAGCCCCCCACCAAAATTTAGTTCTGCTGGAGTGATTAGAAAAGAAATGAGGGCTGCCAGGACTTTTGCGTTTAGTACTGTATCACCAAACCTTTTACCATTCCCATTGTTTGAAGTTGCCCGATAATCTCCTCGGTAGTTCTTGTGGCAGAATGTCCTGGTATGTGGTTGCGATTCCTGAGAGCTGATTCCGGCCGGAGATACTCCGTCGAACACTGTACGTGAGAAGATCTTGACCAGAAATTGGCGCAGCCCATAACTTGCATTGGAGTGGTTTAGACATAAAGGCCTAGCGGAAAAGGCAGGTATTGGCGAGCGACGTAGCATATCTGTGCAGTCATTGGAGGTTCATATGGCGAACGGAACAAATTAGCGGTTGCATCAAATGCGAAGAATGACCCCATTGGCCGAAGTTAAATAAAATCCATGTATCCCATTTGGCTAGAGCAGCCCCAAGAACCCAGCAAAGTCTCCCCTCACCATTCATATATGTACAATTGTCGATGCATGGAAATTGGCCCTCCAACTTGCTTCGCGAAAGGTTGTCTGAAAGTATCTGTAGGAAGGACTTTTCGCAAACCACAAACTGCAAAGACAAGACTCTGACGAATGAAGATCTCCCAAAGCCGATTCCCTTCGGAGCGGAAACCTGTAGATCTGTACGTAATAGTTATTATATTGGTACGACACATCATCTGGTTGCCTAATTTCCGCGCCGTGGAGTTTGATCGTGCCTTTCACCGTTAGTCCTTTTGAGTGCCTTTAGAGAAATGAAAAACATCTAAGATAAGCGCCAGATATTCATGGACTTCCTTCTCCATGCGGGAGGAAAAGAAGCAAAAATAAGGCAAAAACTGGAGACGGATTTCCGGGACACACGCGGGTGGAAGTTAACAAAACTACCACCAACCAGCAGTGCGTGCCCCCGTACAAAAGAGGTTAGGTTCCACTGACAGCCGCCCCGCGAAATAGTGCGTGAGACGAATATTCAGAACCTGAAGGTTCGTGCCAAAGGATGGCCATTTTTCTTGGTGACTACTACATTTATTTGCAGATGCAGCAAAAGAAGACATGTCGACCTGCACGTCTCAAATGCCGTCCATACCTCCCTGCCGGTTTGACCTTTGTTCCAAAATTAAGAGGAACTGATTTCATTTTACCGTTATTTCAGGACCGAGCCCTCCTCCCCGAGCCATCCCGGATGGGCCTCCAGACTCCAGGTGTCCAGCTGGTGCGCGAAGATGGATCGATGATGACCTGTTGGATACGAGCTTGCCAACCTGAGAGTCAAAATAACTCATGAATAATGTATGACCAATGGAACTGATATCTTAATGGGGATAACTACAGATTGAATGCATGAATAAATCAAGATTTAGTTGAATTAAGTGAGGGAAGCTACGTATGTACATGTGTCCAGCTGGGGATCTAGATATCAAATTGGTTTAAACTGCATTGAGGTTAAGCTTATTATTATTCCAGAGAGTTTGGTTGGGTTCCAATAACTTAATCCCACAATCTGCGGGCGCCAATCGGCTACACCCCATAAATCTCCTAACCACTTGTTCCTCCGTACAACGTCCACAACCATCAACAACTGGCATCCTGAAACCCCCCTTCAGAAATGAGAGTCGACCGTGGGCTTAAAAATTTCCTAGGTAGAACAATTGCAAGTCCCGCAGACTAAGGTATTTGGACTCGGAGCAGCTGCTGGAATTGACTATATTTATGACTATATTCATTTCGCAAGCTTATGTTCATGGGGATTAGTGTTCCCCCGCTCCAAAGCCACGGGCGGGATAGAACAGTTACGAACCTGTCAACTGCCACTGGTTTCCCAATGAATATCCGGATCTAGCCCTATGGAGGTCCGTGCAGGAACGGGAGATATGAAAACCGGAGAGGAAATAAGCTTTCTGATACATACAATCTACCCATCCCGAGCATTGACATGTTTGCAGGGTCCGCCATTTGAGTTTTGACCGTCAGTGACAAAGGTCTCTCTAGTAAGAGCTCGGCTTACTTCAGGGACCTATCTATGGCTCTGTGCCCACTGTGGCTATTACATAGGAGTTTTGGTTGCGCATCAAAGCTTCGCTCTTCGCACGTATCAATGCCTAAGATTGCTAGTTTTGCAAGTGTTCCGTGTACAAGACTCTTATGAAACCCGCAGTGGTTGGGTTGCCAATTGCTGCTTTCGTGCGAACCAGCCCATTTGCGTATGCTAGCTAGGCTTTCTCTCTTTTGTTTTTAATTTTGCAACAGGTTTCTAGCAATTATTTCTGTTGGCTTGTTGGACTTTCGACCAACGTCAACATCCATCCATGCAGCTTCGTCCAGCAGCAACCCTCAACAAGCTACGTCACACCATGCGGTCGAAATCTGTTGAGTGGGGCATTCTTTGTGTTTGTGGTGCATGAGATTTTGCGGATCATACGCATTACGGGTAATAATTAAGGAATAATAATTTGAAACAACTTGTGATTTCCTGATTGCATCACTGCCACAAAAGGAATATCATCTGTCTTTGAGGTTCCGTCGTTACGCGTCGTCAACATCACACTCGGGGGGGAGGGAATTCAAGTCCTGAATTGTTACATTACGCATGCGAGCGGGGAGATGCCGATATTACTCTTTGTCTGAGGGTCTGGAGCATTATCTGCTGCACGAATCCTCTCATGCATATTCCTACTCTGAAAGTTTCTATGACAACTCAAGGCTATGAAGAAATGGAATAACCTGTTATCAGATGACAGCAAGGTCTCTCAACATCTGGTCGACAGGCTTATCAGTCACGTGCATCGATTTGCTGTGTGCGAGGCCGGGATTGACAACTGTGGATCACAAGGCAACCGAATCAGGCTGCTGTCCATGGTCTGTCTGAGCAAGGTTTCTTTCATCTCAGACTGTATACTATCCATGCCGCGGAACATCCAACGTGATCCAGCAGATTTGGACTAAGGGAATCGACTACTTGATGCAGGAACAAAATTAATGAAGAAGATCTGATGAAACACACTCCCCCTAACAGGTCACGATCTTCTTGAGAAGTTAGCTAACAAATCCCACAGTCCTGTCAACTGAAGGTGGAGACGACTCGCAATTGCTCCTAACATTCAAATATTGATGCGGCTGCACTGATTTGCCTTTGAGAATCCAGTTCCAAAATGCTGGGACCAGGATTAGGCGCTTATCGCACAAGGCCTGTGTCCAAAGCGTAGCCCTGGATCTACACCACTAGCCGCAAGAGGAGAGAAAGGTGTCCCGCGATACGTGGGATGGGAATGGGAGACAACGTGAAATTCCATTTTCCGGTTTATACAGCATATCCGGTGACGTCTAAGTTATTTTCGTGAATACCGTTCGAAAAGCCATCCCACGAACTTTCTGCATATGGAGCAACACCGTGCGGATGAGCCGATTGTCAAACCTCCAGAAAACATATTTTATTTTCCGGTTGAACCTCGCGCAGTTCAGCAAAACAGGGCAATATAGTTCGACTTTATGCCATGTCCAAAATATTCATATCTGATTTGATACCCTGGTAAATTACCTGCTTTTTTCTGACTGTATCTATCTCTCCACTTCTTTTTGCTTCTCCCGCTAGACTTTATTCCCCGATGCCCCTGACAGCATATCTAAGCAGTGCCTACGAATCATCGCAATATACGCCGTACACTTAAAAGGCAACCATCCCCCAAATATAGTCTCTAACTTCATGATCAACGCCCAGATTTTAGCCACAATCGAATATTCTTTCTTTATCCAATAGCAGTCGACAGGTATCCTTTTGACACTTGGTAACCCTACAAGCTTAGAATAAGGCAGAAGTTTGTCTCTGCAAATCGGTTGAACTTCAACATCAAGCTTGATGCGGAACAGCCTTTTGCGCCTTTATGGGGGATTTCCGATCATGCATAGAAATTCGCATCTGGACCCTTCGAGCCATACAAGGCAGCTATCAATAATATACCGTTATCATAGCTGTGTCATATGCATTTCTTCTCCGTGTCTGGGGTCTCGGGAACGTATAGAACCTAAGAATGAGAGGAACACATTCCAGTTCTTCGTCCCTTTGCCTGAGAAGTTACCACTCTGGTTGGCATATCTTGTCCCTTTGCAACCCCAAGCCATATTTAGCACGTAATGGATAGTACACTTACAATAAGGATTGAAAGGCGAGGCAGCAGACTACAGCAACAATATCCATTTATAAGATATTTTCTATGGCTGGCTGCTCTTCGTAGCTACTGTGTTAATCAGGCTGGAAAATAGTTCCCTAGGGAAGCTATCTGTCCAATGAATTTTGAACAAGTGCACGCACCTCACTGGGATATCTAGTTACTAATCTTCGCCTTTCTTTTTTGGTTGGTTGGTTTTTGATGATAATTTTCAGCTGTTCGATATCTACCCCGGAAAGAATACTAATAACTACGCTTAACCTGGTTAGTAACTATGTTATAGGTATGATATTTCCGAAACATTGCTCAAGTGCAAATTGTCGGACATTAATTTCAATTCCTCATTAAGGATCTGATGGTATCTCACTACCCTGCCATTCATGAACCCCCCCTTTCAAGTTATCAAAGCCTGACAGGAGCCGTTCGGACCTCTCTCTGCAAAACATACATTATTATTACCTCATTTAACACCATGCATCTCATGGGAGGAGAACAAAACCATCCCTTCATTCCGAACTGACCAATTCGTTGGTTAGAGAGCCTCGGAAAGTGTTGGTGTCCAGGGGGTGCATGGTGTGTAAAAGTATTTGCTGAAGATTCGACTACCAAACAACTATGAATGCCTGAAATTATGAAAATGAAGTAAAAAGCTATGCGTTAGATAGGTCATCTCCTTCGTGGCTCATGCGTAACTAGTTAGTTATTAACAGTTTAAAGATACATCCGCTGATAAACAATCCCGAAAATACACAACCCTGTCAGGGATCCCGAGATTCAAGAGACAGGTACAAGCTCAATAGAACGAAGTTAGGGACTTGGTTGAGAAAGCAGGAAAAGGCTGTGCTGGGTCATAACTAAATAGGAGGAAACCAAACGGCCTGGGACCATAATCACGTCTTGGGGGCCAATTATCTCAACAGAACGGGGCACGTAACGCGCATAGCTGAAGTTTCCTCTATGCCAAATTGTCACCTGGACAATCTTGACATGAACGCCATAAATGCGCCATATCTACGTCCCTCTTCTCCATGCTGCCGTTTGCATCAGTTTATAGTGGAGGGAAGTCGGGGAGGAAGTAGGCTGGAATTGAGGGGTCGGTTGTCTGAAGAAGAGTAAGTAATATGATAGAAATAGTGTGTAACTATTTGACCAGTCAAATATTTAATAACTGGTCACGGTCACAATTTTCCTCTGTGCCTCCCACGCCAGAAGCCCTCATACTACTACTAGGTTTTTTTTTTTTTTTTTTTGGGGGGGGGGGGGGGGTTTCTATTTCGTATCTTCGAAAAGCAATTAATGACCAGCCGCGGGCGCCGCAACAATGCCGTGGCCTGTGGGGATCCCTGCATTTAATTGAGGTTAAGGCTTGGAAACCGAGGAGTATTCTAGGAAAATGGGAGCTTTCTGAGCCGAGAGATAGGATATGATTGAGAGGATTCCAAAGAAAAGGACACGATCGCTGATGATGCTAGGAGCAAGTGAATGGGTTCGAAAGAGGCCACAACCACTCACCACCTGTATGGCTAAGTTTTAAAGGAGGAGTGTATTAATTAGGGAAGAAAGTAGGCATTGCAAGGAAGAAGAAATCCTAGCTCAACAAGCTCTTTAAGACTGAGGGGAATGAAATTAAATATGGATGCAAAATGTATTCGATGTACTCCGTAATGTCAAGCGAGTTCCGTATTTTGGGCCACACTACATAAGTGGATTGATGGAACCAAGTTGGACTGTTGCGACTCCTAGCAACTGGCACCTGTAGTTATATTCCATTATTAATGTCTGTTTAACTTTCTCCGCAGCTCCGTCGTGCGTTCATGCATACATAGATCTACACCCACCATCCATATCTGGGATCTGTGTTTGCAGTTAATCGTTCGAACTGGACCGCAATCAAAGACGAAGCGAAAACGCAAAAGAGCAGAATTATATCCTCTCACTAACTAGTAATCCCTGATGACTGATATTTGCGTGAGATGAACTTGTGAACCCCTGACATCTGGGATCCATGAAGTACTGGACGTATTCAAAACAGCAATCCAACTGCCGTATATGTGAAAATCGTCACCTCGACTTAACAAAGCTTCCACACGTGTCACGGTTTAAGTTGGCGAGATAATGGAATCTGAGGGGTAGAGAAAATACCTGGAAAAAGGGGATCAGAAAATTGAAGTAGTTCTGACTAGTAACTAACTGAGGAAGAATTGAAAAAAGAAATAAAAGGGGATAGAAACAAGCACAGGGGAATCAAATGTGAATAACCATATGTTCCGAGGGATAAGGGGAAATTCGCCAGAAAAGGCAATAGATAAGGAAAAGAGGCGAGAATAAATGCAAACAAAAGATTAATAGAAACCCTCGTTGGAAAAGCAGACGACGCAGGTTGCTTAATCGGTTTGACTTGAACCGGTTGAGAAAAAGGAAGGAATCTAGGAAGTTCTGCTAAGTGCCATCGATGGTCTTTTGTTTTCTGAAAGCGTATTGGTGAAATCGGGTATCAGGTTAGCAAAAACCCATGGAGAGACACGACCGCCTACGGAACAAATGACGACCGGTAAGAGGGGAGAAAATGAAAAGAAATTGTAAGTTAGAGAAATTGCCAAAGAAAGTACCGCCAGCAAACGCCATGCTATGCTTAATGGAAATAAACAAGCGATATGAAACCCGACGAAGCCAACCGAGAAAGTGAATTGGTTTTGAGGCGTGTTTATGCATGTTTCGCTGTCGAGAGCGTCAGCAGAGATAGATTCGAATCTTCAGATGCAGTTAGCACAACTAATCCCTTGTGTCAACAAGATTTGTATTACACTACCTTTTGCTTTACTGGTTTGCGGCACATGGGGCATGTTGCGCTTCCACGAGGCTTTGTTCTATCTACCCTACTAGACGGCATATGTTGATCTGCACACCAGCGACAGAGAACAGCGTGTCCGCATGGAAGCACTACAGTGTCAACAAGTTGGCTCAAGCAAGCTTTGCATTCCATATTAACAGTGAGCTCTTCTGTTTCCTTAGCTTTGGGGCGACCATCGTTTTGGTTATCGAGTCCTTTCTTGGGAGAAGCCGCTTCGGCATTATTTGCCAGGGAGTCGAGAAATCGTCTTGTACGTTCTGAATCATTTCCAAAGTAACTGATGTCGGGGTCGTTGGGATAATGAACAAGCGCGCCACTGTATATGAGTCGAGCTATTTGAGCATTTACAAAGCTCTGCTCGCGAGATGCGTTTGAGTTTCCCATCATGCCTGGAGCAGAATTAGGGTTTTGGCTATGCCTGTGAGATGGTCTCGGGTCGCCCCGCATTGGGGTTCCGGACTGCGAAGTCCCACCATCATGGCTGCGCCGGGAACGTCGGCGGCTCCCTATGTTGGAATTTGAATTAAGTCCATTACTGCCAGTGAGACTTGGAGGACTTGGGATCGATCCGTGAAAGGGTCGTCTCCGTGGAATGGACAAACTCAATCGATTTTCAGCGGGAAAGTCGGAGGCAAATGTTGAAGTCAAATGAGGGTTTCCATGTATAGTACTTGAGGGTTCGGTATTCGAGCTTTGTATGGTAGATTGCGAATGAAAGTAATCGACGGGAAGGTATGGGAATGGAAACGAATTTAAGGGGTTCTCGTTCTGAGCTATCACAGAAGAACCCGAAAGTCGCGCAAAAGAGTTGTTTACTGGTGGTAGAGAGGAACCGGCGTCAAACCCTGCAAAGGAATCGTGGCGGCCAAAAGCTGGTTAGCTGTTAGTTTGTTTACTATCGAAATCTGTGTCTTGTAGACTTTAAAGAAACCTACCATTTGGGTGATATGATCCCTGGTTGTGGATGTTTCCCCGAGTCTCGCCGTTCTGCTCTAAATGTCCCTGTTGGCGAGACTCCAGGGTGGGGAACGCGTCGTTTGCATGGTCAGAGCCCTGCAGGGCCGCATGATAGTACATCTGCTGGTGATCAAGGGGGAAATAGCCATAATTAAGCGCCGCTTCTCTTGAGAAGTGGGATTGAGGAGCACCTAGAATAGCTGTTAGCCTTTTGTCAGGACATTCTGAAATTCTGACGTGAATCACAGGAAGTGATACCATTGACGCGTTGATTTCCACCAGTATCCCAAAAACCACTTGTTCCCAGTTGATCCTGGCCTGAACCCTGAGACTGCTGATTGAGGGAGTCGTAGAACGAGCCGTCTGTGGTAACGGGCGACTGTAGATTTGCTGCCATTACAGTACCTGGAGCCGTGTGGTCATGTCTTCCCGCCATTTCAGCTGTATTCACGAAGCTAGAAACGCGACGGTGGGAAATCTGGTGGTCAGATGCAGCTTGGCCCGACGTACGAGAGAGAAATGAAGCACGTCTTGGAGGTCCAGTGTTCAGCTGATTGATTTCCCCCTGAGGCGGCTGAAGTTCTTGATTTTGACGTGAGGATTGGAGCGTGGGGTGTTGAGATGGCGAGGTTATTACAAAGTTGTGTCTTGGAGTGGAATTGGAATAATCTGACTGACAGTTGCTATGAATCAACTGCGGTCTTGAAGATTGTTGATGATTGTATGATGCTGTGATCCAGGATTGATTTGTAGGCAGTACACAATAGGGTTGGAATGACTGAATGCAGGACCCAGATGCAGGCACAGGTACAGGAGTAAATGAAGCCGGAACTATCTGAGATGACCAATATTCTATATGGCGCCCACATTGATAAGCAAGCGACGAGGGACAAGATACCGAGTGAGGTAAAGGAGGAAGAGAAATGAGGAGAAAAGGGAGGCCACTCATTGGGAGTGATATTATTGGTTTAGTGACAGGCGGCAGGCGGGCAAGCAACGCAAGTGAAGAAGTAAAACGCAACCCAAATAACATTAATGATTGATAAAGCAGTTGGGAAAGCCAAAGAAGATTTCTTCAGAGGAAAAAGGACTGACCCTTGCAATTCCAGCAGTATCTGGAATATTGAGGAGATTGGCCGGCAGCGTCCTCTCCCAATGGGTAAGGCGCCGAATGTGGATGGAAAGGCTGGTGGAATCTCACGTTCATACAGAAACAACAGGAGTGCTGGCAGAGAGATTGGCATCCGATGGCATATTTATGCATGCACCTTGTAATGAAAGCTGGCGAAGGCCAATTTGACATATTTCACATTCACAGTGTCATTCTCGTCGCCATCCCGTGGCGGGGGTGGCTAGAGGGTGTGGAGAACTGCAAGTCCATATTTAGCAAATCTGTGGATACTTTGCGGGCGAGTTTTGGAAGTGGGACGTTACCAGGAAGGCAAAGGGACAGTTTACGCAGCAATTCGTTGGATCTTGAGGCTTCTGAAAGCGCAATGCGGCGGGTACCAACAATGGAAGCTGTTTCGTCCTTTTGACTATCGTCTGGG